CATAGAAGACGTGAAAAACATAAAAAGCGACTAGAAATTCCAGTAGATGTGTATACTCAAGTTGGTACTTCAGTCACTGGAAAAAGAGGTTCAGATTGGACCAATGTCGCGATGTGTGAAAAAGGTGAAGAAGATTCTTCTACAATCACCATCAAAACCGCTGAATTCTATCGAATATCATTAAGTGGAAACTGTTTTACAAGTGCAGGAGCGCTACGAGTACTTCAAACTCATAGCAAATTACTTGTTTTAAGTAAAACAAAAACACATTGCATTGGTGATATTAACTCTGAATGTAGCTATAGCGATTTTATAGATGTAGATTTACCTGCTGATGCAACATTAGTTGTTCAATAGATGGGAACTGCTAGAGTTACTATCACACTCACTATAGAAAGTATAATACCCGAATCTTCAATGGTTGTTTGATGACGATTTGCTACACGAAGCGCTAGATGAATCCGAAGGCTTTTCTTCATCATCTAGAACTGAATAAGAACACTTCCCGTTTGGCAAAGGAGGTGAACCGGCGTCCGGAGGCGTCGGAGTTTTAATTTTTGGAGGAATTGCACTTAGAAACCAACATGCGTAGTTTATTAACGATGGGTCCCATATATTTCCATATGCAGCTTCCCAACCTACAGAGTTTGTTATAACACGTGGTCTTATTTCGACTACATCATTAGGCCTAATAAGTCTGCGCTTACACTGTTCCGGAAGAGGTTTAGGTGGAGCTAAATTAGCAACTTTCTTGATGTAGATGCAAGTGGTTGGAAAGCTTCAAGAAATGAGTTTAAAGCTCTTCCTTATAACACCCTGTTTTAAATAGTTGCAGAATCTCTCTAACAGTGTTCATTGTCAACTCTATATATACTCTAATTTTATATAACCCGCTTCTAATAATCTAGTTTGTAATTTAAGGTGCTCTTCTCTTTGTCTTATTATTATATTATTCAACTTTCTCTTCTTTCTTTTTGCTCTTGTCTTTGGATTCCCTATTCATTTTACCACGCACCCTACTATACGCTACTTCTAAATAATGACCCCGACGGCCGCGTGGGTGGGGTGGGCCGGCCGTCTTTGACTCCTGCCATTGTCCAGGGTTTGACCTTTGCAGTAATTATGCTAGCATGATTACAAGTACGTAGGCGAACTAGGGCTGAGGCGCTTAGATTTACGTATACTAGGTCTCAAGGTGAAGTGCGCCAGCGGCACGCTTTGTATACTACTCTTTTGGCTTCTACATATTGCTTGTAATATGACATAAATATGATGTTTTTTATCGTAGCAAACATCAAAGATGTTGCTGTTTATAATCAGAAAGCGAATGTATGTTCGGTTATTCTCTTTCCACTTTTGTCTTTCTTGCCGTCTTCGTCGAAAGGATGTAGCTACCAGAAAAATTACAGTAAAAATGGATGAAAACATCAAACGCTGACTTGTTTGAGTACTGGGATGGCCATTTGGTGAATTTATTGTGCTGTAAAGTTTGCACAAAAAAGAGAGAATAACATTGCGCTGGTTTGCACAAAAAAAGGAGAGAATAACATGCGCATAAGAAAATAACTAAAGGTATTTAATTCATTTGGTTATATTGCCTTGCTATAACATATCTACTTGCACTTCATCATTCTTGTATGAACAAAACACCAGATGTGGATACTCAGAGAACAAAATGCGCTACCAACTGCTTATGAAATTTATTATTGAGGTGAAAACTGTGTTAATCATTCAAATTGTGCACTTGTATTGCAAATATAAAAAAAAACAAAACAAAGCAAAAAGAAGGTAGAAGTATTAAAAGTACAATTGAATTATAAACACCATTGGAAGCAGTGTTTTGATGGTTATTTGTTTTGCCCAATTCATATATCAATAAACAAAATCAAAATATTGAATGAAGATATGATCTTCGCACTTTGCTGGAAAATTTAAGCAATTGTCTCATTAACCTGAAAAATTCAGGTGACGCAACGGGATTTCTAACACCGCACTACATATAACAATCTTTCAAAATCAAAATGTGCTACAACACAAGTATTTGATGCAGTTGCACTTCAGAACATCACAAAAGGTTACTTAAAGTAATTCCTATACAATATTGTTTGTTTTCATTTACAAACCTATGCAGACTTGAGTCTTTTGAAATTTACTATGGAACTCAATTGCAGAGAAAAATAAATCTCCAGAGATTTAATATTTACCTATTTGAAGAAATAAGTAAAATGTATGGGCCTAGTTACGCAACAGGAAAACAATGCGATGTATGCTTTGTCTGTCTCCCATGATGTATTCTTCACAAATAGTGGTCCAGCAAAATCTACCCTGTCTTCGAAAATGGTTCCGCTCTACTCTGAATGCCGGAAGGTTTCCTTCGTTAGGTCTATTATGGTTTATCCTCTAAGTTCTTACACACGACACATTTGTTGAGAACTGATTTTACCTTCTGTCTGCCTTGTGGAATCCAGAACCTTGACCTTATCTCTGCTAAAGTTGCCCTAACTCCGCTATGATGTACCTTTTTGTGGCAATGCTCAACTATTAATTCCGTTAATCGACCTTCCTTTGGTAATAACATTGGAAACTTCGTTTCCTCCACCCTGACATTTTAGTAGCCCCTCATCTTCTACGGAGTTGTACCTCTAACTGCTTGAACTTATCCTCCTTAGCCTGTGTTAAGCCTTCAACCAAAGTTTTCTGCTTTACATCTCCTGAATCCCTAATTCCGTGAAGTTTAAATCTTCATGTTTCCTTTGATTCTGGCGATCAAATTCACAAATCGTGTGACCCATGCCGTTACCCGGAATAACTTCTCCCTCTACTACCTCTCTATAAAGATCACGTTCTGAATACCTATTTCTTCGTTAGTTCTACTACTAATAGTGCCAGTTCCTTTTCTTCTTTACTCTCCTCAGTTACGCCTCCTCTGATTGCTGCCATTCTCTTTCTACGCTGCCACCTTGGTCCTGTCCACCAAAGTGATTGCTCTTGTATCTTCGACGCAAACACTCCCTTGCTTCCTAAATCAGCGGGATTTTCCATTCCTGGACAATGTGCCCACTTCTCCTTCTGTGTTATTGCTAAGATTTCATTTACTCTATGTCTAACAAACTATTTCCACTCACCGCGATTCTGAATCCAATATAATGCTGTAATACTATCTCACCAGTACCTTGCTTCTATTTTCCCTACTTGGCCTACTAAAGCTTTCCGCACAGATTCCATTAACTTTGCTAACATCAGCGCGGACATTAGTTCTAAGCGCGGTATAGTAAGCTTCTTCAGCGGCGCAACCCTAGTTTTATTAACAATTTCACAAAGATTCCAACACTCGTGCGACAAACAAAATATACTAGCGCGCAATACGCTTTCTCGCTTGCATCACCAAACCCGTGAAGTTCACAAGATTGAATTTTGCCCTTCACACCACTATAGATGCATCTTCAGGGGCGAAATTTAAAGGGGATAGGGGGACCCCCAAAATGTTAACGTTGCAGGGCAACGATTGAATTTAGGGCTAATTACAAAACTAAACACTAGGATACGTGCGAACAGTTATCCACATAATTTGAAAATATAGTTCAGTTTTAATTTAAGCTGGATTTGCACTTCATGGGTAAGAACGGAAAACGGTAAACGATACGCATCAAGGAAACTTCCGTTTATAAATTTCCTCTTGTTTTGGCGGACATTTTAAAAGCAGATATGCATCATGATCGAAGTGTTCGTAAGTAAAATTATTGAAGTTTTATATCTTAAGTGGAAACACCATACCACAGAATAGATACATACAGAAGCGACACTCGGCGAAAATCTGTCCCCACTTGTACCCAGTTCTTAAGTGCGCATCTTTGCGTCCGCCATTACTCCAGCCAGATAAACTGGCCAGAATGTATATAGATTAGTATTATGGAGAGTTGTTTTCATAAAATTGATGGGTTTTGATTCACATATGGACAACAATTTTAATGCCTTTTAGCAGGATATAAAGGAAATAAGGTAAGAAATAGTTTTAATACAATATACGTTCGTCATTCATATTCTACGGGTTTATAAGTTTCTCTCATTGAATTGTATTGGTTACGAGATCAACGTGTATGATATTGCGAAAGGCAATTTGTTGAGTCATGCTCATAAACCACAAAAACATGTTAAGGAAATAGTATGCGGTTTAGTTTATCAATGTATGGTTCCGGCTAAGAGCCAAGGAACAGTTATTGACGTTATTTAAATTGCCTTATGTACCATATATAGCTTAAACAGAGGAACTACTCCGGTAATAATAATATTTGTTGTTTGTAATAAAGACTATAAATACTGCTCTGTAAATAATGAAAATCATTTCGATCATTAAGTTCACTCGTGGTTGTTACTGAAGGTATAGAGTATACTAAGAAAGAGATATGGCGAGTAACTCCGAACTCAACACAATTTCCCAGTACATTTGTCGTTTAGGACTAATAAAGGTTTTAATGTATTTTGCCTTATTATTTTTCTTTTTATTTTCTACATAGATTTTCTTAATAGAATGGTCAATGATTTATTACTAAATAGCAGAAATTACACGACCTACTGTACACGAAGAATGCTGTTGGATGAAGACGCAGTTATTTTAGAATGTGGATGACTATCTTTATAAACATTAAAGTACTTCTATGTTTGATGTTTGAATTCAAGTTTTTGACTTGTTATTTTGCATTGCATCTGCATCATTGTAAATGAAACTTTGTAATTTCATCTTGTTTGTCAAATCTGTATATGTTTCAATAAAGTTGTTTTTACTCATTTTTAATAGAAAACTTGGAAAGTTTTGCTGTGAATTGCATGTTTAATTAGTAACCAGGACCATCATTCATTTTGTGCTGGAAAACTATACAGTTATTGCAAGGTTTTATGTGCTACTTTCTGTGTGTCATTCATACACAAATATTTCATGGCAAAAGAGAACAAACTAAAGGGTGGGTCAAGAACTCATTGTGCTGCTATCAACTGCACAAAGCAAACGAACTCGTCCTGAATTTAAGTTTTTCGTTTTCAAAGGATATGGAGAGGTAAGGGTATTTTTGTTTGCAAGTCTTATGGATGTTTTATTTAATGCTGCATGGGCAATTAAGTTTTTAGGCATTTCTTTGTATTTTAGATCAAAGGAATGGGTAAGCAATTGTCGTCGTGAAGATCTTTTGGGCAAAAGTGCAGAATATTTTTACAAGGATTGTAAACTGTGTGCAGATCATTTTGAGGACTGCATGCTCACCAGCATGGAAAAGAAGTGATTAAATCCTCAGAGTAAGCCAACTCTATTCAAAATTCCCAATCCTCCACCCCAAATTGGGAAAAAACGAAGGGCAATTGAAAGAAAAGAAATTCAATATGTTCCATCAGGTAAATAAGTAATTTTTCACATTTTATTTTCCAATAGATTTCAAGTAAGTTTAAATAAAACAATGAAACACTATTTTTACAAAATGAGGAAAAGAATTCTTAAAATTATACACATAATTCACTTGGCAAGCTACATAGAATGAAGTAGATAAAGAAACAGGAGAACTGAATGATTACAAAAAATTTGATTACAGCTGAGAAATCTCGACATGAAGAAATAGCCAATGTTACAGGTTAGTTGGTGACATGCAATACCATGTACATAAAGTTGTTGATACTGACTTAATTAAAACACTTTGTAACAGCTAGATTACATTAAGATTTTTAACAAAGTTTTCAATGACCGCAAATTTTCTTTAGACAATCCACCTGAGTGTTCAAAACGAGAGTTCAGTGGTCAAACAAACCAATCTCTCAAATAACACCCGTAGTAAGAGAAAACAAAAACAAAAATTCAAACTAAGAATAAAAGAATTGAATGCAAGAGAATTTTGACATCAAATGATTTTGACAGTGATCAACAGCTTTTCTGCTATTTCAAAGCATATGATAGTAAGAATTTTGGTGAGTTGAATGTCCCAGCTAGAATACATAAAGACACTGGAAGATACTTTCGTCAATTGCTTTTCTGCTACAACGAAAATTCCAACGTTGGGGCAAATATATTAACAGTCCTCCAGGCAATTCCACCAGTTGATGTATGTACAGAGTTCCCACATGATTATTTGTTAAAGCTTTTTGTCCGAATGCGTATCTATTACGCGATCACATTTGTAAATCATGACTTTACCACCAAAAGGAAATGTCGGAAATATATAAAGTCAAACATCTTTAAACTAAACAAAATTGAAGAATTTAATGCCGAGCAGGTTTATTCACAGTCCAAGAAAAAACACAGGCAAATAAACTGACCCTTACCTCTAGAACTTTGATGAACAGCCAGGACAGACGACATGTCGTCCGTATTCAAGTTCTACTTTGAATGTTTCTACAAACACTTATTTTTCAAATACGATATCGAATTGACTGATAAGACATAGAAGACTCGCTGCGATTTACTGTCTCTACTCGAAAAACGCAAAAAACTGCCAATGTGCCGAACTATTTTAGTTTTTGGTTAAAAACCTGTCCTTGGCACTATAAATTACATTGCGATCTGGCTGCATTTATCTGGCTGGAAACATGGCCGCCGTGTAAAGTTCTCGGATGCTGGGGACACGAACATCAAAGGTTCCGACATCGAGTGGCGCTTCTGTATGTATCTATTCTGTGACCATACTATATTTTTACATCAGTAAACACAAACACTAGGATAAATTTTGTTGATTTAAATTGATTGAAGCTTTGTAGTAGTTAATGTTTGTATAGTTTATTTTACGAACGAAGAAAGTCAAGGATGAATGGTAAGTAGTAGCAATTATTTAAACAAAAAACCCGAAACCAACAAATGTGTAAATGTGATTGGTATTTATTGTGATCGGTATTAAAGCCACCCAAACGAATTGGCGAGCATTCCGAAATAACAACAGAAACATCATTTAAAGATTTCTACCGAAAGGAAATGTATCTGGTTCTAGACTCACTTATTACCAAGTATACCGATAACATTAAAGATTGCATCGACAAAATAAAACCTCTTGGAGAGAGCTTACAGCTACTGCTAGAAAGGCCGATGGCTGAAACAGTTAATGAGATGTGTAGTCTTTTTCCACCGGCGTTAAAAGATGTTGATGCACAAATACTGCTGTCTGAGTTGGAAATTTTCAATAATATTGTGTCATCACAACTTAAATCAGAACCTAAATCCCTTCAAAACGTTGCGTTATTTGCTTTCAAACACAAAAACGTCTTTCCAACGGTGTGCAAGGCGTATCAACTATTGCTGACCGCTCCAGTGTCCGTGGCAAAAGATGAAAGGTGTTTCAGCAAGCTTAAGATTGTCAAAAACTGCCTGAGATCCACAATGAAAGATACGCTATTAAATGACTTAATCGTTCTTGCATGTGAAAAAGATCTTACGGACAATGTTGACTTAAATATTATTTTAAAAAAATTGGGCAACTGCAAAGATGCGAAAACTGCCATTAAAGATTTAATAGTACGCTAAAGTGCGTTCTGCCACAAAAATACAACATGTATTACAAAAATATATAGTGTAAGTACTGTTCCATATGATCTGCAGGGCATCTTATGTCCTTGCAGGGCAATTTCATCCCCAGCCCCCCCCCCATTAAAAAGGTGCTAGTTCCGCCCCTGATCTACTTAGCTTAATAGTCTTAACACGGTTTATATCTTCAATCCATTCAGTGTATAGACAGGCGTACTTTCTGCTTATCTCGTCATCCCAATCAATCTTTTCTACGCACAGCTGCTGAAACAAGATTTTCATCAAAACTATTACGCAGCTAATTAATCCTAGCGGATCAAATATCTTTGCTAGTGCGCTCAGCAGGTTTCGTTTAGTTAACTTCTTGTCACCCAAGTCTCCTACAAACTTTTGCAGCTCGAACATGAACAGATCATTGTCGCAATCCCAGTTTATATCTAAAACGTTTGCGTAATCATCGTTATTTTGGATTCCCAAACTCCATTGTGTGAATGTTTCATCGTCTGGATCTGTCGCCTGCACGACATTATTCACGCATTCACGCTGTTCTATATGCGCTCGCACGTTTGCGTCATTTGCCATCCATTTCTTTAACTTAAAAACGCCTTGAGACATTCTAAATTTCGCCTTTTCATATAAATCGATCGTTTCGTGTGCGCTTTGCCCCCGAAACTAAGTCATCAACGTAAAATCCTTCATTCAATTTTTGAGCAAGCAATGGATGTGATTCTGCAAATTGCGCTATGTGATGCCTAAGCGTGGCGTTGAGTAAAAATGGCGAAGCATTTAATCCAAACACTACTCTGCAAAACCTGTAAACAACAACCTCGAAATTAGCATTAGTCGCATCTCTAACCCACAGGAATCTTAAGTAATCCCTGTCTGCTTTGTCTACTTCTACGTTCAAAAATGCTTTCTCTATGTCTTCTACCAAGGCCACTCTGTTCTCCCTAAATCTGATTAATATGTCAAACAACAACGTTGTTAATGATGGTCCTACATGAAGACAGTCATTCAAGGAAGTCCCTTTCTTACCCTCCTTTGATGATGCATCATACACTATTCTTAGCTTAGTTGTTTTGGCTTCTTTACGTATCACCGCTTGATGGGTAAGATAATGAATATTCATCCCCGGTTCTGACTCGTCATCCCTTTCAATGACTCCCATTTTTAGTTGATACCTAATAATTTTATCATATTCCTTTAACAAATCAGGCTCATTTGACAAACGCTTAATTTGAATTTTCATGCGTACTAAACTATTGGCATAGTTACTTAGTAAATGCCCATGACCCTGCTTCCACGGCAATTTAACAGAGTAGTTATGCCCACTAAACTCAATTTTATCTAACAAGGCTTCGTGCACATCGTCAGTTTCCCTGACCCCAAGTGTTTCTAAATCCCACAACTTGTTCACCTGCCTGTTTATGCTGTTTGTATTCTCCGTTGCAGTCTGCGAAACTAAATTAACGTGTGCATTTTTGATTTTCGAGCTCTCTTTCAGTGGACCACTAACAACCCATCGTAAACAAGTGTCAATCGCAACTGGCTCATCCTTTTTGCCTCTAATTATTTCTCCTTTCTGAAAAGCACAAAGGTTATTATCTCCTATCAAAATATCCACTTCCAACATCTCCTGCTTCAAACTTACATCTGACAAAAACAAATTTTTCAAATGAGAATACTGCTCCTTATCCACCTCAATATGTTCATTTTTTTACCGTACAAATACGTGGAACCACTAATGCCTCTAAACGAATTTTGCAATTACCCCTAACTGATGCGACCTCGCAATTGATGACCTCTGTCATCTTACCTTCATTTGATCCACCACCAAAGTGTTGACCTCTAGCCATTCCCGCGTTGCTACATTAAGCTTCGCATCTTGTTTTGCCCCGTTTGTCACGAAAGACTTCTGACTTCTCGAGTCAAAAGCTCGCACTCTCTTCCTATTCTGACCTACAAGAATTCCTTGCGCAGTCTGCAAGGCTACCCTAGTCTTTGTACTCACATGCACGTTACTCACATTTACCTGCTCTGTTTTCTCTGCGCTACCACTCTGTTTTTCATCCTTCTCTCCTTTGTCACATATAGACACAGGATGACCGTCCCGACATACAATACATTTAGTACGTGCACGACAATCATTTCCTAAATGACCTTTCTTTAGACAAACAAAACATCTTTTACATTTACGAAGAAGTTGCATACGTTCTGTCCGTCCTGTTATCTTCTTGCACTCTTCGTGTTTGTGCTCTCCACAGCAGAAAGCGCAAAACAATCGATTGTTACGGCTGGCAAACAATCGATTGTTGCGGCTCGCAAGCAATCCGCTAGCTGTTCCTGGTTCCCGTCGTCTTCTTCGTTGATCTTCGTCCTTCTCCCCACTGCTAATTTGTGGCATTCCCGCAGCTCCACTTCGACTTGCAACGCGTCGACAAAATCTTTCATGCCCCACTCTAAGTAGTCTCTTCCCCTGGTAATCGTCAGTTTTAATGAGTCCGGTATTTTTGTTAGAAGATTGGGCACGACTATCTCGCAATACGTCTCGAGTCCTCGATAATTCGCTTCCACGGCGTCAAAGAACTTGCGCAGCCTCGTCGTATCATTCTCGTTGTACACGGGCTTTAGGTTCATCATATCATTCACATGTGCCCTTTGCAACATCATTTCGTTCCGTATCTCCGTTCTAACACCTTCAGGGCTTCTGAATAGTTGATCGAAGTCAGCGCAAATCCCGAAATTACTGACTTGGCCGGCTCCTCCACAGGTCCCCTCAGATAGGTGAATTTGTCGACCTCAGACAATCCGCCGTTGTTGTGAATTGAACTTTCAAAAGAGTCCCAGAATTCACGCCAATCTTGTATCTTGCCCGAGAACTTTTTCACCTCCAGTTTAGGCAGCTTTACTCTACAGCGTGCTCCACTGGATACCGTACTTGCCGATGTTTTGGCGAGTTCCTCATTTCGCTTGTTTGTCTCTATCGTGCTCAGCGCTTCGTTGATTTCGGCTAACGCACCCAAAACTTCGCAGCCGTATTCCGGTGAGCCGTCAATATCTGCCGCAATATCTTCATCTTTTTCTAACAAGCTCTGAATCTCATCGTCCAACTTCGAAATTGTATCTAGTTTCTGTACGAGTACAAGCCGCATTTGTTCCAGTTCGACTTTCCTTAATGGCGCATTGTCGTTTACCATACTTCTCACCTTGTTCACAACTTTTGTGGCGTACGATTTGTGCCCACTCCTCGACTGTCGCTTTCTTGTCAGCTCTGACATCGTGAACAACCCTGTATCCTATTTCTGTGTACTTCTTGAATTCTGCTACTAGATCCGGCTCGAAGGACCACGTTTCGCACAATCTGCGCGAAGTGCTGGTTCACTGTTCTAAAACTTCACACTAACGATGGGACTGTATTTTGAATATATAATTTTAACACTTCAATAAGATATTTACAGTGTTGTGCACAATTTTACGTTCCAAGCGTTGGTTCTTCGCGTTAAGGAATGATTAAATTTGATCTTGTTAAGATTACGGACAACCGTCAATCCTAGAACTACCTTTTCTCAATTTATTGCCTTGTGCAATACAACTCTACTTCATCAAATTTGTATGACCAGTTCTTACACCAACAACGTTAACTTTTCCCAACCCCGAACCAACGCTTGCAAGCTATATTTATGTATAATAATTCGGAAGTGGTATTTGGGCGTTTACATATGACGCGAAACTTTGCCATTCCGTTTCTACCTACATCCTACCGCAATGACGCATTGCGGTGAGGAAGTGTTCTCTTAACATGACTATACTATTTTACATCAGCATAATATCCGTTATATCTTATAATCTATAATATGACACAGTCACACACTACATAACTTGACATGACAATTTACAACAGTATCATAAGTGTATTGTCATTACCTGATAAATCTACTGAAAACTCATAAAGAAAGTATGTTGAACTAGAGAGCTACAAAAAAAAATTCAAAACACCATGATACTGTTGTTTGGAAATTTGTATTTTGTAAACTGCTTGGCAGAACCTTGGATCTATTACTGAACAGAATTACATTAATTTTCCATTGAAATTACAAACTTGGAAATTAAAGTGCATTGGTTTCTCTGACAACAACACTGTGTCTATTGCTGCATGAAGGCAAAATAGTTAATTGACAGTGTAGGTGAAGAAATTTATCAAGTTCTATAGATATTATTGTGCATTACTTACAGTCTTTTGGAATTGTGTAATATATGTCATGAACAAGATATAATTTTTCAAAAATGCTAACCCCTTCGAGCACTAATACTCTTCTGTTTTGCTTAAACAACTTACAGCTGCCAATACTAAGTATTTATATGTACAAACTAACATTTGGGAATTAAATTATAAACCACTTAATAATCTTTGTATTTTACATCAAGCTATTGAATTTGTTCTTTTTATCTCTTGGTAAAAAAATATTAATGAAAGACTTAAAAATGTCACATGTTCAAGACAGACTTTGTTTCTTTGACTAGGTTGCTTGACCATGAGCAATTTAAATTTGTTTACAATTTGTTTAAAGAATTCTTTTTATTGATTTCTAATAATTTTTCATAAGACACAAAGAATTTCTTTGCCATCTATTTTTGCTTCTTCTACATTCAACTTCATTGTAATCAATGCATCCGATGTGAATTTGTGAATCACTTAGAATCATACCAAGTATGGATTTGGTGAGATGAGACAATAATATATTTCATTTTTCATGCATATTAATGATTTCCCTTCATATTTTCAAAAAAAAATATGAACAAATTCTGCCCCATTTGTGGGAGGTAAACTCAATTCAAATCAGGAGAGTTTAGCTTGATGCCTTCATCATAATACAAGATGGATGCAAAACTCGATAAAAATTGGCAGCTTCGCCATGTCTGGTGAGCGATAAAGTGAAGAACAAACAGGACTGGACCAAAATAACTTCAAAATAAAACTTAATTGTAGAAACACTCTTAAAGTATCGTGTTACAGGGGCGGATCTAGGGTAAGTCAAATCAGTCATGCGACTGATGTTTGTAGTCAAAAATTATTTATCAAACGTAATGATTACAATTTTTTTTATCATTAAATTTTCGTTCTGTAATCGTTTGGATTTCATCGTCAAAATTCTGTTTTATGTATGAAAACTTTTACAAATACCACCTTAGTAAACAGATAAGTAGATAAAAACATATATAGAATTATATTAACTGGCTGACTGATAAGCGGGGTGGCTCGACTGGTTCGACCGATAACGGAGTTCAAGAAATTTTAAGCCATTTGATTGGTTGATAGCCAGATCAGTGGACGATCTGGAATAATCTCGACCGATAAGCGGGGTGGCCGGACCAATAAGAGTGTCCAATTGCTATCGTGTAATTGGTTCGTTTAAATTTTTGTCTTACTGTGATTGGTTTGACGGATTTCGACTGATAGCCAACTGAACTGACATAGTCAAGCTCACTGTCTGAATTGAATGTTTCATCGTTTCATCGTAATTTTCTAAAGCAAGATAGAAACTAAACTACAATCATATGGAATTTATGGAAATTTTTCACAAATTCATATATTTACATGAATGCTGCTGTCCAAACTGTGAACTTTTTCAGGGGATGAAAAATTTATGGATGAATTGTAAATGCTTGGCAAAGACGATCTCGCGAGCGACATTTCAGTCATTGATGTTCAAAAGCAAGCCAACATTATTTTGAGCTTTCTCAGGAGACATTTACATCCAAAATCGTAAGTAAACGACAACTGAAGTGTATGAATGAATTTAAAATATCAAAGTCAATTTATGCGAGTATGTGATGCGATATATGTCAATATGGCGTTTGGTAAGCAGATTGATGCTTCTAAAATGGTTAATAAAATAAATGGTTTGAACCCGGGAGCATCGTTACATGTTTGTAAATGTAGATCGTCCAGGTTGGTATAGTCCTGAGAAGGAATGTTTTTTGTTGTTGTTGACTGACGTTTCGACAACCTTAGCGGTCGTCATCTTCAGAGTCAAAAAAATGAAGATTTTTATTTTGACAATGTGACTGGAATGGTATTAAACCTGAGTATTTCACATACATGAAATGTTGTGGCATGTCACATATTGTCCCCTTTTCTAACTGAGCACCTCATGTGAGATGTCAAGGTGTGTTGATCTACGGCTCATACCAGATTGTTTGCCATAAATTCCAAAGGGCTATTGATGTATGAAAAGCATTTTCTATGAAGTAAAAATGTGTTCCTATGTATGCAGATTAACCTTGAAATTTGGCAAAACAGCAAAGTGTTTTTCATAATTACTAGGTAATTTTTCTGGTGATCATTATAATTTCTAAACTTAATTATTTCAGATTTACATTTAAACAAGCTTTGATCATACGAAAAGATATTTATCATAACCAGTAAGCATGACACATGAACCAATTTTAACATTCATGTAATTATATATGATTAAAGGCATGTTGGTTACATTCTGTTTGTATTGGCAAATACAATGCTACTGGTGATTGCTATATAGCACATCTTGCATATACTTTCATGTACTTACACAAGATAATAGTCTAGTGAAATGCCTAATAAACATTAATCGCATTAAGTTGTGCTTAATTGCAAATTTTCATTCTGATAATTTTGCTCATTATTTGGCCGAAAGAATTTTGAGTTTTTTCTCAAAAAATGAATTTGTTTGTGTTACAATAAACTTGCATGGTTTGAAGTCTGAGCTTTTCTACATCTATGAACTGTCCGTTGTAGTACCGAATTTCTAACTTAACTCATTACATAGAGGTTTGAATGGGGGTTTCTAGGGGCTCTATGCCTGACAACTTGGTAGAAATTTTTAAAGACAATATCTTTTTTGGAATAGCATTATTAAAATAAATTTTATGTTTTTAGACATTCTAATGAGCCATATATTTGGCATGATAAGGAGACTAAATATTTGGCAAAACATTCAAGTATTGTTCACTTCAGTTTTTTTTAAAAAACGTAAGCAAAATGTGTTGTTTATTTTACATGCACATGAAAAACATGTGACTTGGACGAGATTTGAACTCGCACCTTCGGGTACTACTCCGCCGCTCTACCTGTTGAGCTACCATGCTCTTAAAACTACGTATGGACGTGTTAGGATTTATATTATGTATAATCTCTCTGATGATGGCTTTGGATTAAAGTCGAAACACGGCGCCATCCAGTAATTGCTATCATGGCGAGAACTTTTCGTCCATACGTAGGTTTAAGAGATTTGACTCGTTTCCGATCCCTGTGGGCTTGGTAGCTCAATAGGTAGAGTGGCGGAGTAGTGCGGTCGTCAAATCATATTCAAATCATGCATCATAAATAAAATTAGGATTTATATTATGTATAATGTCTCTGATGATGGCTTTGGAATAAAGTTGTAATACTGTGCTACTTACCGGAGTCAAGAAATGTTTCCTTTTCTGTCCCTTTTTCAGCATCCGCAAACCACAGAAGTTGGGAGATTGTTTAATAAATAAATTTTAAAAAAAGTGTTTATGTTAGGAAAATAAATAGTTTTGATATTTTCTATCGTGGTGGTCAAATAAGGGTGGGCGACAAAGTGTTTATTTCATGAGCCCGCGTCTTTCCGCTAATTTTGACCACCAAAATCCGCCATGTTTTGACCACGGGCCACGCGCTAATAATTTATAGTAATTTATTGACGTGTCCTCTCCAGGTCTTATAGAAGTCAATTTATAGAGCTCAATGGTCAATTTTGGAAATCTCAGCGGCAAAGGGTGAAATCCGCCAATTTTTGGCGTCATGAGATATCTAAGGCCGCGCTTCAGATAGCCTCTCCAGTTATTATAGAGCTCAATGATCCCCTCCATTTATTATAAAACTCAATGGTACAATCTCATCCAAATTATTATATCTTATTGAGTGCAACATGCTGTAAAAACATAAATGCCGCCATACCTTATATGGCAAATTTTGGACGAAAATGTCAGCGGAGTTGCACTGGCTCATGCTAAGGAAACTTTTTCTTTCCTCCTGATTCCTGATTTCAATCAACACTAAAAACTAAACTATAGTATTCGTACGACGATAAAAAATTTTATAAGTATTTAATATTCCAAACGCAAAATGTATAAAATTTCAACAATAAAACATGCTTAAAACGTGTGTGATATACGGTTGCCGAAGAAATGTAAGAAACATTTCAATGGTTTCATGAGACCGCCGGTAAGCAAGATAATTGTTTTCATCGTGTAAGTGATTAACCTTCAGTGTTCAATATTTATTATTTTCTTTCACTATACTTGCAGTGCGATGGCATTTATTTGGTTAAAGTTTTTTACATGTTTTAGTTGATGTTAGTTTTGGCCCTTCTATTTTTACTTAAATGCATGTTACACGGTCACGGTGTGAAACTTTTCGATATTTGCATATCTTGCATCAAACAAATCAACAAAATTCTCTGTTATTCAGGCTTTATTTTTTGTTGCTAGTAATTTCTTATATGATTTTGTTAGGACTACATTGCCGACGTCTGTTCCGATTTAAGCTTGTTTAATCTTTGACCGGAGACATCGAACCTGTAGACCACAGTAAATATATTTCGCATGCTTTCATGTCCACAGCTAGACTTGCTTCACATTTTAAATTCATTGTTTGACGTTCTGTTAAAATTTGTTAAATCCACGTCGACATCACTATTAATTATAACTCAAAAGCAAAATACTTTTAATACTGAACATTTTTCTTACCAAAAAGTGCACTGTACCGATATGAGATGTGTATAACTGTTAAGATATAAATACGATATTAGCAATATAATTTCATTTTAATAATGCTAATCTATTTTTTTTGGCTATATCGTCAGTAATATAATGATTAGACGTGCTAAAACACAGAAAATTCTAGAACAAATAAGCATTGAACACAGAATACATCATGCCAAGTTAACTTCGGACACTTTCTTTGCACAGCGGGCAGTAATATATGTTGGTGAAAAAAATAGAATCTCACAATCGCATCCCAGTTTAATTAACAAATAGATAACATTCAACCGTTGTCTATACAGTTATAGATACACGGGTATGATGTCATTTCGGTGACATCAATTCTCATAAATCATAGCTCTCGCCAATGAAATTGTTCAAATTATTCTGGTTATTATATAACAAATAATAGATTATGGTGTCTCAAAATCGTTTAGCGCTGTTAAAGTTTGAATTCTCGTCTAAGTACTCCGAGTTTGAGGAGCCAGAGCATAAGACCCCGTCTACACGTATCCGGATTCGTTTGTATCCGCAAAAATTTTGTTGCGGATACAAAACTTTACGCGTCCACACGTATGCGAACTCGGTGCGTTTTTGTGCGTCCACACGTAGCCGCGAAAACGATACAAATACGCAATTATTGCTTACAGAGCATGCGCTGTTACGAATAATGAGCACGCAATATTTTTGACTAGATTGCTTCGATCATACGGTAAAATGTCGAATTGTCCAACAAAAACTACTGCTTCGGGGTCATCAAAGAAAAAAAGTAAGAATGAAGCTTTTGTGTGGACAGATGATGAAGTGGACCTTCTATTAAGCGTCGTTTCAGAATATAAAATCGCGAAAACGTCAGAAAATTTCGATTGGGAAACCTGCCAGTCAAAATATGCTGACATTTTGGATCTGTTTATATCACAATATCCTTCCGCTGAAAACGCTATTCAGCTTGATAAGGAATTTCCGCATCAAGAAAATGAGCTTACAAAAGCTATTCTGACGTCCAAAATGAAAGCCATTCGCTCAAAGTTTCGCGCTGCCATCGACAGTGGAAGAAAAGTGGCCATGGAAGAGTTGTCCTTCTCTTCTTTGATAAATGCCAGGAAATATGGGGTGGCTCGCCAGCTACAACCACGCTACAAAATGGCATTGAAACGAGTCAAATAAGTGACGAACAAGAACTTGACTTGTCATTTAGCTCTCCTTCTTCCAGCACCCATAATTCCCAACCCTACCAACAAAATATCCCTACCACAAGGTCCATCTCTCCACTGAGAAGGGAAAGTGAAACCTCAAATGAGCACGAGTGTTTGGAAGTCGATGATGAACAAGATCCAACACTAAAAGATTCAAGTTCCCTAAAGGAAAGACGAGATCTACTAAATAACAGATTAAAGAGCTACAGACAAGACAAACTTAAACGAAAACTCTCTGTTGACGCTCAACTTCTCAATATTGCCAAGGAAGATATGGAAATGAAGAAAAGGATTTTTTCAAAAATGGATGATATAGACAGACAGCAGGAGAAAACATGAAGAGGTTAACTTCAAACATGGAACAGTTAACTGGTTCCATTGTTGAAGGCTTTGCAATGCTCCGCAAGTTATGCAGCAACCACCTGCTATGTCTTCTCAATTTGTACCACCTGTACATTATCAATCTGGTATATACAACAGAATGCGAATCATTACCAAACTAACAGGATTAGGAGAATGAAACATTCAACAACGATTACGAACAGAATTTGCATTTTCAGCCAGATAACTTTTGAACTCTGTGAACACTAGATGAGTAATACAGCATGAAAATGAAGATTGATTTAATGAGAATTTTAGTGCAGTAGTGTAAGAATTATAAATAAAAGCATGGTTTGCTTTTACTCACGTATAACTGTCTTAAATGTTTTCTTTAATTCTTGTTTTGTTCATCATTGAATTATCTACAGCTAGAAGGTACACAGTTAATGTTGTGGAATCAGAAGTATACCTAAAATGTGGTTTGTAGCATCTTAAGTAATCAGGTCTGTGTTTGGTTAGGTAAGTTTCATAGCTGCTCCAAACTGACTGATTTTCATTTGTTTGCAGATGTTAGCAATCTATTTTACAAATGTATAAAGTTATTGCCACTTGTTTTACAGGGTCGATTGATGTTCTCATCACGGTGTCCTTGCCTTGAATGAAGGGTCTTAACTCTTCGGCTAACCTGTACAAAGAGACTCGACCCATACGAAAGTTTTCCCTCCACTCTTCAGGAATAACTATTTCATTCAAAAAAACTTTCCCACCAAGCGCTTGTGCGTCCGGGTCTAACCCCAAAATCTTCGAGGTCGTGCTTGGCGTATTTTATTTAATCGTTTTAACGACACATTTCTGGCTACTGGTATTGAAAGCAGCCGTATCAGTGCCGCACGCTCTCTTTCATAGCTTTCCTGATAATTTACGACGGTAATATTCAATTGGATAAACGCTATAATGCTCGAAATTAGCGCAGTTAAAATCGAAAGAATCGCTTGCTGTTGAGGCGCCATTTTAACGGTAGGATAACGCAGGATAAATGAGGACTGGATTAGAAAATTTAGAGGATCGTTGTGTGGGTAGATAATCGAATTACGTCAGCGTTTTTTAATCATTTCGGTTACAGTGCGTCCACACGTATCCGGATTCAATGCGTTTTCAAAAGTTTCCACTCTGGAGACCGTTTTCCAAAGTTTGCGGTTACAGCATGCGTTTTCACAGGATACGTGTGGACGATAAGCGTAACCGCAACAAAATGTTTGCGGATACAAACGAATCCGGATACGTGTGGACGGGGCCTAAGTGTTTGATAATTGGCATTCATATTTAATCAAGCCTATAGAGCTTCAATTTCTTAAAGGGAGAGCGGTAAACACTACTGTAGTTTACACGCTAAAATTTATATTCACGTACAGGTTCTGTTTTTATATTCACGTAGCCGCAGATTTCAAAGAGGTCCTGTTGCTGACCCTCGTAATTTACTGCATATTGACAACAATTGTTAACAAGAAAATAAAGTAAAAAATACCAATAGAAATAATCGACACAAACGGCTTTCTGTACGGAGTGCTGTTGAACTGCCATCCATACGCTTCCAAATCTCTATCATTTTCCTCCCAAAAGAACGCCCCTGGTGCCCTTTGCTCGTTAACGCTATGTTGATTTCAACATTATGCAGACGCGAAAATAGTTCACAACTTCAAATGGTACCAAGTATGAACATGAAAAATATTTCACGCAAAGATCGGTTTTGAACTTTGAAACTATAATTTGTCTGTGTTACATTATTTTATTGTTGCTATCTTATAAAATATACGGATTTGCTACTATTCTCGCATTTGAAGTTAACTATCCTCCCCAAAGCAACAACGATTATGTATGCATGCGCACAAATTTGTAGTAACTGTGGTTATGTGCTACTTCTGAGACGCTATCTTTCTGAACCGAGAGTTTTCTTTCGGCATTGTAGTTCTTTAAATGCAAAGCAGATGTAAAATAGCACTTGTATAAAGTGACTAAAAATGGCGAACCAGAATCGATGTATGTCTGGCTGGCATTTGATCAACTTTCGAACTCGACAACACAACGTACGCCTTACGTTAAAAATATGCACACAAAACTTATTTTGTTCAAGTGTCAATGTATGAATTATCATAACTAACTCTTTCAGTGTCCAGACTCTCTTTAAAACATTAATATCAGAACAATACCAGGTCTACAAAAACATTGAATTATTTTAATTGCCAACTATCGGATTACGACGTTTCTTCTATGTCAGTTATTCAAGGTCATTTGGACACGAGGCCAAATTAAGAGAGTCGGTTGGAAGGGTCTTACCAAGTAAAGTATCTGCTTCCGCTGTATTTGTTCCATTGTTTGTATCATATATTGGCTTAATTTGTGGAGCTGTTTATGTTTAAACACTTCGAGGTTTTATTTTACAATAATTCACTGATTTCATTCCTTTTTCCCCCAGATTGTCGCACCGTATAAAAGCAAAACGGAAAATCGCAATACGCAATCTAAAAATGTCTCCTATTATCTCTCTTTTGTCGAATAACTTTTTTACAAACTTTGATAACTTCGTCTCAGTTTGAGTGTTACGACTTTCATCGTAAATTTTCATTGTATAAATTATCAACATGAAAACTTTAAAGACCTAAAGATGAATCAACGCTGGAATCAACGTATTTCTATGAAAATTCATCATACAGGGCGGCAGACTTTTCTGCAACGGAAAATTAAGAAAGATAAATGTCTCACTTCCTCGCGCACATCCTGGTGTTGTTCTTAATATCGGACGATGACCAATCATCCGTTCTATAAAGGATGTTCTTGCCCTTGTTGACGTACGTCCTGTTGAAAAGGTAGGGCGGAAATATACATTTGTGTGTGTATATAAAAAACATACAACTGAGTTTTATAAAACAGTCAAAACGCTAACTTACTGAGAAGAGCATACTCAAAGATGAAAAGGTTTGTAAAATGACGTTACTGCATTTTCCTCGTGTACAACAAAAGCTGCATTTATAATTGGCCTTAATAAATGCGCTATACCAATGACAAACCACGTTTGAATCGTTATCATTGGTACACAAATACATTGCGCACAAGCATCTATATTCAGTCTTTAATTGCTATTAAGAAATAAATGTACACAATTGTTATTATGAAGAAGGCAAGGAATCAGATGAATAGAACTCAATCGTATTTGAAATATTTAAAATGTAATATTACACGTTAACCGCCTTTTGGCCCAATATACCCTTACTTGTTATTCATACGAACGAGCAATTCTTTTAAGGATGGAATATTTTTGCACATTACTCGTCTTATTTGTCGTGAAAGTCCAATGCGAGTTGCCACCAGAGCCACCAGAGCCAACAGAGCCACCAGAGCCACCAATAGAGCGAATTGGTCCCTTTATTAAGGGTATGAGCTAAATATCTTCGACGTATCGTTCCATACTAGCACCCACATTAATTACTAAAGTGTTTTCATTACAGGGAATGAAGCTCTAAGTCCAGAATATGAGGATGAAACTAATCGAATGTTTCAAGGGGATATAAAGGATCCCGGACGCTGGCCTAATGGAGAAATTGGAGAAGCTGGTACACGAACACCTTGGCCTAATGGCATAATTCCTTATATATTTGACTGCTCAGTTGGTAAGTATTAAAAACATGCACTGACCTTTTCACGTTTTGAAACCAATTTTCCATTCTTTCTTATGAAGCAAGCAACACACGTGCAGTAAGTGCGACGAGAGAAGCCATGAAATTATGGGAGGAAAAAACATGTGTGAGATTTGTGGAGAAACAAGCTAGTCACCAAATTTACCTCGAGTTTATCAGATCGGCTGGGTGAGTAATCTGTTTTTGTCGTATACATTGCATTCATAATCATTTTATGATAAATCCGGTTCTATTTTAGTTGTTGGGCTACATTCGTTGGTTACAAGAGGAAAAAAGTACAAATCTCTATTGGCAAAGGTTGTGATTTCAAACACGTAATGATTCACGAGCTTGGTCATGTGATCGGATTTTGGCACGAGCAAAGTCGACCTGACCGAGATCAGCATATTACAATCAATCGCGCAAACGTTATTCCATGTAAGTTCAGGAACAAATACACAACTATACTGAAAGTGTTCGTATGAGATTCTGAGGTTTTGAGGTTCAGAGCGTGTTTTTCGTTGGGAAATACTAAATTTGGTGTGCTCAACTGAATTAAAGTGAATTTTATAACTAAGTAATTACGCTTGCTCAAATGTGCTTTCTGATCAAAGTTTTACGGTAAAAGTTGTACTAAGCGTAAGGTAAATCAGACATCAAAAATGATCCAATACATATCATAGTATAAATCTAATACGTTTGCTGTATGTGAACTGTGAAGCGTCTGTCCGCGTCTAAAGATCCAGCTGAAGTTATTTGCAATCAGCACAGGCTCCTCGGTGGAAACAATAATTAAAATCATCGCTGCCTAATAAATTGACATGTATGATATCGGCAGGTTACCCACCTGTACGCATTGCGCAAACGTATTTTTAAGCGTTGTTTGAGCGTGTGCTAGCTCAGTTTGAGTTTTACAAGGAACCTTTACAATGCTTATATTATTGTGCTCATATTGTTAGTCTCTAAAAGACAGTTTCTCACAAAATTACTGGCTGTTGCTCTCATCATCAGAAATTTGTGGATGGAAAGACTTCAAATGTTAACTATTAAATGTTTCATAGTTTGTGTGAACAGGCTAGAAAATAACATTTCATATTATTTTCATTTTAATAAAACCCTCAAAAAAGTCAATTTGTTTTAGTTACCAACGTTTTCCGCATTTGACTAAACATTAATTTAATTTTATTTACTTTTTTAGCTCTTTTGTACAACTTTGATATCGTAAAAGAACAAGTCAATAACTATGGTGAACCTTATGACTTCAACTCTATCATGCATTATCCATTTAATGCGTTTGCAGTTGATAGAAGATATGATACAATCACACCAAGAAATACAAAATAAGGCAAACAGCAAGACCTTACCGAACTTTAAGTGAGTCAGATGCTACACAAACAAACAGAATGTATAGATGTTCTCGTAAGTAACTTTGTCTTCATTTGCTCAATTATTCATCTCCTATTGCTGCAACAATCGATTTTTTCCATTCAGAGGTCAAACTTTCACGTGCTACAGATATCAGAAATATAAGTGACGCAAGTAGTAGAGTGGATTTCGCCTCGACAGGTAATTATAGTTCATTAATACTGTGAAGCGTCCACACTTTCAATTCAAATTGAATATCTAGTTCCCATATTTACAATTCACTGAGTCTCATTGAATACAGCTGTCTTGCTATCATTAGTCAATGGTAAACATGTTTCTCGATTTATGGCAAGATGTTGAAAAACATATGCATATATTCATGCATTTAGATTCTGTCTTTTCAGGAGGAGGATGTAGCGATCAGCATATTCATTGTGAAAATTGGGCGACCAACGGCCACTGCACGTTGGCCCCTGATCCTATGTTGAAATTTTGTCCAAAAAGCTGTAGTGTATGTGACAAACCATGTGAAAATAAGTACCCTGAAGATTGTCCAGATTGGGCTGCATATAAATATTGTGTTCATAAAAAGCATCGTTCTTTTATGATAAAGAATTGTGAAAAATCATGCGGAATCTGTCAAGGTAAAACATAAAATAACTTCCTTTGCTCTCCATTCTCCTAGATTTTTTTGCAAAAAGAACAAGGAATTTTTCCTGCAATGAATTAAAATAAACTGCATTTCTTTCTAGATTTTACAAAATCAACAACAAGAGCAACCATACCAACAACAATTGCAACCAAACCCAGAACAAGAGCAACCAGACCACCAAGAACAAGAACAACCAGACCACCAAGAACAATGGCAACCAGACCACCAACAAGAGCAACTAGACCACCAACAAGAGCAACAAGACCACCAACAACAAGAGCAACCAGACCACCAACAACAAGAGCAACCAGACCACCAACAACAAGAGCAACCAGACCAACAACAAAAGCAACCACACCAACGACAAGAGCAATCAGGCAAGGTGAAAGACGTCTGCCATCGGGGAAATATACAGGTAATATATGGCCTCTTAAAACTTCAACATGATCGTTTCGCGGTAACGTCAATTTGTATTTCAGGTGTCCTTTGTGCGGATCGAAGTCCTAACTGTAAGGCTTGGGCAAAAGCTAACCGATGTCGCACAGATCGTTGGGTCTTTGATAATTGCATGTTAAGTTGCCAGCGATTTACTGTCTGTGATCGAAAAATTATACAACCGGAAGGTAAATAACAACTCAGTCACTACACTTCAAACGCAAATTTAAATGCATGTATGTAATTCAACGTTTTTCATTTCCAGGCTCTTGTGTTGACCCTCTTGGGGTTCATTCTAAAGATATTATTCCAGACATTAACATGTACGGAACAACTGTCTTTGCTCCAGGTATGGAATTCTGGTATAAATTATATTGCTTGTGCATCTTAACTTTTTTTCTGCTTCAAACTAAAGTTACACTCACGTTCTTCCATTAGGTGGCGGATGGAGTGCACCTGCCCACTCTGCTCGTCTTTACAAGGAAGACGATCATCAAAAGAGGTTTGTTGGTGGGTGGTGTGCAAGACCTGGATTTAAAAATCAATATTTACAAATTGATTTCGGAAGAAGAAGAAGAATTACGGCCATAGCCACTCAAGGAAGAGATGTTTACTTTGAGCACGTGAAATCATACAGCTTAAAGTTCAGTAATGATAGACGAGTCTGGACGGACTACCAAGAAAATGATGAAGTTAAAGTAAGTTGATTGTTGGGTGAATCGATTAAGGTTTCGTGGCACTTTTTTAAATGCGTTAGAAGGTTTGGAACAAAAACCTTACTTGGTAGCATTTCACAAATTTACGCCATAAACACTCTAATGAGCGCTGTCATTTATAAGTTCTCGTAGGGCACAGTGATCAGTGCGTTTTGATCAAAGTGTTCGGGGACGGGGGGTGCCAGGCGCCCCCAATCATTATCCTGGAAGTGAATTGTTCCTTTATTTGTGAAACTTAACAATTTTCAATACTTTTAACTACGCCAAAACCACGACCATCCCACGCCTAATTTTTCGGCAAACTTGAAAAAACAGAAAAACCATAGATTCCGCTACGCCCTTAGTAACTAAACGTTGTGGGTACACATTTATGATTTGTAGCAAGCGAAGGGCTTGTCCGTTATATCCATCTCAGCTTACTTGATCGATCTATACTACATGCATTAAAACTCGCGGCATTGTGTGCAATATTCAAGTCTATACGTTTTTCAGTGTATTTGAATATTCCATACGTTTTACAAGAGGTTGTATGTGGCAGCTAATTTGTAGATGTTATTTCTCCGTTATTCGTTTGATATTGACGTTTTATATGTTATTTAGGTGTTTGATGGAAACTGTGATCACATGACACCCGTTCTAAATCTTCTGAAACACCCTCGATCTGCTCGGTTCATCCGCATTTATCCAATTAAGTATATAGCTGCAGCTTGTCTTCGAGTAGAAGTGTATGGCTGTTAAATACGAAAGCATTTAAGCACACTACACAACCAGGTTTTATATATAAAGAGGTAAAATAATTTATTTGTTGATAATCATATTTTTTAAAGTTAAATATGTGTAAATATCTTCTTTACGAAACAAAATAAAGTTATATTATTTTAAAGTAACCGCATTTGTCTTTGAACTTAATCACACACCGCAATCGGCTCCTACACATCTCTACCTCTAAGAAACTTCCCTTACAAAATCGGCGTTTCTTCGTAATTGAAAAGAAGGGAAAATGCAGGAAAATATGAAATGTAAAACTTTGATCGATTCAAAATCAACCAGTCTTCTCGTATTTGCGTGAACTCAAGAGCATTTTTTGCGTCTTCGTTTTGAATTCTTCGTGCAGATATATGGCATTTCATTGTTTGTTGGGAAAGCAACGAGCTGGACTGAAACACCAATTCAGGTTATTACTATTTTCCTTTTACGGCTAATTCCAACGTGTTGCCTAAAGAAACTATGGTGGCCCTAAGGGACACAATACTTCCATGCAAAATATTACGTTTTTCATTGAACATTTAATATTTCCACGCAAAATACTATGTTTTCCATGGAACATTTAATATTTCCACGCAAAATACTATGTTTTCCATGGAACATTTGTTGCTTCGCCGTACAATATTGCTTGTTTTCCGTGCAACGTTCAGACTTGTGCGCGCGCATGAGTTGAATATAATGCAGTTACTTGAATTTTCGAGGAAATCTATTTGGTAAATCCACAGTCTAATAATGCAGATCTAATAATAGTGTATTATTAGATCTGTGGGTAAATCTTATCAGTGAATCTCATAAAACACGAGTCTGAAAGTGGAATTTTCATGGAACATTTAATATTTCCGTGCAAAATACTATGTTTTCCATGGAACATTTAATATTTCCATGCAAAATACTATGTTTTCCATGGAACATTTAATATTTCCACGCAAAATACTATGTTTTCCATGGAACATTTGTTGCTTCGCCGTACAATATTGCTTGTTTTCCGTGCAACGTTCAGACTTGTGCGCGCGCATGAGTTGAATATAATGCAGTTACTTGAAGTTTCGAGGAAATCTATTTGGTAAATCCACAGATCTAATAATACAGATCTAATAATAGTGTATTATTAGATCTGTGGGTAAATCTTATCAGTGAATCTCATAAAACACGAGTCTGAAAGTGGAATTTTTATGGCAAAATGTTCTGCCAAAGTTTTGGAACAAAGCTTTTGGATAAAGCCAAATTTTGCCACAACTGTGGATTTTGTGCATTATCAGATGTCGGTAAGTACACAACCCTACAGTTTATAAAATACAAGTGCACGAACGTTCGTTCAATTGTAAAATGGAAGTTGTTCATTCTACTTTTTATTTATTTAAAATCTTCTTATCTATCCCTATTCTTCTCATATGTTTTCTCATATTTTTGGCTGTTGTATTATTTTCTTTAACAATATATTTCAAACTGTATTTAAACACGGAAATAGGCTCAAAACCTCCAAGCAAGACCATTGGAGTAAAGCCCCTTTCATTTGAAGAGTTTCGTAAGAAGAAAGAGGAAGACAGATCATCAAAATTTAAGCCAAAACCTGGTGGAAAAAAAGCAAAGTTGTCAAAAGAGGTGAAGGTGCAGGTTGGCATTGTGAAAGACAAAAATGGAGATGGTGTATTGGTAAGGGTGAAGTCAAGGACAATAACAATTGCAGTTGATGAAGATGTTGATGGAAATGCTCTACTTGAAAAAGCAATTGACAAACATTCAAGGCATCATAAACAATTTAACAAGTATAACAAATATGTTCTTTTGTATAATGACATGTCAATTGTGAGGTATTTACCCGAGACCAACATACCATTTGTGCTTTCAAAATATAAAGAAGATTTGTTGCTGCCATTCTCCAAAATGTATTTCTGGCTATGTACAGAAGATGATTTTGAAAATTCAATTTCTGATGAAAGTTCTGACAAGGAACTTGAAGAGATTTCGATGAAGTATCATGAGTCTCAACCTTCAACATCAAACTCTTTGGCCACAACAGGTTGTAGGGATTTCAATGAAGATGCAAGTAATAAAATCCTCCAATCCTCTTCTTTGTCTTCTCAAAGTTCATTTACCTCAACGTCTCAAGTTTGTAGTGTGTCACAAGGACAATTGTCTCTGCATGGAATAGAAAAATATCTATTGCAACATCAATGCCCTACATGTCTTGGATACTATTCACGTGCAGACATAGAGGCTCATGCAGACATGTGCGCAGAAAGGTGGATAGACCCAATTGGCAAGTTATCAGATGACGAACAAAATAACCTGGAAAACACGCTCATTGCTGAAGAGGAAACTTGACAGCCAACTGTTGCACTACCGTGAAATTGGCACCACATTGGGGACGACATTCAACACAACATTCATCACAACATTCAACACCACATTCAACTAAAAGAGATCATCACAATGATAAATCGAAAAATCGTCTTTAAAACACGTTTTCCATCAAATACAACAGTAAAAAACAATTCTTAACTGTTTATTATTATTTTACTGTCCTTAACCATCACAAAAAATGTATAAAAGTCAAGAAATTGAAGAAAGCACTAAGATTTATATTACAGTGTACTTTCCATTTCTCTTAATTAGCGTATAACTTAAAAACTACATTGTAGAATTTTATTAAACTTGGCCAGAATATAGATAATTATATTGCCTAAAATATATCCAAAATCCGGAGAGTGCACAAAAAAATAAGTTGTAGAAAATCATCTACAAAGTCGGATGACACGAATACGCGTAATATAATATTATATAATTAACTTCCTATATCCAGGTAACTTTGCAAACAAAGGCCTGTAAATAAAAAACTACAAGGTAGAATTTTTTTAAACTTGGCCATATTGTAGATATTTTTATTGCCTGAAATATATCCAAAATCTGGAGAGTGCACAAAAAAATTAGTTGTAGAAAATCATCGGCAAAGTCGGATGACACGAATACGCGTAATATAATATTATATAATTAACTTCCTATATCCAGGTATCTTTGCAAACAAAGGCCTGTAAATAAAAAACTACGCTGTAGAATTTTTTTAAACTTGGCCATATTGTAGATATTCGTATTGTCTAAAATATATCCAAAATCTGGAGAGTGCACAAAAAAATAAGTTGTAGAAAATCATCTACAAAGTCGGATGACACGAATACGCGTAATATAATATTATATAATTAACTTCCTATATCCAGGTATCTTTGCAAACAAAGGCCTGTAAATAAAAACTCGGTAGAATTTTTTAAACTTGGCCATATTGTAGATATTCTTATTGTCTAAAATATATCCAAAATTTGGAGAGTGCACAAAAAAATAAGTTATAGAAAATCATCGACATAGTTACATAGTTAGATGACACGAATGCGCGTAATATGATCTTATATAATTAAGTTGAGAATTTCAAGTCATTGCTAAACAAAGGCCTGTAAATAAAAAACTACACGGTAGAATTTTTTCAAACTCAAGTATGTTATAGAATTTTATATTGTCTAAAATATATCCAAAATTTGGAAAGTGCACAAAAATATAAATGATAGAAAAACATCGTCAAAGTTGGATGACTCAAATTATATAAGATTATATTACGCGTAATCTTGTCATTCAACTTTGCCGATGATTTTCTATAACTTATTTTTTTGTGCATTCTCCAGATTTTGGATATATTTTAGACAATATAAAATTCTATAATATACTTGAGTTTAAAAATTACCTTATGTTTTAGCTATAAACTGTTTGTCGAATGTGGTGCCAACTTCACGGTTTATTCTCAAGGAATACTATTCCTTTATATTTTTTGTGCACTCTCCAGATTTTGGATATGTTATAGATAATAAAAATCTACAATATAGCCAAGTTTAAAAATTCTACCGTGTAGTTTTTTTTATAGGCCTTTGTTTGCAAAGTTACCTGGTATAGGAAGTTAATTATATAATATTATATTACGCGTATTCGTGTCATCCGACTTTGTAGATGATTTTCTACAACTTATTTTTTTGTGCACTCTCCAGATTTTGGATATATTTTAGACAATAAGAATATCTACAATATTGCCAAGTTTAAAAAAATTCTACCTTGTAGTTTTTTATTTACAGGCCTTTGTTTGCAAAGTTACCTGGATATAAAAGGTTAATTATATAAGATTATAATACGCGTATTCGTGTCATCCGAATTTGTAGATGATTTCTAACTTATTGTGCACTCTCCAGATTATATATTCAGAGAATAAACATATCAACAGTATGGCCAAGTTTAAAAATACCACCGTGTAGCTATAGAGCTGTTTGTCGAATGTGGTGCCAACTTCACGGTTTATTCTCAAGGAATACTATTCCTTTTATATTTTTGTGCACTCTCCAGATTTTGGATATGTTATAGACAATAAAAATATCTACAATATAGCCAAGTTTAAACAAATTCTACCGTGTAGTTTTATCTTTACAGGCCTTTGTTTAGGAACGACTTGAAATTCTTAACTTAATAATTCAAGATCATATTACGCGCAATCGTGTCATCTAACTATGTAACTATGTAGATCATTTCCTACAACTTATTTTTTTGTGCACTCTCCAGATTTTGGATATATTTTAGGCAATATAATTATCTATATTCTGGCCAAGTTTAAAAAAATTCTACCGTGTAGTTTTTAAGTTATACGCTAATTAAGAGAAATGGAAAGTACACTGTAATATAAATCTTAGTGTTTTCTTCAATTTCTTGACTTTTATACATTTTTTGTGATGGTTAAGGACAGTAAAATAATAATAAACAGTTAAGAATTGTTTTTTACTGTTGTATTTGATGGAAAACGTGTTTTAAAGGACATGGGACGTATATTTTAAGTTAGGCTTAATTAACGGGAAATATCGCATAGACTTATAATATACCTTTGTTAGTTCAACCAAAGTTTTTGTCTTCATGTAACAAAGGTTTTTCTGACTCCAATTTAAAAGTTCCGCGGCCATTTTGATTTGTTTTGAATATAATGTGATATGCAGATTTATGCAATGACGTCACAACTGGGAGGCATATCTGGTAACACAATATACTTTTATATGTGTTTTGATGAAGTCATTGTGAATTATTCTTAAAAAAACGTTTTTTCACACTTTTTTTACATCATGTACATGCAATATATATAATGAAATAAATAAAGAAAAATAAGTTATATATTTATATATTCAGTATACATTTTGTATGGTTGTATCGGAGCTTGTTCGTGTCCATGTTCATTTCCACTCGTAGGAAATCGTACACGATTAAAAACATCAACAAATATGACAGCTAAAGCTTCATGAAACATATTCGCCAAAGTCTGAGAGATGATTACAAATAGAAGAAAGTTTTAAGAATTGTATTTTTGTAGACAGCAGATTTTGTTGTAAATTGTAATGTTATGTTGTGTAGTGTGTGACTGTGTCATATTATAGATTATAAGATATAACGGATATTATGTTGATGTAAAATAGTATAGTCATGTTAAGAGAACACTTCCTCACCGCAATGCGCCATTGCGGTAGGATGTAGGTAGAAACGGGATGGTAAAGTTGTGCGTCATATGTGGACGCCCAAAAACCACTTCCGAATAATTATACATAAATATAGCTTGCAAGCGTTGGTTCGGGAGTTCGGAAAAGTTGTTGTTATTGGTGTATGAACTGGTCATACAAATTTGATGAATTAGAGTCGTATTGCAGAAGGCAGATTGTGCGAAAGATTTCAGCGATCATGTACTGCGCAGTATATGGATGTTACAGTAACAGCAAAAATAATTCTGACAATTCTATTCATTTTTTCACTTTCCCAAACGGCGTAAAAAATACAGATGAAAAAAAACGAGAAAAAATTTGGATTGAATTTTGTAAAAGAAAGGGTTACAAACCTACAAAGAACTCGACTATTTGCTCTCTGCATTTTGAGAACGATGCCTATATACCATCCTGTTCGCCGTCTTTTCTAAATTCAATTAACTTTTCGGGGAAAAAGAAAGCCATGCTAAAGGGTGATGCTATACCCACATTAAATAAACCCAAGACCGCAAGTGATGCTGAAAAACTAACTGCAAAGAGTCGATGCACAGGCAGTCACTCGAGAAGAAAGGTAAAATGTGAAAAAGTCTTTAATATTTAGGAAAAGAAATTATTTCTACTTTCACAGAAACTTGCTAACTTTAGTTTCTGGCTATTTTGCTTCATGACAGGATATTGATGCCATGGTAGGAGAATACATAGAGAACAAATGTGCCCCAGTCGAAGAAGAAATTGTATACGCAGATGCATGCAGTTCTCGTGGGGAGGTTATTTTCCATGAGAACTCAGATTTAATCCAAACAACGCACCATGCTAGTTCTTTGTCAAAAAGAAAAATTACACAAAATAAAAAAGACAAAGCGACACAAATTGGAAAGCCGTGAAGATGCTACAATAATCAAAAACAATTTAAAAGTGTCGCTGTTCAAACATTCATAACGGCAGAGAGACTAAAGGCAGACCTTTTTACAAAAAAGGCAAAAATGACATCCACTAGTTCACAGACAGATGAAACAAAAGCCACTCTGGGTTGTGTACAGTTGCCATTTGGCACATCTGATATTGGTCTTGACGATAACAGATTTTCCAAAACTGTGGACAAAAATGATAGAAATGAATATGATCAGGAGCAAGATACAGATACTGAAGAATTCGTACTTGGAGATACAAATAGTGAAGACTCAGAGTTCGAAGACAATATTAACAGCAATGTAGAATCTAAATGCACGAGTAAGATTTTGTCACGCAACAAGCTTCCGCAAGATCAAAGGAAATTTATTGTGTTTGAAGATTCCTGGTTGAATGTTTCGATCGCTGCTCTAAATGTGGTAGTAAATGCCTTGTTAGCGTAGCAAACACCATTGGAACCTTTTCCAGAATATCTGTTCAATGCTTACTAGACGAAACCCATAGCTTTACATGGTGCACAGGCCCCTTGTGTAATAGACTACCGGTATTTCACCTGATGCTGGCCTCAGGCATCTTGGCCACAGGGCTAGAATGGGCTAAGGTTCTTCGACTTCTCAGTGCATTGAAAATAAAATGTTTCACACGTCGTGAATTTTCAAGATTGCAATCGGCGTATGTTATACCTGCCGTGTTCAATGTTTGGGGTGGTGAGAAAAAGAGATTGTTACAAAAACTAAAAGGACAAACTTGCTGTATTGCGTCAGATATGCGAGTAGATAGCCCAGGTCACATCGGGTTGTTTGGTTCCGGGAGTTCTTTGGACGTCGATAACAATGTCATACTTGATACACAGATCATAAAGGTAATGACAGAGGTTATTAACATATTATAATGATCGTCTGAAAATATTCCGTTGATATAATATAGTCTTCTTTCGTATGATATTTCTCTATACTTTATCAATACTCAGAGCACTGAAGTCAAGAATTCCAACGCCATGGAGCTAGAATCCATCAAGCGTCAACTTGCATACCTCGAAAATGGTGATGTTAAAATTACCAAGCTTGTGACTGACAGACACATCCAAGTTACATCTTACATGGCTAAGGAGAAGCCAGAAATAGAACATGTTTATGATGTTTGGCATGTGGCCAAAGGTGCAGCTAATTCTCTGTTTGCAAGTATTAATCACTCAAATATAAGTGCATCAGTTGTGGATCAAATCACTGGAATTGTGAATCATGTGATTAAGTATGATGTATTTAAATTGAACCTTTTAGGAGAGAAAAAGAGGTTACTTAAACTTGCAAAAAAGAAGAAATTTTGTGCAATTAAGCCTTGGATTGGGGTAACTACATTTAAAAAATGTATATCATGCCATTCCAGAGAAGTATGAGTGATACTTGTAGCTATATCTTAAACTTTATCTAACAGTCCATCATAAATCATTTGTATTGGGTGGCAAGCTCCAGCAGCACTGAAATTGAAAAAGAAGAAAAGTGGAAAAGTTTGGCAAATCACATTGCTGATATTCATACTCATGAAGACAACAAGGTGTTTACCAAATGCTTGCATGAAGCTACTAAACGGCAATGGTTAAAAAAAGGTAAAGGGTAGTATCTAGCTCCAATTCATTCATGGAGACTTCATCACTATACACAAAAAAATAAGTGCACGGGCACCTGTTCTTTAACAGGTCTCAAGCATTTGCATGTATATTATAATCTTGCTTCCTATCAATCTATTCATAAGACTGACCTCTTTATACTTTTTAAGGTAGTGCAGCTCATAAGAAACTAACTGAACTTATTTCAAGACCAAGATTGATAAGTGCAGTTAGAAAGTTGTCAAGTCACCAACAAACATCAGGCTTGGAGGCAAAGCATTCACTTGATAATCTTTTTGCATCAAAAAATACATACTATCCATATCACTCAATCATGGCCAGGTGAAAACATGCATTTTTTCTCACATATTTTACTTTAAAAAAGGGTTGCTTTGACCAATAAAGAGTAATGTGTTATTCCAGCCTATACAGTTACCCATTGTGAATTTTTCAGGTTATTTTGTGCAAATTTACATTATAATGAAAATGCTAATAGACCCCAAGCAACAACACAAAAAGGGGATAAAAGATGGTCAGTTGCATACCCTAAAGCTCACAAAGGAGAAAAAGCTGTGGCCAAACCAATAAGCGACTGTCCTACCTACAGTAAGAATTAATAGACAAATTAGAATCATTAATGACAAAATGTTAATGCAAAATACATTTAAAATTTTCAGATTATGTGCAAGATGTTCTGACTGAGTGTCTGAGACTTCGCAAAGATTTCAACACCACAAAAATAGCATTGGAGAATGCAAAAACATTGCTTCCGAAAGAACCTCCCTCACTTGTGGAAACATACTTGTGTGGGAAGCAAAGGCAGCCAAAAAATGAAGTCATTCTTCGCAGACACAGTAGATTTACAACGCCTGCTTTGCCCGACGATAAAATAAATGACAAAGTATGTCTTTGCAAGGAAAATGTGCTACAAGCCGATGTTATTGTAGGAATAAGAATCGTCCATGTACGGAAAGTTGTGGTTGCCAAACCATGAAATGCAACAATACATGATGAAAATTTAAAAGCCTTGAAATCGCAAATACCTCAAATCCAATTTCAATTTACTTGGCATATTTGAAATGAGTGTAAAGTGCATCAGATGACCAATACTTCCCTCGTATGCATTTGTACATGCAAGATGGAAATGGCCTTCGACATTTCTTGCCAAGAATATGGAAAATCCATCTCGAACATCTTCGATACGCAACATGACGGTATATTTTTTGTATGACTGCAAGTTCGTCATCACCTAACGGACTGTTTTCTTCAATATACTGCCAAGTATCTATTTCAAGGACATTTGCCGATATGTTTTGATTGAAGAAAGCAAGTTCAGTCACGCAAGACAAGCCTGCATCCTGTGCCGATTTAAGTTTGCCATCATATTCGTCATATTCAACCGCTTTTTCATGAAAGCAAAAGCATTCAATCGTTTTTGCCATAAACTCACAATGGCCGCATTTACAGCAACTGAGTGAAGTTTTACGCCAACTATACATAGCTTCAAACTCCTCGTCTATCTGATCATCTACTTCGCTCGACGAAGAACTTTCTGAGTCAGAATTCTCACTCTCTACAAATTCATCTGGCATTGACTCAAACATATATGACTGAACCATAGCATCTTTGTTAATATTTTCCATTTTGAGTGCTGTAACAGCAGTGTAAAGTCCCAAACTTTGCGTAATAAATGAGAATGCTTGTCAATTTGCAATATAAACAATATTCATCAGCGACAAAGTCTCCCTGTTGTGACGTCACATATGAAATATAATTATTTTGGCTGCTCATTTCAAGATGGCGGAACAGCCCTTGAAATAAGCAAACTTTCATTCTAAATTGCGCTTTAAATATATATTTTCAAACCGGAAAAATAATGTTTTACGGAATACTAAACTGCAATGAATGATATCGCGACATGAAAAAATATATGTCCCATGTCCTTTAAAGACGATTTTTCGATTTATCATTTTGAATGATCTCTTTTAGTTGAATGTGGTGTTGAGTGTTGTGATGAATGTTGTGTTGAATGTCGTCCCCAATTTGGTGCCAATTTCACGGTAGTAACTGTTGCCACTATGCAAGAAGTGGTACATCTAATTCAGGACAATGTTAACAGATTGTTTACCAACAGAGTTACTATTCGTAGGCGATTAGCTTTTGCAGATTATGTGGATGCACGGAAACGAAAATGGTTTGCTGAAGGAGGAAATCTTAAAATTTGTTTTGCTGGTGAACCTTCTATTGATGGTGGTGGCCCAAGGAGGGAGTTTTTCACAGGTGAGAAAATCAGTGAAGATTTTTTTCAATTCATACTGTACAACTGTGCAAAGAAACCAATACGTAGTAATTTTAATATTTGTTTTTATACCTTGTTTAATGCTAAGTCTGTTTCATTGTATTGACAGATGTCCTACAACACATTAAGTCAACTTTGTTTGATGCAAATGGTTATCCACTGTTTAGTACACGAGCACTAGCAAATGAAGACTTCATGGTTGCTGGTGAATTAATATCATCCTCTCTGGCCCAGGGAGGACCAGCCCCATGCTTCTTGGCAAAGAATGTATTTATTTATATGGCTGAAGGGGTAAATAGGCCAACAACTGGTTGGAGTTGGTTCATGATGCTAATTTCAAAGATGAAATTAATAAGGTAAAAAATATGCACTCATTAAGAAAAGCAAGCAAATTTCACTTTAAAATATCTCAAAGCTGTGCTTAAAGAATAGAAAAAAATTAACTCTCATTTGTTCTACTTATTACCATAGCATTCTTAATTGCATTCAGTTAGTTAAATGTGAGAGTGATGAGGAGCTGAGGACATTGCTTTGCTCAGATGACATGATGAATATTCTGCAATCAATCGGCTACAGGGGTGTTCCCTCCAAGGAGAAATTGGCCTTACGAGACAACATTATTCGGTATAAAACCATGGTCATGTTTTCATACGTACAGTTCAATCTACATTGTTCATCTTTTTTGACACATCAATATCTTTTGTTGTAGGTCGATTGTAATTGCAGGAATTGGCCATATGCTGGCAATGATGGACCAATTAAAAACTGGTCTTACACTTTTTGGGGTTCTGCAGCAAATTCAACATCACCGGGAGATAATGGCATCAATGCTTACACTGGATGGTGTTGCTAATTTTTGCTTGACTGCAGACATTTTTCTTGAAAATATGACTGTAGAGTTTAGCCCTCAAGGAAGCAACAAAAAGCAATTGGAAATAAATGTCCACAAATTTTTTTGTGACTATATTCAAGAATTGAACACAAGAGGTGAATGAGAAATAAATGCAATTTGTACCTACTTTAATGGCTTTTAACTATCTTACACATTTTTCCTTTATAGACACTAGCACTTCATTAAAAACGCTGTATAGATTCATCACTGGAAGCCACTCTGTAACACCACTGGGAGCAGAAAAGCACATCACTGTCAAATTTAAGCATGGCTGCCCTGAAAATTGTAAATGCCATCCAACTGCTGCTACATGTGACCCAAGTATCTGCTTTCCAATTCACTTTGATAATACAATGCCTTACTGGAGTATTCGGGATTTGGTTTTATATGAACTTGAAAACAAAGTCCTTCAATGTACATATGATATTATTCTGTTGTCAAAAGAATACTTTTTTGCAAACTTCTTAAGTACTGCATATTACCTACACATAACTCATCAAATTATCAAAAATATTTGCAGCATCATTATAGTCTTCTGTAAACTCTAGTTGTTGAATGTCCACTAAGTAATTAAAATAGTCTTGGAATATTTTCCCATTTTCAGTTTCTTGCTGTGCAATTCTCATTTCAACTTTCTGTAGCTTCTCATCAGGGACTTGGACTAGACAATCAAAGCCTCCATATTGCTCTGGGATGGAAAACAATATATCAGGTACTCCAGAGACAATTTCATGTCTTGACGGTCTTATATGATGTATATTCCAATATAATTGCACTTCATCAAGAGAACTTTGAACAACTCCATTAAAGGCAAACCATAAACATTGTTTAACATAGTCATCACACAAGTTCAGCTGCCTTTGCTGAACAAAGTCTTTAAAAAACTGGGTCCACCAACTTGTACATGACTTTTTAAGATGTGACCACCAGTTTTCAATTCTCTGATTATGGGTAGATGTCCCGAATGTATGAGCTTGTTCGCCTTCCATTGGCCAACTATCATTGGCTCGAAAGTAGCATTGAGCAGCAGCAATCACACCATTTCAGTACCACAATCTGATCTTATTTGAAGTGGACAACCTCTGTATCTTCTAACAGCATCCAAGTAGAACTGTGCAACTGATTCAGGAGCATTGTTTGACTTTACCACTTCCAACCATAAAACATTCCGGCTGAAGCCATCAACAGCACCATGGATAGGAAAACCAAATGGCTTCAATTTATCATATCCTGTTGGTAGTCAATTATAATTCATATGCTAAATTTTGTCACTGAAGTAAATATATAAACAAATTTTACATGAAAAAACATACCATCAATATGCCAGCATTGATTTGGACCTTGAGAAATACACTGACGCCTTTGAAGCCTTTTCCTTCTTCTTCTAATACTTGCCTCTGGATCAAGTTGTCTTAGAATTGTCGCAACAAGTTTCCGGGGAACATGCAGATGATGTTTAATTCGAAGAATGTGCCACATCTTCCAATAACCAGCTAATGAACCTCCAGCAACTTGCATTTCTTGCCTGAGAAGGGTTCTCACATTGTCCTCAGATATGTTTTCATTTCGACGAGACAAATGATATGATTTCAAACGTCTTTTGAGAGTACGAACAGTCATTTCAATACCATGTTTCTTCATCAGCAAACAAACAATGAGGCCGTATTTATATCCAGCATGAATATAATTTTCAATAATTTCTCGTTCATTCTCTGTTGGTTAACAAAATTATTTCGCTTTAAGGCTACATGTGAATAATAAACAGAATTTAGTATTTAAGAAATATCTTACCCGTTTGTGTAATTCCACATGAAGGACAAAACGTAATGTGAACTTGACAAGAAAACTCCACTAAGCAATTTTTACAAGCTGCCATATTGGTTCGATTAGGTTCGATTCTTCGATTCGATGGATTCGATGGTTTCGATCACAATGTTCTTGATCAATTTCTAGATTTTAATATGCGCAAGTTTGAACGTTGCACGGAAAACAAGCAACATTGTACGGCGAAGCAACAAATGTTCCATGGAAAACATAGTATTTTGCATGGAAATAATAAATGTTCCATGGAAAACATAGTATTTTGCGTGGAAATATTAAATGTTCAATGAAAACGTAATATTTTGAATGAAGTATTGTGTCCCTTATGGGCCACAGTACGAAACCATCTGGGATTTAGACGGGCATTTCATTGGGATGTCATGCCCATGAAGATCATTTTCATTTTGATGAACTTTGACAGAAAGTTTCCTGTCGATTAGCATTTTCATGTTCGATGAAAAGTTTCGCATAATATAATTGTCAGTCATTGAAATGTGCAACAGTTATTCGTGTAATGTAAAGCAAAGACCTGGTTGCCATCGAAATATAGCGTATTTTCCATGTAGTCTAGGACCTGTATAAGAGTTTGTATGCATTTCATTTACCGGAAGTTATCTCAACTGTTTTTGGGTAAAATGACCATGAAGAACCACATGGCATACGTGCCATTTGCTCAATCGGGGACGAAAGTCCTGAAATGGAGAGCCCCCCTGAAACGGCAGTGTCGACATAGCTCTAACTATTAACAATTCTGTAATGTTTATGGTGTTTAGAAGGTTCACTTTAAAGTGCACATCTCACAATTTTTTTCTAGCACTTTCGTATTGCTTCTTCAAAAGTAATCTGAAACTTATATTACAATTTTTTCATGCGCTGCGTTGTTTTCGAATTATTATTCAAAAGGGGGGACATCATTGACCACAATGAATTTTCGACGGACCTGTTTTAGTAGCACCTCAGATCTGGGTTGCTTTGGCAGCATGACATTCATTGGTGGCGGGGACATGACTTTCAAAAGATTTTGCGAATTTGATAATGCGTCTTAGTCTTTTATTGATAGCATCACACTCTCAAATAATTCATACACATTCTCTAAAAAGAAATTATCGTCATATTTGATACTATGAAATGATGCAAAGCAACACATTTAGCAGCAACTTACCAAATTTGGGCTTAACTCTGACATCTCCTACAGTGCCTTCACCATTTTAAACTTTGGATACACCAAATTTATTTGGGAACTGCCATCATTTTTCATCTTTACATCACGCCTTAAGTTGTTGTTGAAGTGGATGGATGTCAAAATGTGTCTAAAACAATAAAGACTTGTGGAAGTTGCAAAACAACTAACATTGTCATATTGGAAATTTTCGCCCACCTGCAATACATTCCAACCTAGGAATAATGAATCATTTTAGGAGCAAAATGATTCAGGACAAAATGGAATCCTTCCAAACAACTTATTTGAGCAACTGGTGAAGCCTGGTGAATTGACCTCATCAGCTGTGAGTTTAACAAGTTAGCACTAAGCTTTTCATGAGCAACTGAACCTTAAACATTACAACAAAGAATGATGATAAACTGTTAGGAAGTTATCTTTAAATAATGCCTTCACAAACCTAACAAATATTCCCTTGGTTTAATATCAGGGCCATGAAAACAACTTGAAAACAGTGGATTAACCAATTTGGTGTGCTTGTCTACTATGTGACTCAGGAAAGATTTGAACTTTGCCCAAATTACTTTGCCATCACCATCATAAGTAAAACAAACAAACAGCCAAATACTTAGTCGGAGCGCGTTTTCTTGCAATAAAATTCACCCAGATTTTACGTCTTCGCTTCGCTTCAGGACGCTCATCACCGTAAAATGGTATACGGTGAAGAGAAATTCCTTCCGCAGAATTTGCTCGGTTTGAACAGCCGAAAACTGCACATCTATCAGGCATTTTGTTGCAGAGCCATAGTAGATTTAGTAGAAATTATAACAAAAATCACACTTCACAAAACTTCCTGTCCTTATGTTACGTCACATACTTCTCGTTTCAGGCTCTCATCAAGCAAATTGAAAGCGCAGCAATTTTTCTCCATTACTGCCCATTTTGAGAAAAGAAACCCATTTATCTCATAAACGAAGCCATCAATCAGAAAATTGTAAAAAAAATTTTTACAATGATTTTTTTACCTCAATCAGAAAATTCGAAAAAAAATTGTGAGATAAGCACTTTAAGGGGTGGTCACGGGAGGAAAAATTTACATAAATTTAATATTTATTGAGAAAATTACCATACACCAGCAATGGTCTAATGCCAATTTTGCATAAATTAACAAATATTCTCGGCAGAGATTGAATTTTATATTTTCATAGAAAAAATCATATAGGATGAAAAACCACTCTCAACTCACTCTAATTATTCGTTATTTCAAGAATTTGACATTGTTTTTGCTGGCATACGATAGAATATATTTCGCATACCTTCATCCTTAACCCGCTTTCAGCCATATTTTCTACTTCTTAAGAATCTTCAATTTTGTATACGGACATTTTGTTAACATCGCCATTCAATGACTAACATCCCGCTTCATAGACTTCTTAAGTATCTTGATTGCACTATTGAAACGAAATACATTGTATTTTAGTACCAATTGAAAAAATGAAAAGATAGCTTTTATCCGTGTAGGGAAAAACCTCCCATAGAACATTTAGGATCTAAATTCAAAACACAACTCAAAAAATTAACATGTAGATCACGTGCGAAATTCGTGAAATTCTGTCGCATGCTTCTTGACGGGGGTTTTTGCATTGATTCAAGATTTCTAAAATAAACATTATGAAGCGTTTCCTTCTACTTCACTCTACGGCTGAACTATGTGTTACGTTTTGATAGGCGACTTAATCCTGCGCAAATATGCAATTCAAAATCAAAATACATTTGTATCACACAAGAGAAATACAGCTAATAAAATAGAGACTTTGTCGTGTGTCAAAAAAATCATTATTTCTTGGAAGCAGTACATATAGAAGGGCAAAGCCACACAACTGAATGGCTTTTCACAGACCTAGGTCGGGTAATAGATAGTCTCGGAGACAATGTAGTTGGTGCAGTTACAGATAATACAGCAGCCGACAAAAAGGCATGGAGTAAACTGGAAAAGCAATACCCTACCCTCTTTTTCCATGGCGGTGTGTTCCATTGGCTACACCTTCTAGTAAAAGACATCTTTGCAGTCAAAAAGAAGGATGTCCCTGATGGTGGTCCTTCAGAGTATCCAGCTGGTTACCCACTCGAAGACCTGCTCCAGTTTACCCTCGAGTGTAAGGATGTTGTTTCTTTTTTCCATAATCATCATGTCCCTAAAGCAAAGCTAAAGAGAGCATTGCTGCAGCTAAGTTGAGTAGTTTGCACATATTTTTTTCTTTCAACAGCAAAAAGACTATGAATTATTTTTAGAATTGTTGTGTATAAAGGACGTCATTTGGGGGAGGGGTAGCTTTTGTACCACCAGGGAGCCTACGAAAACTTCATCAGTCCCTATAACTCCGTCAGTAGCATTGTGTTATTTTGTTTTAAGCCTCGTTTTAATGAAAATCGTTATTTTAGCTTTATTTCCGATAAATATGCACTTTGACGATGTAAAACATTTAAATATATTATACGAAAGAAAAATTTAGTAAAGAAGGTCTGAGAAATTTTAAAAAAACGATTTAGCTACTTTTCAAGATTTGTCTTAATTTTCAATGATTTTTGGTGAACGTCATTTCCTAGCGCACGTCTGCAAAAAATATTTTCTGAAACAAATTTTACAGTTGTTCGAAAGCCTAAAAGATATCAGCAGTGGCGTGCTGGTAGGGGGAGCAGGGGGCCGCAGTCCCCCCAGGTGTTGATTTTTAGTGGCGCTGAAATGAAAAAGGGGCGTCAAAATTTGAATTTGCATGTTGGAGAAGCGTTTTTGAAATTATACGGTTGCTATGATTTTACTCCTCAATGTCCAGGAAATGACATGTTAGAGTTTCTTAATTCAAAATTTTCCCATGGAGCATGCTCCTGGAACATTGGCGTCTATCCTATGTTGATTGGGGGGGGGGGCATATTCATATATCCTGCAATTCCTGGCAAATTTCTCTTCAAAACAATTTAAAATTTAAAAAGAAATCAGCCTGGCATAACAGAATATATCAATATGGTTCCCCCCCCAATTATCCCAGGATTGACACCAATGCCCTGGACCTCGAAACACGACTTGCACTTTCGGTGCTCGGCTCAGGCTTTGGCCCTCGTTTTAAAGGACTTGGCGCGTTTACAGTGGTTACCAACCGCCCCTGCACAGAGAAGATATTCCCAGGACGCCACTGGACGTCAACCCTAGGTAAATATACGGACAGGTCGTGCAAGAAAGGCAACTGGATAAAAAGGATAAAAATGCTTCAAATAAGAATAAAGGCATCAAAAAAATTGCTCAAAAGCGAATTTCATATGGAAACAATAAGAAATTCAAGAGATGGGGATACCAATTGGTCAAGCCCATGGTTAGATGAAGCCATCAAAACACTAACTAATAATTGCTTAACATTTTATTTTCCCAGGTAGTAAATCCGCAAAGTCACTGAACAATAGCACTTGCATTTGCATAAGTATACAAGATAATGAGCAAATTTCAAAATGAACATCTGCGTGTGAGCCAGTGTATGTTTTGTTGTGGTTGAAATACAGTCGTTGAAATACAGTTGAAATACCTTGTACTTCATAGAGCGGAAACCAAAAGTTATTAAAGTCGAAATTGAATGAAAAAAACTTTTGTCGATCTCATTAACGATTGGGCAAGCTTTGAAAGGGAGTATGTTTATTTTTCTAAGCCTAGAATTCCTATCCGCAAAATTAACAATCCTATAATCAGTAGCGAAGACAGCCTATTTCTTTTCCTATCATTGGAGTATTTTGTGTTTACTATAGGAAAAACAATGAACGAAAATAATTTTCCACACAAATTATTCATGATTTTGATGAAAATTATGCAATTCAGGAACCCACAGCCTATTTTCGAAAGAATATGGCATCGTCTAATTGGTAGTTTCGACCTCAAGGAGTATTCTCACACAGTTTCAAAGAACAAAAAAACACAAGCAAAAGAAAAGAAAAAACAAAGAACAAAAGCACAAGAAAATATCTGTGGCCGATAATGTAGATTGATTGGTACAGACATAATCAAGATTAATAAACTCGGAACAACTACTTAAGGGTATGAAGAATTCTAAATTTGTGTAATATTGAAATTTAAGGAAAAATATGCTGTAATGGAAGATGTAGCAAGTGTCAAGTTTTTCACATTTTTTCTTAAGCCACAGCCCTCATGCAAAAGTATAGCATGTCAGAATGTGACAAGTCGAATGACGTTAAAAGTAAGAAAAAAAAAAAGATGGCATCGTGTTTTACTTCTTTCATTTTTTACTTCTTTCATTATGCAAATAACATCACTGTGACATTACAAGACATGATTAATTTTAGAATTTAAAATTAACAGTTTTTGTCGACATTGTCTCGTCAAATATCTATCTTATTGGCTTTTAAATTTCATACACATATGTATCTATTTATGCATTTGTTAAATTTTAATTCTTGTATTTGCGAATAAAATGTATTCAGAATGCAAAATATTAATACTGTTATAATGCAACGTGTGTCACAGTGATTTATTTGCATAATTAATGAAGTTCAAATTCTTTACAAAGAAATAAAACTACACAAATCTATTCTTGAAGTTATAAAATAATTTCAAAAGCACTCCGTGCAGTACAATCAAAAAATTACATGATAAAATTTCGTTATGTAATAATATTTGATGGTGTCGTCTATTATGTTATCAAATTTGTGCTCTTGGTGAAATAGCAAGTCGCTGCTGTCATGTCGCGCACATAACATATGTATTTATAATTAATGGGGTTAGGTTGCACATGTTTTATAATGGGACTTTGACAGCGCAATAGCTTACAATAGTACAGCCATTTCATTGCTTTTAAAATCATTAATAAGATATGCGAATAATCCAAACGAATGAAGCGTCGTTATCTGCAACAAGTTCTGCTTCCAGCTAACAGTGCGAGAAAGTATAAAATCCTATTTTGTAGACAGGAATCTAAATCATGGTGATGGTCATACTAACAATTCAATTTCATAAATTTTTGATAGAATCCACATCAATTGTGTTCAGTATATGTCGTGTTGAGCTGTGGCGTTGGTATTACTATATTACAATTTACATTTGGAAAATGCAATGAACACACTTAGACGCACACATTTTATTAAAAACGTATTGCTCGTTTGTCTAAAGCTCTGTAGAACAAAGTGTTGTCGATGGAAGCGGCGGATATCTTATAGTGGTAAGCGATCGCGGTCGCAATTTTTGCACTTCATTTCTAAGTTCCTCGACAAAAATATCGGGTGCACTGTTTCGCTTGCGCCTGTTTTTGCGACATCCCACGATCAATCATACCTTGATCAACGATACCAAGAACGTTTAACTCTAACTCAAGTGGTAACGTTAGAGATGAGCAAATATCAGCACAATTGACCCTTCGATTGCCTGTTGTGTTGCACTGCAAGCACGCTCCTATTTTGGCTGTTGGTTTGTTATCAGCCGTTTGCGGAAGTTGGTGTATTGCTTTTCCAGCGGACTTGTCCATAATATCTCTTGAGAGAGTTACGCTTGACTTCGATAAGAAAATTCTTCGTTCGTCATAAACATGTGTAATTTTAATTGCAGGTATTTTCTTGTCCAAGTCGGGTTCAACATTAGACGACGGCATTCTGTCGTTACTCATTCGTCGATTTTTTTAGTTTCTGCTACCCACGAAAGACTTTATTGCGAGCTTCATTGAGTCCTTGACTTCATCTATTTCCTACTTAGCAAATTTACAGTCGTCTTTTAAACATGCACCTCTAAATTTAATTTATTATATTGTGCCAATCCCATTTTGATGACGCATTTTTAGGAATGCGTAAAAATGTTGTATAAATATCAAATAGTGGGCGCAAAAATGGTAATCTGCCACACATACATCATCAAGCTGATCAGAGTGGGATTTGATTTGTTACGAATGCTGATAAATATACGTCCCATCTGTAACAAATATTTCACGGTAGTCGTGCGAATTTCCGTTTTTTCTACAGAAGCTACTGTCAAACATAAAGGTTTTTCTTGTGTGCAAGATGCTAAAAATGGATTGTGTGACTTTCTATCGGACTTACTATCAAACAACAGAAAGAAAGCAGGGACTATGTTTCAAAGGACCAGTGCCGAGCAACATTTACACCCATATATGAACACAAGCTTGTTGAAAAGATCGTTATATTTTCTCTTCATGCTCTATTCTTGATCCATTAATGATGATGGGATAAAAGCTGGTTCCCTTTAAATTACACGACAATCTCTTTACATTTTAGAGTAATGTGCTAAAAACTATTTTCACGAGTCTAATCAACACGCGAGCTTTTACTTTTTGTGGGGAACTCTCAACCGAATATGATGAACAATATATTCTGAGACACCAGTGTGCTCCATGAATTTAATCATATCTTCAACAAATAGATCGGTTAAAATTACAAGTTTGTTGATCATCAAGAAGAAAAGCCATGCATGGACCAGGGACAAAGTTCCATCCCCTGTGGTACATCAGCATTTACTATCTCCAGTTCACATAGTCATTGACTGGGATCAAGTTTAAATCTCTGCCCTCTTCCTCTTAAAAAAGAATCCTTTTGGTAGGTTAAATATACCAACTTCTTTGAGTTTTAATAAAGGATACTAGAATCAATAAGATAAAAATTGTTTGCAACCAACGATGGACATGAGAAAAAGATCTATATATAGGAGTATTAGAACAAGAAATAAAATCAAATTTGTTACGATGCAAGTAATTCTTTTAATGCCGGTTGTATATCATTCAGGGCAAAAACTAAAATGTTAAGTGCGGGAGGTGGGAACATTTATATATTCAGCTCTGCCCTGCTGATTTCTTTTGAAGTTATAATTTTTGTTTCGCACCTTACTGATCATTGTTTTGATTATGGCATCTTCGACAATTTTACTAAATATAGAGTGTTGGAAATAGACCTTTCTTAGATCCTATAAGCTTGTTTATCCTAAGGTATTGGGAAATTATATTCACCAACTTCCAGAGTGCATGCACTTGATTCTCTTTAAACGATAAAAATTTTATGGTTTTTGCTATAGGCTATGCTAGGAGGTTGAAAATTTTCATAGAAGCAATTTTGCTTATTAAAAGCTCTTTCCACGGTTTAAAACTATTTAAACGTGTGAATACTTCTTCGAAAAACAGCGAAACTGAGCAAACAGTTTCATTATCACTGAAGACAGAGATATCAAATGGTCCCAATCGTCTGAAATTTTATGAAACGATTCGCACAATTATATGCTTTAGCGACTCATAATCAGATAATCAGGCATGTGTTCAAGAAGGCATTCGCTAATAAAATTGATGAGTGAGCGAGGATGCGTGGAATGATCCAAGTTTGCAAATAGATCAGTCTTGCGTTTCATTCACTTCCACCAATCTTTGAGTTTATTGTGTTGAATTTGTTTAACTTCAGCTTGATAATGTAACTTAGGTCAGTTTTTCCTGCATCTATTTACGTTTTTCCTTTTCAACCACACTTTTCAGTTTGTTGTGCACCAATGTAGATCGTTTCTATTTACAGCCTTTTAATACATTAGAATATTTAATCAATAGTGTATAACGTAAGTGAAAGAAGAACAAGCTATTATTATATCCCATATCCCGGTTGATCCGACTGCTGGCCAGGTCATGCGGGGTCCGTGTGCATGCACTGCTGGGAAATATTTGATCTCGTGAACCTGGAAATCATGCAAGTGGAAAACAACCAAGTTGTCTTTCAACTTGTCCCACTTCAATCCGAGAAACATTGATTTAGTTTAGTTAGTTTAGATGCTGTACAGCACAAAATACTTTGCAGTGCTTCTTCCTGAGGGCAAATTTAGAATTCCATTTACACAAACCCAAACTGGCGTCGTTGAGAATACTTAGGCGACCTACTGTGTATGTGACCTCCGGATAAAAGATCATTGATTTTATGTTGAGAGGCTTTTATCTCGACAGTACAAAAGCACAAAAGTTTGTGCTTCACTTCCGGCATTTCGGCTACTCTTTCGGTGAAACGGAAATAAATCTAGTGCACGGAGGTATTTTTCTTTTTCTCTCTGGTAAAGATTTCGAAAATCAAAACATGCGATACCCTCATAGTTATGGGTGATGCTAAGATTTCTTCTCCGATACCAACTACTCTATAAGGTTATACATTACTCTATGGTACACCGACATTTTTTTTGCTTGCCCACCATTTTGCATCGAACAGTCTTTCATGAGCATGCGCACTATTACGATATTTAGCCCCAGCATGCTGTGCTAGCCCGCCTGATGCATTCACATGAACCCTTCTGCCGAGATCCCGCCTCGCCAAAGCGAGATCCAGTCAAAATGAGCCAGCCCACATCTCACATGAATCAAAATTTAAAATTTTTCCATAAGATCTCGCTACTGTCGGACTAGCCTGGTAAAGCGGGCAGCCGGCTCATATGAACAGACCCTTCCAGAGCTTATACAGAGAAAATTTTACATTTAATATCATAGTCTTATCAAACAGAACGTTTAAAATGACTGTAGCCTTTATAAAACAGTTTATGAATATCACTTTTTATTTTCAAGATACTAATGTTTTTGTTTTGTTTAAAATGTCCCCGTTTAGTACAACCAGTAACGTCATATGGCATAATGAGAATTCGAATAAAATAATAAATTTGATGATACTTTACTTCAACCGGGCAAAGATATCTTCCTTGATAGAAAGTACTGCTTAAGTATTACGTACAAAAACTGCCCGGAAACATAAGGACTTTGGAAAGTTTGCGGCGTCTAATTATGCAATATGACGTAACTGGTTGTAACACAACAGGACATCACTAAAACTTCATTAATTGTGAATGACACGAGATATTCATTAACTGTTTTAAGAAAGTCCACTACATCGCCTAGCACTTAAATGACAAAATAACAATTTGTCAATGTACGTTAATGTGGCCAAAAGACACAGCATTGCATCCAAACATGACGAAACTGGGAGAAAATGTTATTTTGTCATTTAAAATCATGAAAATGTACAAGAATCAACAAATGCTGGAAAGACTCGACTAAAAAGTATACAAGATGGAAAAACATGGCTGAAAACTTGTTTTGGTTTAGAGGAACCTAGATAAAACAAAATAATATCAATCGCTTTCAAATAGTAAATGACAACAGTGAGTTAAGTGTTCTTTTCAGTCTCATATCAGTCATATGATTTTTCCTTTATAGATTTCCTTTATAAAATTCAATCTTTTGCTAAGTCAACACTTTACCAGAGATGGTGCAAGGGAATATTCTCAGTAATATTGATTGTCGAGAATTCTCCTCCGCTTTTAGACCGTAGTCCTCGATAACTCACCGATATATGTTTATTCAAGTAATCGAATAAAGAAATGTAATAACTAAATATATTGTACTCATGCAACACCAAGTTGCCGTATTGAATACAGTCACCGTGTGCAGACGCTTGCTATCACTCTAATCGCAGTAAGGATACTAACTATCGCAATGGTACATCACTATCATAAAACAACCCACTTTCGAAACCCTCCAAGTAAATGTCAATCATAATAACTAAGGAATGTCCGTCAGTCCCGACATGATCTTATGCAAATTTTTTCCTCTCATGACCACCTCTAAGTGAAAATTCTAAACACGTCAAGCACTTCAGAAAAGTTATTTCTTTTTGCTTTTGGAAGTTAGAGATGTCGGAAAGGCAATTTCAAGGAGATCTTGATTTCAGGACTTTCGTTCCAGATTGAATAATTTGCGAGTATTCTTTGTTGTTCGTCATGGTCATTTTACCCAAAAGAGTTGAAATTACTTCCGGTAAATGAAGTGCAAACAAATTGTGTCGCATTTTGTTAAATCTTGAGATGTTTGCAAATGTATAGTGCTAACCATATGATAAAGTTGTACTTTGAGTAAAAGTTGAGGATAATTATCCTGCTATCCAAAGCAAAAAAACAGTCTGAAATGATGGGACTTTGATGCAAGGGCGGATCTGGAGTATGTCAAATACGTCGCGCGACTGATGTTTGAAATTCAAAAATTACCTATTCATATTAATTGAAAATTCATTAATTCTTCTTACTTTATCCAATGACTAATCCAATGAATATGTCGTTGGTAACCAGATCAGTTGAATTTTAATTGACCTGGAATAACCGACTGATAAGCGGGGTGGCTTGACTGGTTCGACTGATAAAGGAGTCTATGAACGCCAAAAACGCTTATTTTATTGGTCAATGGCCAGATCAGTGGACAGTCTGGAATGGTCTCGACCGATAAGAGGGGTGGCCGGACGTATAAGGGAGTCCAAGTGCTATCTTACAATTGGTTCATTTGAATTTTTGTCTTCTTGTGATTGGTTTGACGGATGCCGACTGATAGCCAACTGAACTAACATAGTCAAGCTCACTGTCTGAATTGAATGCTTGATCGTTTCATAGTAATTTTTATAAGCATGATAGAAACTAAACTACAATCGAATGGAATTTATGGAAATCTTTTACAAATTCATATATTCACATGAATGCTGCTGTCGAAACTGTGAATTTTTTTCAAGAGGGTGAAAATTTTATGGATAAATTGTAAATGCTTGGCAAAGACGATCTCGCGAGCGACATTTCAGTCATTGATGTTCAAAGAAAGCAAACATTGTTTTGAGTTTTATCAGCAGAAATTTGCATCCAAAATCGTAAGTAAAGGACAAGTGAAGTGTTTGCATGAATGTAATATATCAAAGTCAATTCATGCGAGTGTGTGATACGATTTATGTCAATATGGCTTATGGTAAGCAGATTGATGCTTCTAAAAATGTTGTTGCAGACGGACTTTAGCTATGATTTCTTTACTGCTTGGGGAATCGTGGCCGTTATATGGAAGTGAAATCCTACATTCCTGCAAATATATTTCAATGGACAAAAAATCTGTAGCCATAAGGCGCCATAATATTATTTACTTTATCATAAACAAATGTTTGGGGCTTTTCAGTTTATGATCATTGATCATTCAATCATTGGACAGTTATACTACATATTGTTTAAGATTTGAGAAAACTAACATTGATTACATGAGAAGCTGTTTACTATAACCTGTGATTTTGAATCTTCTGATCCATGAAGCTTTTTATTTTGACAATTTGACTGGAATGGTATTATATCTGAGTATTTCACATACACGAAATGTTGTCCCATGTCACATATTAGAGAGTTTTAGCAAGGGTAAGACTACGACGAGTACGAAGTTTGACCGTGTAAGAGAATGGCACGAGGAAGTTTGTTGTCGTTGTCGCTTCGTCAAAATTTTGTTTTAGTTGTAAACAACAGAACGAGCCTTTTTATTGTGAAGAATACCGACGTTTGCGAAGCAGCTAAGGCGCTATTTGTCAATAATGATATCAACGAATCGGTAATACTGATTTTGCGAGAATATAGGACTCTTTAGACTGAAAAATCTTCACTATTTTAAGTTTTATGTACGATACATTTGTACCATTTTATTGTTTGTTTACCTTTCACTTTGCGTACGAAATATATGAAAGTTTTGCAGGTCATATTTTCCTTTTTAATGTACATCAAGCGCTCAAAAAAGGTTCTAAATTAAAGCCTGGATGCTCGAAAATAGTACTGTAAACTAATTTCTTACAGAATGAAGAAATATACCTACTTTCTTTCCTTAAAAGACATCGTAGTCGCGACTACGAATTTTTAAAAATATCGTACTCAGATTGATGACGGCTACGTGTTTTGTCGTCGCAACAATGTTTTTGCGCCAAAATGACGTAAATCGTACTCGTAGTCGTACTCGTAGTCTTTGCCAAAGCTCCCTATTGTCCCCTTTTCTAACTGAACACCTCATGTAGAGATGTAAAGGTGTGTTAATCTACGGCTCATACCAGATTGTTTGCCATAAATTCCAAAGGGCTATTGATGTATGAAAAGCATTTTCTATAAAGTAAAAATGTCTTCCTATGTATGCAGATAAACCTTGAAATTTGGCAAAACAGCAAAGTATTTTTCATGATCACTAGGTAATTTTTCTGATGATCATTATAATTTCTAAACTAAATTATTTCAGATTTACATTTAAACGAGCTTTGATAATATATGAAAAGATATTTATCATAACCAGTAAGCATGACACATGAACCAATTTTAACATTCATGTAATTATATAATTAAAGACATGTTGGTTACATTCTGTTTGTATTTGCAAATACAATGCTACTAGTGATTGCTATATAGCACACTTTGCAGAAGATAATAGTCTAGTGAAATGCCTAATAAACATTTATGGCATTAAGCTGTCCTTAACTACAAATTTTCACTCTGATAATTTTTGCTTAATCTTTGGCAGAAAAAAATTTTGAGTTTTCTCAAAAGGTGAATTTCTATATCTATGAACTGTCACTTGTAGTACCAAATTTCTAACTTAACTCATTACATAGAGGTTTGAATGGGGGTCTCTAGGGGGGTCTATGCCTGACAACTTTGTAGAAATTTTTAAAGACTATATCTGTTTTTGAATAGCATTGTTGTAAAATAAATTTTATGTTCCTAGACATGCTAATGAGCCATATATTTGGCATGATAATGAGCCTAATTAATTGGCAAAACATTCAAGCATGGTTCACCTCATTTTTTTTTTCTTGAAAAAAACGTAAGGAAAATGAGTTGTTTTTACGCAAAAACGATGCCCACAAAATACATTTTGTATTGCTCTAAAACGCTGAAAATGGCATTTTCAAGGCTCTGAAATTCAAAATTTCTCAGGGGAGAATGCCTCAGACCCCCCAGGTGCGGAGCGCCTCCGACGTTTTATGACTGATGTTTGAAAAATCCTAGATCCGCCCCTGCTTAGATGAATTTGAACTGCATTCACAGCCTAGTAGAAATATACAGGAAAAAAGCTATAAAAAAGATGTGCAATTTCTAGACATTGAAAAGCATCACTTACTTTGACGCATCCATCTGTTCTCTTGTCCCACGAACTAATCTGTAAGAATTGCATTGATAATAATGGATATTCACAAAGGTACACAAACATATAAATAATAATGACACACATATAGGATAATATACAACGACATTTCTGTATGTTGCACTAAAAATATCCACATATCAGAGTCAATGAAATACCTTCTTTGCAGGGGCGGATCTAGGATTTTCCAAACGTCAGTCCTAAACCGGCGAACGCCGGAGGCGTTTGCCCGTAAGGGGTCCGAGGGCACCCCCCCCCTTGGAAAATGTTGAAGCCTAGGGTCCCAGAAATGCGATTACCAGCGTTTTGGAATAGCTTTACAACAAAATTTCAAATTGAATGAATTTGCAGTTTTTTATTTTTTCTTACAAAATATTGAGGACAAACACGCTAAGACCGTTTCGCCCAATCTTCAGCATGCCTAGGAAACACATAGTGCAAAGCAACAATGTGATTCCGGACATGGACAGTCTTTGATTTAGCAGCAACGGCGCATTAAGCAGCCAGTTGCACTGTCTTACATTTCTGCAGCAACGGCGCATTAAGCAGCCAGTTGTGCTGTAAGACATTTCTGCAGCGACGGCGCATTAAGCAGCCAGTTGTGCTGTCTTACATTTTTGCAGCAACGGCGCATTAAGCAGCCAGTTGCACTGTCTTACATTTCTGCAGCAACGGCGCATTAAGCAGCCAGTTGTGCTGTAAGACATTTCTGCAGCAACGGCGCATTAAGCAGCCAGTTGTGCTGTAAGACATTTCTGCAGCAACGGCGCATTAAGCAGCCAGTTGTGCTGTAAGACATTTCTGCAGCAACGGCGCATTAAGCAGCCAGTTGCAAAGTCAGTAATATTTCTACAGTAACGTAGCCATAACACATTAAGCAAATTTCAAACGTGTATTACCTTCAGCAAACTTATTGATCACTCTTTCTACGTCAGGAATAATTTCTGGGTGAATTCGCATTAAAGCCAGGCCATTTAAACGTTCCTCTACCATAGTGCTCCTTTGGTAGGTTTTTAGATTCCTCAGTGCTGAAATTGATCTCTCACATTCACATGAGGTGATTGGTAGTGTACCTAAAATGCGAAGAATAACTTTAATATTTTCAAATCCTGGAAATGTTACATGCTTCAGTGTTTTGACGATGTTTTCTGGCAAAGGCCCATTGTGCGTTTCCCAGTATAAACGCCATTGCCTTAATTCAGCATCTAAACCAAGGGGGTTGGGCAAGTCATCATGATAGAATTTTGCAACACTTTTAAACTGTTCTTTCCAATCAATTCCTTTGTCCGACAGAGTCATCATTTTGACGGGAACGATAGATAATCCTCGGTACACATTAACACTATCCAAGTTAAACCTAGAACTCAAAGATGTTTGAAGATGGTCTAATAAAGGAATAGTGATGGTTAGTTTATAATGTTCTTTGAATGATTGACTGGGGGGATTAGATCGCATAGTTTGTCTTCCAGCAATTCGCTTTTTGTTTCTTGAACGTTGACCTCTTCAGCAAGTTTTAAAGCCTCTTCATACCAAGTGTTATGATAAAAATTAATGCTTTTCCTCATGTTGGCTACATCATTCTTCAAAGTGGTTATCAAATGAAAACCATCCATAACATCAATAGTTTTTCCCTGCAACAATTGCGTGACTGGAAGAGTAGCATCAAGAATATTTCTTGTAATAACTAGCGCAACAATAAAATGAAATTGAGTAACTAATGAAAGTAACTGGGAAGCATCAGCAGCAAGGGAAGGCTTCACCTCGCCACTTACATTGTTTATCATGTCCTGAAGAGTGTCGATTAAAGGGATAAACAACTGTTGAAACGTGTCAAGACTGTCAACTCGCTCAACCCATCTGGTTTTACAAAGACTTACCAGTTTTGCCTTCTTGGTCTGAACATCTGACTTTTTAACGTGCTCAGCAAAGGGTATGTTGCGTGTCTGTGATATGTTGATAAAATTGGCAGCTTGAGAAACAACAGATAACATGTTATTAATTTCAACGTTAGAAAGAGTGTCACAGACAGACAAATTTAGTCGATGACTGTAACAGTGAGTGTAAAGAGCTTTAGGATTAGTTCTTAAAATGTGGGCTGCTAAACCATTTATATGCCCAGAAACAGCCCCTGCACCATCATAACCTTGTCCCCTGCAATCCATAATGGGTAAGGCAAATTTCTCTAGAGTTTCTAAAATAAGCTTTGAAAGTTGTTGACCACTCAACCCCATTTGCAATGCAGGAAGCACATGAACTCTTCTTTAACATTCATTGAAGAGTCAACAAACCGTAGAACAAGGGACAATTGCTCTTTGTGAGAAGAATCAGCAGCTTCATCTGCAATGATAGAATAATATCTATTTTTTTTTATCTCGTTTATAATATCTTCTGATATTACCTGACCAATACAGTTGATGATTTTGTTTTGGCTGGTCTTGGAAATATAACTTTTATTCTTGCCACATTTGAGCAAATGATTTTCCAAAGTTTGATCACCAGCTCTAACTCTAAAATTTAAAGATTCAACAAAATTACCAACATTGCCATTGACTGAATAGCAACCGACCTCTGGGTGAAATTGAGCATCGTCACGATGACCTCGTAATCCAATGCCAAGCCTTCCACAAAAAAGAACTGTATCAACAATTTGTTTAAGAATTTTCCTATTTTGCTCAATTTCAAGTTTTATGTTAGTATCTAAGATATTTTCAATGGGTTGAGCTACACCTGACATTTGAGAGCATATATTATTCAAAATTGGAGAAGTAGATGCATGTAGTCCCATTTTTTCCCCTTTACAATTTCCAGCATGTCGCCTAAATGTACCTACAGCATCATTCCAATGACGAAAAGGTGAACGAAATAGATTGTTTATTCTCGAGCATTTACTGGGGAATTGATGTCCAAAAAGAACACATGATAAGCAATAAGCACCATCTTCTTTTGGTGAATAACACAGCCAGGTAAAATCTTTGAGCCATTCATATTTAAAAGACCTTTTATTGTTCTCACTCAAAGGAGGAAAAGTGTAATTTTCATCAGGTTTAAAAACATTTTTAATAAGCAAACAAATATCAGACATTTTCAAACCTTTAGCTCTTTTGTAGTAGGTAGCTACATCAAAATTGTGAATAAAGTTAGGCTTTACCTGTAAATCTTCAATGGTTTGTTCAGTAACCCTAGTACAAGAAACCTCACTTGTAATGATTTCTGGTTTTTCCATTTTTGAAAAAAACTTACTGATATTCCCAGACTTTTTTTCAGCTTTTGCTTTTTTTGAAGGCACTGGGCATGTTGGACCAGAAATTGTCCTTTTAGTTTTGCTAGGAAAAAAAACTAGAGGAACAAAATGATTAGGTTGGAAACATTGATCTGGTTTAACTATCCCTTTATAACAAAACAAAAGATGAATTGCATCGGCTGATTCTTTAACTATTCTTCTTGGACAAACAAGAGAGTTGAATATTGATTTCTCTCTCCACAATCTGGGTAGTAGGTAAATATTTTGTCTCCAACACAGAAGAAAGAGCTAAAATGCATAGAAACGATGACCACTTTTGGTCATGACAATTCAAAAGGCCTCCTTTTGACAAGATCAACACCTACAAAACCAGAATCTAGACAGTCTTGAGATACTGTCAAAGGTAAAATATTCTTTGAGGTGTTGTTGAATTCTTTATGCTGTTCAACAATTGAGGAAAATAAAGGATGTTGGCAGTAAAAGTAGCATTCAAAACAGCTCAAGTGATGTTAACTGCCTCAAAATATGCAATAAACTGTTATCACCTGCCAAAAGCAATGACACTGAACTGTAGAGACAGTTGCCAGATACTTCTGATCTAAATTGAATAAAAAAGTCGTGTTCCTATAAGTCCTCCAACAAAAATTTAACTAACTGGCCAGGAAATATCTAACATAGCAACGTAGTTACATGTAGAAGATAATTCAAAGTTCAAATATAAATTCACTAGTCGCTGAATTTATGCCAATATTTATAATAAAATTAAAAGCCCAAGCCGTAGATCTTCAGTATACACTGCACAAAATGAAATCTGCTTCATTAAAATTTATACAACAGTCAATAGACATAAACCACATCTCATAGTCGCATAAATTGATATTAATGGTTTGGATACCTTAAAGCCATGCATACATTTCCTTTGTCCTCGTGTTGCTTACGCACGATTTTGGGGATGTAAATTTCTGCTGAGAACTCTCTGCTCAATGATGTTTCGTCTTTCAAAAGCAATAAGAATTCCTCTCTCGACATTTTAGTCGCCCCACGATATTCCTCATTCAAACGCAATTTCAATTCATTCAGAGATTTATCATTCTCTTGCGAAATTGCAGTCTGAACAGCAGCATACATATTAATATTTAACATTGTAGTTTGTAAACGATTTTCAAAATAAATGCAATGAAACAGATTTTACAAACCACGCTATAGTGAATCACAAGGTGATGATCTATCTCGCATTCCAGACACCACGCTTGACTATATTAGCTCAGAAGGCTATCAGTCGAAATCGGTCAAACCAATCACAATAAAACAAAAATTCAAATGAGCCAATTGTAAGATAGCAATTGGACTCCCTTATAGGTCCGGCCACCCCTATTATCGGTCGAGATTATTCCAGACTGTCCACTGATCTGGACATTGACCAATAAAATAGCGTTTCTAGCGTTCATAGACTCCTTTATATGTCGAACCAGTCAAGCCACCCCGCTTATCAGTCGGTTATTCCAGGTCAATTAAAATTCAACTGTTCTGGTTACCAAGGAGATATTCATTGATTTGTCATTAGTTTTCAATAATAAATAAAGCTGGATTTTTATCACGAAGTGAATGCGATAATAAAGTAAGAATAATTAATGAATTTTTAATTAATATGAATAGGTAATTTTTGAATTTCAAACATCAGTCGCGCGACGGATTTGACATACTCTAGATCCGCCCCTGCTTCTTTGTGGAGTAGCAAGGATTTTCCAATTTCTTAATGCAGCTACTGTGAAGATTACTCAAACACCTTTTTGCTTTATTTGTTCTTCTTATTCAATACATTTTGTCACAAAGGAATCAGGGAAAATCAAAGGAAAATATATTCCACCTTCTTCCCAAGAAAAGATCCCATAGTCTCACAGCTGTGTCATACTAATAGCCACATGATAAAAGAATATTAGGGGGTTAAAATTGTAATTCTCACAAACCAGCATCACTTCTTTCATAGCCATCAAACTCAGTTCTCTTAACCAACGTCCACTGAAACAAATCAAATTCTTAATCATACAGATGTATACTCACTAAATTATAGAGCAAAATTGGTAAATAAAAACCTAGTGGTAGTGATAGAGTTTGAGTGATACATTTCTTGGCAATTAGCCTACAGTCCCATCAGTGTAAAATCTGGAATACAGCAAATATTCCTCAGTTCCCACAGCTAACAAAAGGGATGAAATCAGGGTGCCTGTTAAACAAATCTACTGCCAAAGATTTTAATGGATCACCAACATAAACAGAGTGTATGCATGTTCCGGCATTGAGCTGCCATATCTATGAAGAGAAAGCACAACACGTGAGCCACTAGTATTTATAACACAGAGAACTGTATAAGGTCAGCTCTTACCTTAGTACATCTGTCTCTTGAACTTGAAAATAATGATATCCATTCCTCAAACGTAAGTACTCAAACAGAGTTGCAACAATGATAGGATCCTAAAATTAAAGAAAATATTCCAGACGATTTCATACTTATTGCAAAAGGTAGTCTACAAATGCTTAAAAAAGTGCATCCAGTGATAGAATGTCTTACAGCATTTTTTGCACCAACGCACACATATCTCAAAATCTACAGCTGAATATTTCCTTTCCTTTTACTTTTCATCCAAAAATCAAAAGAAAAAGCTACTCTGTACACATACCGAAGAAAAACTTTCATCATTGGATATGTTACCACTATTAAAATAACCAACAAAATGTTTTCAATCAACCGTAATCCCTTCCAATACATTCTCTGATTCTCACATATAAATTCTCTAGATCAAGTTGTTCTTTTAATGCATGCAATCAAAGGGTACATAGGTGGAATAATAATCTTCACATGTTATAATTAAAAGTGCTCATTAAACCAAATTTTATCATGCAGTTTTATGATTGCAATGCAAAGACCATTCAAAATGACTTAATGACTACTTCAGTGGAATTTTTCTAATTTAATTCTTTCTAGAGATATTTCACTTCATTCACTATGGAAAAACACAAGTGACAACAAGTGACAGTGACATCATAATGCATAAAAACATTTCAAAGACCAATATTTTTAGCATTGCAAAAAAAATTTAATTCATCTCAACAAAATTTTAATAAATAAATGAGTTACTGATATTCATTATAGATTGTGCATAGATGTCAAAGTTAAATATTTCGAAACACATTGTCAAAAAAAATTATTATTTTACAAACCCTAATATGTCTTGTGATGTCACAGTGATGTTTTTGCATAATCAATAATTTTAAATATCTCCATTAAGAAGTAAAATAAAAAAATTCAAGTAGAAAAGTCATTAACACATTTTAAACGGTCTTTACAATGCAATCATACAACTACATATATGGTAAAATTTGGTTTCATAAGCCCTTTAAATATTCCTAACAAGAAAATGCTCTTTGGAGATGTTGTGAAGGCTTCTAAAAAACTCCTACTGTCTAGAAGTTTCTCACTCTACCTCAAAAATTATTCAAAACTTCATCAAAGAAAACACAGATCACCATTGTTTGAGGAGACCATGGTATGGTCATAAAAATATTTTGAGGCAAAAAAAATTTATTGAAAGATCTCTACAAATCTGAATTTTGCTTTTTCAAACCATCACTTGTCTGTTGACACAAACAACCATGAACTTTCAAAATCAATTGGTAGTAAAACATTGAATGAAATGATTGTTATCGTATAAATTAATAAATAATAAATATGTAGTTGAGAAAAGAGACGGAGAAGGCTACCTTTTTCATCAATTCATTCCATATCATGATGCCAATCATCAATCAATTCTTGATATTGATAAAACGTACGTTGAATACATTATTTGTTTTGAAAACTTATCATTTTATTGTAGATATTATATAATATTTGATTCAATTTAGTCAATGACGTTTGATTGATAATTTCTTGCCTCTGAAACGGCGCTGATCCGCCATTATACTGGATAGATGACACACAAACTGAACTCAATTTTTTATTTGATTGTCAATATTTTCGCCTTAAAAACTGAATGGTAAACCTTTAGACAACATACATCCCATGTTCTTGTTTTTGGATAGTTTTTAATCTAAAACAGGGCAAGACTGAACACGGTTTTAGTATTTCGCACATTTTTACATTTCTTTTATTTTCATTGGTCGGTTAAACGTTCCAAGAAGAAAAACCCCGCGAAAATAACCATGTCATTTTCGTCGTCGCCATCATTTGAGCATTCAAGACTTTTGTAGTTGTAAATACACGAAGTTTCGGTGTATTTAAAGAGTTTTTCAAATAATAAAAGCAAACAGCACAAGGTTTTTTGTCAAATTGTTGTCTGTGGTACTTATTGAACGGTTTCAGCGCGGGTTTTTTCGGTAAAATCTTCGTATTGTTGATTACACTCTCAGCGCGTGGTTTTGAAGAGTCAGTGTCTGGTGGAGGAAAATGTTTTATTCCACTAATCTTTTGAGGTTTAAAGACGGAAAGTTTGCAGTAATTTGGTTAGTGCCTTTGTAGTTTCGTTCTCTCAAACTTCGATTGCATAGCTGAATTATCTCTTAAGACATTTCTACGTGTTTGTCTTTTTGAAATATGTCAATCTAACGGAAATTATTTCAATTTATATTCTCCAGGGCGGCTGGGATCCATGGCAAGGATATGAAAAAAAACTTAAGTAGACATCAAATCCTAAAGGTCAACATTTCGCAAGCATGGTACTATTTTTTTGCGAGTTTGATCTTTTTTATTTGATTTTAAAAGCCTTAAACAACAGTAACTTTGCTCAAAATGCAACGATTCCTGAAAACATGTGTTTCTCGCGTGGACCTCACGATTGCTAGTGTGATTGCTTATCGATTACTGATCTACATAATTCTGAGCAATTTGCAGGCGACCGTTGAAGTCAGACAAACTTTTTTATGCGTGTCGTTTTTAACGCCTCGATCGTTCACACGATTGAAATAAATATGAATGATAAGACTTTTGCATTTTCTAGAGGTTTACCAAGACAAATACATGCTTATGCTTAACTTTATTCCTTACGCTTGCAGATCTTTTGAATTTGGCCGTTAGAAAAACGCATTTGAATCGTTATTTAGCTTGTATTATTTCATCCAGCAAAGTTCAGAAAATGCTGCGACCTCCCAGAAGAATTGTTCTCTGCAAAAATTGAGTAATGTTTGAGCAAAACGTGCTTAAAATCGGTCGCTTGCAAATGGTATTATTTATTTCGAGGGCAAAAGTATCGCATTTGACATTTAAATAATCTTTTTATTGTCTAGTTTCGACATAATCAATCCAGCTGTGAGATTCTCACTGCGCTTAGAAGCAAACTTAATGATAGGAATTTTAAGAATATATCAAGAGCAAGTCTTCCAGTTGTGCAGTACGTTGATCTCCACTTGCCATGACAATGTGGAAATAAATGATATAGTGATGTTTAAGGTGTCGTGGGTGTGCGTTTTAATAATGACCTTATTATTATGTTAAATTGCAGTTGAAATTAAAAAATCATGCAACGAACTAAAAAGAATGTCTAGTGTTGACTTTCGCCTGATTGATTTGAAAGTTCCTGAATTGAGGTTGTTTTGTTCTTAATTTTGATACACATTTTCACAATTAAACATTTCACAGTTTACGATTGTGTTTTTAGCAAAAAGCAGTGTACATTACCAAAAGAAAACTTTTCCTGTTTTTCACTGGATGATTTGCCGAAGGTGTGTTTAAATTCACTTTCGACCATTTTTACTCATAGCGGAAATATGCTTTAAAGTTTGATCTGCTTCATCCTTCAGGGGGACCTTTATGATTTTATGAAAGTTACTTTACCATCTTCAAGCTCAAGTTCTTCTTCGTCGTCGCCAGGCGTTCCAGGGGCGAACGAACCACTAAGTCACATAGCTCGTGCAGAGGATATAACCATGAAGGAAATTGAATATTTTCCTAAAATAATCGAGGTACATTCCTATCAGCTATAAATGATTCAGGATAAGATAATATGATGCAAATGATGTATAGCTATATCTTTTGTATTAAGTTCCCCGGTGAAGATGACCTTGTACCATCATTGCCGCCAGATGATGATTTTTTTACGGAAAAAAGGTTCATAATGTCTGTCATCAAAAAATAAGTGTTCCTGTTTGCAGTAAAGTCCCGAAGACATGTTTAAGCACGGAATTTATTTTGTTTGTTGAAATGTTTTCTTAGTGACCCGAAGCAATTTGAGGATGAGTGGCCTATTGCTGATGATTCGGTGATGATGGTGGATAAAGAGACGGGAAAACTAAGAAAGGAAGGTACAGTATGGAACTCGGGAAGGACAAAAAGGGAGAGCAAGGGATAGAGAAAGGGGATAGAGAAAGGGGAGAGAAAGGGAAAAAGCAATCGACACTGTAGTAAAATTAGAACAGTTCAAAATTAATTACAAGAAAATTCAACATGTAATTGCCAAGTTGTTCAAGGGAAAGAGACCAGAAGCTACAGTTTTAAGCTTTTTTGAAAGACGGTCGACATTCATTCAAATAATACTGGCTGCAGTATCGCTGGAAAGTCGATTACTGGCGGGAGGGAGAGTTATTCATATGGTCGTGATTTGTCGGATTACTATTTTTGAAATAATTGTTTTTTGAAAGCTGCGACCACAATATACGTTTATTCGCTCCCCAATTAACGATCGACGTTCAAGGGTCCATTACTAAATTTTTTTAAAAAAAACTGAAACCATGTATGTTTCGGGTAGATGCTGGCGACGGAAAGAGAAAGTCTGATGTTTTACCAGTAAGTTTTTTCTTGTGCTATGACTCAAGACTTTATTTTGCTTAATTAATCAACTCACACATGGAATTTTTCTTTCTTAGCAACCGTTTTGATGAGTTGACTCCGTCAATAAAGTGAAAAACACGTAAGAAAAGGAGACGCGCTTTTGACACGCAACGAAAAATTACGGATGAACAAATCAAAAGAAATCTAAGAACATCAAATGATACCAGAAAAACTGCGGTAAGAAAAACGATTTAAAGTGATCATGGAAAATTTTGATAAATCCACCAAGCACTTGAAAAATACAGTGTATTTGGGTTAAGAAAAATGATGGCAAATCCAGATGAACATGACAACTTGAGAAAACTTTTTATGTTTTTTTGAATCATTTTAGACAAAAGATGATCTCTCTTTTTGCAAAGCCGCAGACCTTATGAAAGATCCGTCAAGGAAAGGTGGATCATTGAATAGTTTACCATGTTAATTATTAACTCCGTTTAGCTGCATTTTTCTTAGATATACAAATAACATTCGGTAAATTGTATAATTTATGACAGAACTGAAGACTGGACCATTAGCATACTTGTTTAAAAGAAACGCTTTCCCCATACAAGATGATGATCTAATTGAAACAGCGGCCGAGGACGAGCGCGGCTTTCCGGTAGGTATTTAACATTACGAGAAACTTTCCCAAACTATTCATTGAGGATTTATTTCACTTTTTTCATAGCATTCTTTGCCGACGACGGACTACGACACAAGCTATGAACCCACAAAAAAGTGAAATAGTTCCAAACACGTCTCATGAAACAACTAGAGATGGCGACGGTGAATAATCATCATTTCCTTTCACTTAATGACTCAGTAGGGGTGACTTATTATCATATACACATGTTTTTTTATCAGTTTTTTATTGAAATCGATTGTAATTACAGTGTATAAAAACTGAACTTGCGCAAGCTATTTCCATAGTGCTATTTATTAACACAATTCTTTCTAAAAATGCTTATTACTTTCGAAACTTTTAATGTCAGATGAACCATTGGAACTCTAATTACCTATTTCACAAAAGGTTTTTGCAGACCTCGTGCGCTAAGGCCTTAAGCAACTTCAGTATTTTTTTATGAACCCGGTATATCATACGAATATATGAATACAAGTCCCACTATTTTTCTCCATATATCTTTTTGTATAAAATATTCTAGCGACTAATAAAATCTTGTGAAAGACAACACAACGAGATTTTTAGCCACTTTGCACGCATAATTAACACATGAACACTTATTTTACCTAGTAACAAGTACAAGGATTAATGGACAAGAAAGCAAAAGGTATGAATTTCAAGTCGTAAGAAAAATTTTTGCACTGATCATTCCAGGATTCATCTTTTCTTTTATGAGTCGATTTTCCCTTGTTTTCACTCGTTACTGCTCGACTCAATATTTTCCGACTGGGAATAAATGGGAAGGTGATTGAATTATTACAGGGAAATACAGAGATGAATTTTTTCAACGCAAACGTTTCTTTTGCGAAAAGATTAGAGTTACTGCAATATTTCTCCCAACTAAATTGATTATAATTATAGACCATCCATTAGCACTTTCCTTGAAAATGACCTAAATACGATTGATGAACTGGAAATACCATACGGTATATCTTAAAAGTTTTTATTATGTTTTTATCATGTTATTCTAAATAAAATATACTAATTTGATGTAATTTGGTTTCTCCGTATCAGCAATAAACGAAACTTCTCCAATTGAAGAAAACACTGATGGTGAAGTTGAAAAGATCTTAAGGAGGTTTTAGCCCTTTCACATAAATAATAAATCATGACCATTTTCACATAAAATTATTTGGTTTATTTTGTCAAGTCTCCTTGACGACGTCGTGCAATCCAATAAAGAAATACGTTTTTAGAACGTTTTCTTACTCGAAAACATGCCACAAGAGGGTTTTTCGAACTTCTGGGTAATAGGTGTTTTATATTTTAACACAAAAACATGTCGCATATATGTGATTGGTTTAATTGATGTTGTTTTAGAACTTCATTCACGAGGCATCGTCGTTCTTGAGCAGTCAGAAATGTATTGTGAGATTTACATTAGACCTGGACCATATTTTCAGTAACTATGTTACATGTTTAAGGTAAAAAAAGTTCTGTTGTAAAAAATACTGGCAAAATGTTACTATAGCACGTATATATTATGAAGAGCATGTTTGAACACGACTGACATTTCAATTTCGGGCGATGAACAACATGGCATGCATGTGCATTTCCTCAGACCGGGATAAAAGTCCTGAAATCAAGACACCCTGTAATAGCAGTGTCGACATAGCTCTAAATTCATAAGACAAAAAATAATAACGTTTCTGAAGTGCTTAACGCGTTTAAGAGTTTCTTTAGGAGTGGTCCTGGCAGGAAAAAATTTACATAGGATCAAGATTTACTGAGAGCATTACCATGCACCATCTACGTTGAAGTGTCGTATTTGCATAAATTACCAAATTGTGACCAGGGACATACCGGGCGGAAAGCGAAGTTTAAATATAATATCAAAGCCCAGCAAAGTGCTTTTAAAAGAGCCATTTAATGCATAAAAATAAATATTTATTTAAAAGTGTAACGTTTCGTCTTGACTCTCTTGTCTGATGATGTACATCTCGTAGAGTTTGATAATACCGTTTTCAACTTACTATTGTTCATCAAAATGTCTTTCTGACCAGACTGGAAAGTATGCAAACTGCGCAAGCTAGATCAATTTTTTTTAGAAATTTTGCGCGGCGGATTTTCGACTTTGCGCTGCGAAGCCATAAAATATTCGCGAGATGCCAGTTTTATTTTTTCCGTATCACACTCCATTTTTGATAGTTTGCAATTGCAAATAATTATGAAACATAACATAAAAGATGATACATGTGTATAGTTGTAGCTTACCTTAAGTTGGAGCTTGCAACTCTCCTTTTACAACGTGAGGATGTGTCATGTGTAATCACAAAAAAATGCCACTTTACCTTAGGTATTATGTAACGAGTCGAACGACCAACGTACCACGTATGTTTATCATTCATCTGTTTCATCGTTTCATCACAGCGTATGATACGATAAAAGGTAGGCACCAAATAAATTTGATTTACTGACGTCGTCAAATACGTCGACAAAAAAAAACAAATCAATCAGGAACCATCTTTTGTATAATCAGCAGCCAGATTGTGGAGTAGAAGGTTTTTCAGTTAATAATTGTTTATAATCAGCAGGCAGATGGTGGACAAAAAAGGTTTTCAGTTAATAATTGTTTATAATCAGCAGCCAGATTGTGGAGTAGAAGGTTTTTCAGTTAATAATTGTTTATTATCAGCAGGCAGATGGTGGACAAAAAAGGTTTTCAGTTAATAATTGTTTATAATCAGCAGCCAGATTGTGGAGTAGAAGGTTTTCAGTTAATAACTGTTTATAATCAGCAGGCAGATGGTGGACAAAAAGGTTTTCAGTTACTAATTGCTTATAATCAGCAGCCAGATGGTAGAGTAGAAGGTTTTCAGTTAATAATTGTTTATAATCAGCAGGCAGATGGTGGACAAAAAGGTTTTCAGTTAATAATTGTTTATAATCAGCAGCCAGATTGTGGAGTAGAAGGTTTTCAGTTAATAATTGTTTATAATCAGCAGGCAGATGGTGGACAAAAAGGTTTTCAGTTACTAATTGTTTATAATCAGCAGGCAGATGGTAAGCAGGGAGGTTTTCAGTTGATAAATATTTATAATCTGCAGCCAGATGGTGGACAAAAAAGGTTTTTCAATTAATTGTTTATAATCAGCAGGCAGATGGTGGACAAAAAGGTTTTCAGTTAATAATTGTTTATCATCAGCAGCCAGGTGTTAGACGAAAAGGTTTTCAGTTAATTATTGTTTATAATCAGTAGCCAGGTGGTGGACAAAAAGGTTTTCAGTTAATCTTTGTTCATAATCTGTAGCCAGGTGGTGGACAAAAAGGTTTTCAGTTAATCTTTGTTTATAATCAGCAGCCAGGTGGTGGACAAAAAGATTTTCAGTTAATCTTTGTTTATAATCAGCAGCCAGATTGTGGACAGAAAAGGTTTTCAGTTAATAATTGTTTATAATCAGCAGGCAGATGGTAAGCAAGGGAGCTTTTTCAATTGATAAACAATTACGATCTGCTGCCAGATTTGGATTGAAAACTTTTTGATTATAACTGCACGAAGCATACTGGTTGACGCTTGACTAAGGTTACAAGAGGAAAGGTAGCTTAGGGCGTGATGTTATGATGCGTTGCAAAACCTTGGACATCTCTCCTTCGTGTTTTTGCCATGCTCGTCGGTCTCTAAAACAGGAATCATATGTCTGGACAAACCACGTTCCTTGTCCCCATTGATGTAAAGTTTTGCCATTTCGTTCAGTGCTGCGTCGCATTGAAGTACAGATGGTAAACTCCAATCAACTTTAGCACGATTCATTAGCACTTTTATGCTTTGCCCACCATCCATTTCTTGCTTATCCACCACCCGGTAAAAAGATTCGGCAACAGCCTCAGTTCCGCATTTCGCATAAAATATGTCAAAGACGAGACAAAACTCTTGGCCGACAGCTGAATAAAATGAGGAATCGTTATATAAAGATTCAATAACGGCCTCTTCTTTAAAAAGAACGTCAATCATTTTACCATTGTTGAGCGTCACTTCGAAGACCTCAGAAAGGGTGAACTGCCTTGGTGTACCTTCTTGGAACCTAGTCACAAAGACTCCTTCCTCGAAAACCACATCCTGCAAGGAAAAATTCCTTCGTCATCGAGAGAGATCTTCTTGAAAAATTAGGAAGTGAGTGTGTAGCATATCACCCCAAACAACGGCAATGAGTGTTTTCTTTAGACGCCAAAACACTGTGGATGATAGCTCGCTACAAAGCTCAAAATTCTTTTCAGAAACATGTGGCATCTGTGAGGAAAAGTTTACACATCGTCTAAACTCATTAGCTCCAAGTTCAGAAAACTCCTGTTGTTTACTGGACTTTTTTCTTCCGAACGAAAACCGCATAAACCACGAAAAAGTCGTCCAAAGTCAAAACACTTTGATAGCATTCTGTTGAGGTCGGAAAAGCTATTGGTGTAGCGAACATCAATCTGACTAATGACATCCGCAGCCAGCTCTCTAGATCATGAACACTGTCCTGCATTTCTCTTGCTACCCAATCCACTGGCACTTTACCGTCGCCTTCTCTAACGACAAACCAACCAGTTTCCAACTCACTTTGCCCAAAGCGGTAATCTCGAATTTCATGAACTCGCTGGCTTAATCTTGGGCAAACAAAGTCATCAGGATCAATTTTAGATACTTCCTCGATGTAACGTTGCATCTGTCGTTTTACCAAAGGAACATGAGAGCACAACTTCCAACCAGGATACCACTCAGCCTGCGCTTGCAGCATCAGGACGACCAAGGGCCACAACAAATCGAGTACACCAAGCAAATCATGGACAAAGTCTTGACCACATAACTTGTAACCCATCTCTTCTCTATTGTCGTGGTCCTTGAAAGTCTCGATGTACACTTCCAAACTATCTGCAAGATTCTTTAAAGATAGATAGCTGGAGCTCAAAAACCGCTGATGTGCAAATGCGTTGGTTACTCGAAACGGAAGATTCAAGTCCTTAGCAGTATGACGCGCTACGCTGTGCATTTTACCACGACTAAAAAGTTGATGATAAAGTGCAATCCTTCTCAGCAAACGATCAACGAAAGGCGAGTCCTTGAGCTGACTAAATACTTTATCTAACCAATGGGCAGGGTCCCATTGGACAGGCCACCAGAATCTTTCTTTGCAGGACAGATCATCATGCAAAAGTTCAAATACAGGCTCGTTCATGCCTGCAATGAACGGCTTGTTGACGTATTGTCCATCCATCACTCGCCCTTGCACTTGCAGTAGCCGATTATCCTTAATACCAACATGCACGTCAAGATCTTTAAAAATGGATGCAGCTAGAGCATCACCTGTACCATCAGTTGCATCAGAGTTACTGTAAACTCCCTTGCGTCAAGGACAATGCCTTGGCGACTACCATTTACAACTGGACAAACGATAGTAACCTGATTAGTGATGCGATGATTGGTAGATTTATCAGCTGTAACATAAAAATGTGGGGGCATTCCTGTGTTTGGAAGAGGGGTAGAAAGAAAATTGGCTGCTCTCATGTCGATGTAAGCACATGCTGCTTTGATCATGTCTGGAAACAATTTTCGAGAATGACAAAAATCACCAACATCCGCACCAGCAGCTTGAAACTCAGCAATTCGTGCTTCATAATGAACTGCAGCTGACTTTGTTTTCACAACACCAAGACAAGAGCTGCACGGAGTTGATTCTTTGCAACAAGTACTTCCCTTGACCTCCCTTGCTTTACCATCTTCATGTGGTCATCAGCGTTTTTGTGGGTCAAAGAAAGAAGATGTCGATGACACGCTTGCTTTTGGCTGTACCATTTTTCACACTTGCCTGCAATTAGCTGTTCATACAAGGCATCTGACATATGTAAACCAGATGCCAAAGATCCGTCTGCTTTGCCAGTAGGTCGATTAAAAGATGACGAAAAGGAAACACGGGAAGAGTTTAAAAATTCGACACACGTTCGACACTGCAGCACCCAGCTGTTCTCTTCTTTTAGTATTTCAAAATCTTCCACTTCATCCACAAGCTCAATCAAATTGGAAGATCGAAGTGCGGTACTCGATGTGGGATTGTATGTAGTTGTTGAACTTGTTGATTGGGCTGATTTAGGGTTACCACTCAACTTTGTGCCACCTTAGTAGCAATTTTTCCGCAAGTTCGTCCACATCAAATGGCAGGTCGCCTTGCTCACTTGATAAAATTGAAGGAAGAAAACTTCCAAGCGAGCTTTGATAGCTAAGACGGCTGGTGTTTGAAATAGAGGCAGCCTTACTCGTCTTACTTACTGCATTAACTCTCACAATCTCTATGCTGTAACAATGAAAGTGTTAAAAGCCAACATTAAAATTTTCTTGCAAACTGTGTGAAAAGTATATGTACTAAGAAATTCAACAGAAGACGTTGAAATACTTAATGATTTCATCGTTAATATTAAACGACTTAAGAAATTTGTAATGTAGAAATTACTTATCCGAACAAGTGAATTATTGGAAGCCTTGAACTAAAAGTCAACACTTTCAACCACTATGGCATAAATTTCACAAAATATCGTGACAAAATGTCGTAAAATCTGATACTATAATGCAAGAAAAATGCCGTATTTCACTAACAAACCTCTCATCTTTTCATCGGTTTCCTCCCAACTTTCAGATTCACTGACACCAGAAACGATTTTGCACGAAAGTTCGTCAGTTGCATGTCCAGCCGTATCCTTACCAAGCTCTCTGAAACAATTTAATATTCATAATTTTAAAAAGCTATCACTGTATATGTAAAAGAAATGTATTATATAACATGTATGCAGTTTGTGATATTCGGTTATTTTATGGTTCACGCAGGGAATGAGCAATTTAGCTACCTTTCATCGACTTCCATAATTTCTATCCGTTCTCCCATTCCGTCGCCACCACACTTTTGTTGCACTTGGCTTGTACTGAAAATACAATTAACATAGAAAACATACACAATGTAAGTGCAGTTCTCAATTTGGGAATTGGGAACTTGATTTTCATTTACCTAGCCGATTTAAGCATTTTGTACGCCTGTAGCGCAGATTTAGCAAGAGGGAATCTTCTCTAATAGCGTCATTTGCTAAGGTCTTTTCGCCCTTGTCGCTGTGAGTTTTAAATGGTTTGCTAGAGGACTTGTTCCTCTCTAGCAAGCCAAAATTGCGTTTGCCTTGCCTAAAACAAAGTAAGCAAAGCCCATTGGGGTTTTCTCGTGTCCACTCTTTGCTCGCTTTGCTTCTGGTCCTGTTTTCTGCTGCTTGCTATGTCTTTTAAACATGTTGGCAAACTGAAACTCTATAACACACAATTTTATGGTTACAAATGTGTCGATAGCCAATCTTGGTTGTTTACTATTGTTTTTATAAAACCCACTGACAATGTCATGCCACTTTTCTTTGTGACGCAAACACGATCACTCTTACACGACTAACATTCTAACACTAGATAATTGTTCTGTTACCTTCCTTAGACAGTGTTTGCTGCTTATTTTAGCCACTGCTGCTGTCTCAGTTTTGCACAGCCACTACACAAGACCTGGGCACCAAAACCTTCATCATCACCTGCTGATGTTGAGCAAGGCGGAATTGCGTGGCACGTTTTTGCAAACTTTGCAAAAATGGCTTCCACATTCCTTCTTGCATGAAACGCAAACTAGTAATTAGGCAACAACAATGAAAACATAAGTTAAGATAATGTAATGAACGTTTTTTTGGTATCAAAGGCAAGCAGCACTAGTTTTTAGCAACACACAAATGTTGGTTTGGTACTCTTAGTGAGAAGTGAATATTGTCGAGGAATCACCGAATCAGCTCCTGCAATCAACCAATGGCTGATATATATTGTGTATATTGTTGTTAGGAAAATTTTCGGCTATTGTAACGCGTGAATTTACCTGATTTAACTGCTTGAATCTCAGCCATCTAGTAAAAATAAATAAACAATTAGATAAAAAAGTTTGTCAAAAAATCTCGCTTTATCACCAAACAATAGCGAGCTAAGCCCTGTTAGTTCGTTAGCAAACCGGTTTTAATTATAAATTGCTCCATTTATCAATATGTTTTATGTAAGGATTGTGAATTTTATTTGCCTTAAATGTATTAAAACATGCTTTGTAGTTTGTAATACAAGAAATCCTTTCGTACCACTACTTTTAGGTTACACAAAAAACATAACTGTTAAATAATAACTTGTTTCCCCGGGCGTTTAGAAGCGTTAATGCTTTCAGAATTTTTATCATTTGTAATTTTGTATCAGTACTTTTGATTTTACTAAACCATTACGTGTACTCACCTTACAAATTTGAACACCCCAAGTTGGTTTAATTAAATATCACGTATCACCGTAGAATACACCGAAGAATCGATATGGTTTGCCTTGAAGTCACTTAAAAAGAGAAAGCTCGAAAAACGAAAGCAAAGAATGTGTAGTTAATCTGCTCAGATATCATATTTCTAGTCATCAAACGCTTATTGGCTTACCAACCAATTAACGGAACTTGCCTGTCAAAACAGCTTGTAAGATTGACATTCAACAGGCAACAATATTTTTCAACGGAAACAACAGCGCTGCAGCGCACATGTGCTGATATTGCGCAATAATTTCTCGCGCTGCGCGGCAAATTTCACAAATGCGCAGCGAACAAGAAATTTTTTAAAATCTGCGCGTCAGGACGCGCATTTCTCCCGAAATTGCGCAAGCTAGATCTAGGTTGCGCAAGACCTACTTTCCAGTCTGGCTTTCTGATTATTTTTCTATGTCGATTTGTTTTGTTTCTTCACTGATATAATAAAGACGTAATTTGAAATTATTATGATATTAGCGATGTGAATAACAAAGTGTTGTTAAATAAGTAAATTTGTAGCAATCTTCCATAAACGTCATTGCAGATGAAATTTTGGTAGCAGTAGTAGGATTCTGCGAATATTTCTACATTTTTTAAGAAGCAGCAGCATCATATAATCTCCAGTTTGTTTCAAAACAATGCAGGTCGACCTTGTACCATCTCAATTTTCTGCCATTATAAAGCCAAGAAGACAAACTTTTTAGTATTAAATTTCTTTGCCGGTTGTTCTGTCCCTTTCACAAATATTTTGCTAGAATCAAAAGTTTGTAGAACGAATAAAAACGCAAAAGCTGTGATTTTGTAAAGTGAGACCGATACCCCCCACGAAGGTCATGATCAGATGAGCCAACTTCCGGCTTCAATTATCTTCCTATCAGAGCCCTCCTCTATTTGTAACGAATACAGGGCTCTGTTTACTATATTTTATACATGGTGCGTTATCCAGTGTAATATACATATCAGTGGTCAAATGCCATATCTATGTCAAATACAATGCTGTGTACTGCTGTCAAGAGTACAAATAACGACACAAGCCCATATGTGTGTAAAGCGATGCGATTATGAATATATTGCCATAAAATGTATTAGTTTAGTAGAAATAAAGTATCGTGTTACCACTAACCACTACCAGGTTGTTTACAGTATCAATTGTGTTGGAACTGGCACTCCAGCCACATTTCACTTAGGGGGAATTGTGAACCTATACTTTGGAAATGATTGGTCGCTGGCATTGTTGTGTTGAAGAGAGAAATATATGAACATTGTAAAGTTTTAAAGGATTGTTGATTCTGGAAAAAGCATTATGTCTTCGGTGTTTAATATCGACGAAACTGAGGTTTATGAACTTGAAAATGATGAGGTGATTAGCTCATTTTAAAATTACTTTTTTGAAATTTTTTGACACTAGGACTTGGGAAAGCATGCATTATATGCATATGATGATAGAAGATGTTTATATGTTTGAGAAAAATCCAAATCTTTGACATGCCCCTCTTCTTTAGAGTATTGACTTTTTTTTTGGCGATTATGTGTTTTGACTTTTTTTATCATTACATATTGCAATTTGGAGTCAAAGGATGTTTGCCCAGGCTTATGGTTTAGAGCTTGCACCTGTCTTAACATCCATTCAAGTTATGTTATTTTAACTGACACATTTTTTGCCATTTATTTGGGTGTAAACAGGGTCATAGAATCTGGTTTTTACCCGTATTATGGCATTAAATTTTTCCATGCATGTCTGTTTCATATTGAAGCTTAGGTGTAACTGTTTCTGTCCTCCTAGTTATGCATTTTTTACCACATAAGGCTTTTTCACCACTCTTATTCATTCTGAAGGTTGTGAATTGAATCTTTGAATTTGGTAGCAAGTTTAAATTGATACATTAATTCCATTTGTTACATTTACAGGGAAGGAACACAAAATTAATTGCCTGGCAGAAGTAAAAATCAGAAAAGCTCTCCCACTGATCGAATTACCAACCGATTTTTTTTTTTTTTGAAAAGACCAAATTTTGAAAAGTAGTAGTAAACTGGAAATTGCATCTGTTGCGCATCCCACCAGTACATTTAAAATACATGCCAAGCAATTTAGGATTGTAATAATGGTTTTTAAAAGAAAATTTGCCTACATGCATTTTTTTCACCCCCAAATAGTGAATTTCCTAGATAGACCTTATTTGTTATATATGATCGTTACTAATTGATGATTCTGTGCAGTTCATTCTAACAGTTGTGCAAGAGTGCTTTTGAATCTTGGCTAATTTAGAAATTTTATTAACATAGCAGTAAGCCACTTGAATTCAAAACAAAGCATTTCACTTTTTCCTTCATTATTCTTTATTCTGCTGTTTTGAAACTATAAACATTGATCGATGACAAGAACTGTTTTTCTTCTGTTCAATCAAAAAAATATTCCAATTATTATATTTTGACCATGAAAGGAACTGCTATACATTGAAATGGCAACTTCAAAGAGTGAAAAAACCCCATGCCTTTGTGCATTTTGGTAACAAATTTATGCAACCTACAATGTTACGCTCATGTCACCCCACAAATACTAATTTTCCCAATTTTAAATGTACATCTCCACAGGGTGTATGAAAAAAGTGAACAGGGAGAAAAACGTCGCTAAAGTTATCAGCGCGCAAGATCTACAAAAACCTTTAATGGAACAGGTAGTTGGACTTCCAATGTAGGATCATCTGACAGTAAAATTTTCGGTGCATGGTTTGGCCAAATTTTCTGAAAGTTTGTACGCTTGAACACCATACGTTCCATCTTTTAACCCTATTTTGCTCTAATTGCATTTTAGCTTTGTCATTTTTGTGCACAAGCATTTTAAAAGTGCTTCTCGTTAACACAATTTTCAAGCTAAAATACATTGTTACTATTTGCGAAAATTTTACTTTTCAGATGATCAATTGTGCATCCAACTACCTATTCCATCAAAGGTTTTTGCAGATCTTGCGCTCTGATAACTTTAGCGACATTTACCCATTTGTTCATTTTTTTGATACACTCTGTACATCCGTGCTCGAAAGATTGAAATTTCGTACCAATAGCAATGGACACACCAGCAGCTGTCTATGATGTGTAACCGAGGCTTTTTTACCGACTTTGTGAGTTTCTTGGCTAATGTTTTATCTGGGAAACTCAGACGTGAATTGATGCAAATTTATATGTCTATAGTTGTTAAATGTTTTTTGCTACTTATGTGTAGGAATTGTTGAAGGAAGTATTTGACTATAAGTCGGAAAGAGAATCTCTTCGAAGTAACTTCATCCTGAGAACAACGAACAAAGATCTATCTGACCAGCGGAAGACCATGCGCATCAGCTCTTTCTCTTCAGCATTTAACTGCTCAGAAACTCCCACTGGTAGCCCGAAAGTGAAGTGTCCAAGAGTTTTACTCGTAGATGAAGTTCTTGATCCTCGAAATTTTTCTCAACACGAGAAGCAACTTCAAACTTTCACAGATGTCTCGTCGATAAAATCACCCTCAGAAAGGAATATTGATGGATGTCCCCCAAGAAGTGGCACGGTGTACAAAAACCAAGTATCAAATGGAAGTAATGTTGATAATGTCTGCAATAGTCAGTTTTGTGTTGATACAAATGAATTGCACTTCATGAAAGAAAATAGCCATTCGACATTAAATTCTGGCTCTGATACGTGTAATCGATCGTTTAACGGGTTGCGATACACAAGAAACATACATGTAGAAGTTGGCTCTCCTGGTTTGGCTGGAGGTAAACCGATAATGGATTCTACGCTTCGGGACAATTCTTGTATTAATTACGGTTTAAGTCACCTGGAATCCGAAGAGAAACCTGGCTGCAGCTCGCTGGAAACGCCGAAGGCCAGAAACAAATGCTTGCCGCAAAATCATAAAAGAAGACCAGTATCAAGTTCGGGAAGAGAGCCATTGCGATTGTTCAAAGATACTGCTCTTGCTAATTCAGTTTTATTAAACAGCACAGATAGTGAAAACAAAATTATGCATAGACCGACTAATATCCAAAGCAAAACTATACCTTCACGAAGTCGCCCAAACCATCGTTTTCACACCTCCAGTCAACACGTTCAAGCAGTGATGAGTTTGCAATTGATTTTAAGGAAATTGTTTGTCATTGAATGATTATTGTCGAAATTCAACAAAACAATCTTCAAGCACTACACAAAATACTTGCCACCAAGAGGGCTTGCGAAACTGTGTACAAAATACTGTAATGTCATCACCAAATATAATCATGACAAATGCGAAGTATCCAAACAATGTATGCCGAAATTATGTTAACTTGCATGTTGGAATGACGCCGGACATTCTCACATCGTCTTCAACGTCCATCCCAAAAACATCTGAACAGAGTTTTACTTCTGGCTTTCCATTCAATATTCGTCGACCTGCTACACCGAGACGATTTCCTGGACCTGCTGGAATTCTTCCTATGCTGGTACGTAAGGAAATCTTCTAAATATTTGTAATGAATACTTTCAGTCAGTGCTTGTTATTTTGTTATTGTGAGTAGTTTCTGTTATTATCAAAGGATCAAAGAACAACGACATGTGAACAGAAATTTTTCCATCACAAAAAATGTTTCGTCAAAAAGAGTTGTAAAAAATCTATCAATTAGCAGACATCGCATATTTATTTATTTGGTTTTGTGTGCCGTAGGCTGAACGCCCTAAAGATGAAGCTCTGTTGTCTGCCTCTTGGAACTACATAATATTTGAAGTAAATAGAACGTCAAAAAATCGTTTAGCTTCCCCGAACGCAACAAGTGCACAGTTGGGTGTGGGTTGGTAGAGTTATAATGCTTTGCTAGCATGTAATTCTGTATCACTAAAAGATATATACTGTGTTTGCACAGGCTTATGCAAACAAAGGAGACCTTTGGGAGCACTCGAGAGCAGAAGTAATCAGAGTTGTATTTCAAATGCCGTCGCATGTGCAAATATATCGTGCACAATTTCAAAATAATGCGCACCAATCTTTATTTGTATATGAAACGAAGGTTGGCGTTATCACAACATTAATTGAAGATCATATACCCGACTCGTTGCTCTTTAAAATCCAGGTTGCGAATAGGAATAAGTTTGATAATTTTTTGAAGCAGTATTTAAAGTTGTTTCCAAAAAGACTGCTTATCTCACCTTTCTGGCAGTCCATGTATATGTATTTAAAAATGGTTTACCACTTAAACAAAATTAACAGAAAAATCCAGTTGACATGCTTCCACAAGGTTGACGATCTTGTAAACAATAGCAAGATACTGATTCATCGCATTTTCTCTGTCAATGCCTTCCCACGACCAAAGTGTTCCCGTTTGCTTGAAAGCTACTGTTGCTCTTGGTTAACTATTTGTAACATAGTGAAACCGTGAATATAGAAGTTTTACATAGCATTCCTTCCTACGCATGGCTAAAAATAACGGCTTGTGAAAGGACAATGGCCGGTCGAAAATGCTTGTTGACCGGTCAACTTTTTTATGGCTACACTTTCATGTCTTCCCAAAAACCACTGTTGTAAGGGGATCGCTCGTAAAGTATTGGGTGCTTGAAATGTCAAATACGAGAATCTGTAGTCTCAAAAAAAATTTTTCATGCTATTTAGGGCCAGTTATGTGTGTTAACGAACGATAAAAACGACTTTGTTCGAGCTACATTTCGGACGATATTCTGAGCCCTTCTGTGACGTCATGGGATTCTTTTTTTGGCATATGCAAAAACACTTTGACTTTCTTGCAAGAACATGTTGACTTTCAAATCAATTTTATTTTAGGAAGCTGGGGAAAATATTGAAAATTGGAGCAACACTGTAGCGTTAGATACTCCCAAGAAGAATTCACCGGAGATTTGTACAATGGTAAAATGCTCACAGTCAAACTTGTACAGTACTAAGAGTAATACATTAAGCCCTGTAGCGAACACCTGTACGGGCAGTTGTGCGCACTTCGTAAAGTCATGTGTTCGTAACGTAAAGTAACGCCAACCTTCGCCTTTATTTAGCTGACACCAGTCCGCTCCCACGTTGGTGTTTGCTTAAAACATGTTTGACTGGACTCTCGTTTGTCATGACTTGTGTACATTTAAGAAATAAAAGATGTTTGCTGTGTTTGCACAGGCGTATGCAAACCGAGGACACCTTTGCAAGAACTCGAGAGCTGATCAGTCCACGACCAAGACCAAAGGTCGAGAGTTATCATAAACGTCTATGAGCCAGCACAAACACAAAGAATATCTGTTATTTCTTTTGTAGAATAACAATAATGCGAAGCAGACAAATTTAACACAAACGTTTTAATTTTTCTTTATACCGTATTCATGTAGTAGGACTAGTTCCGTGACAGTAATTGGTGTAAATTTCTTGTAGGGAAACTTGCGGTAGAAAACTGCAAAAGAACGCTACTACCAAATCTTCAGAATTTTTCTACGTCTTCCTGTTTGTGCAGGGTCATTTTTCTTGTTCTAAACTCTTCAAATTGTTTTATATATCATTTTACAGGTTTTGGTAGGCGGGGATGAAGATTTTGAAGTTGAGCCGTGGACGTTAATGCAAGAAAGAGTTCTCAAAGGTACAATTGTATTCACATTTTACTTAGTAACGGAACACGTTTTTGACCATCCATAGAACTATTATCTTGGGCGAGTTCTAGACAAAGCGTTTTAGTTCTTTTTCGTCGATCATGACCAGTTAACACTTTGTATCGTAGCAACCATTACATTTTACACTTTTACTTAAACTAGTAATGGATAAAGGGAAGGGGTGTGTGGGGTGCGCGCACCCCCTACTCTTGGCTAAAAGGTTGCAGAAAAGGTGCAAATTCCGTAAAATACCTAACCAATTTTGCTAAAACAACTTTCGAACTACTCATTTCCCGGGGTCTCAAGTCAAACCCACAAAAAGTCTGATATGTGAATGACATATCGATACTCTCATCGGAGCCACCAAAATCTAATCCAAATTTAAATAACTGCAAAACGTCTAAGAAAAATAGGTACGCAGAGCATGCATGTGGGTAGCCTGAATTGACAATATTGCAATTGAAAACATCGCAATTAAACGTCATGAAATATCGAATACGGTCTAAATAATATTATGCATATTATATTTCGTTTGATAGACAGAAAACTTTAACAAGTACGAAAAATACAAGTTTTATGAACATCTTTAGAGTTAAAAATGAGAAATATTCCTCTATACAACGGTGCTCTTTTATACGAAAAAATAGGTGCAGTATATAAATAGGGGCTTGCCAACCAGAAAACAATATAGCAGCAATATCTTCAAGAAGCTTCACAAAGTTTGTCGACAAATTTTATTAACATTTTGATTGAAAACCATTTTGCCAAGACATCTGTATCATCAGCAAATTTTCTTATTAAAATGCTTTGTGAATAGTAAGATTACTCTGCACATATTCAAGCAATGAATTCAACACATGTTTACTTCCGTGAAATCTCTGCAGACGCGATATATCAAATTACCTTGTTTTATTTTCTCGTAGTTTTCGAAGCTACGTTAAGATCCCTCGAACAATATAATATTGTCAGTAAATATTGTTAAGCTTAACATGAGATAGCATTGCAATAACAAAGCGTAGACGTTAGTTTTGACTTGTTGGCAGTTGAAAACAGTGAAAAAATTATTTGTTTTCTTTTTTTTTGACACATTTTGTGCTTTAAATTTGCATCTACCACAATTAGTGTATGGATCAGCAAGATATTTCGAGGAGAAGCATAATCGGCAAGAATCGTGGACGATTGTTTTTAACAATACGTTATACCAAGTTTATCGGCCCGTTGTATGCAATGTGTTCATTTCTTTTTTCTCTCTTTGTATGCTTTACACGGACAGCAAAAGGATAGGGTGTTATATATTTCAAAAATACACTTGATTTTTACATATATAAATCGATAAAATAGTTTTTCAAGTATCCTTTTGCGAGAATCTTTCACTTTTTTTGTGACACTGAGCTGTATATGTATTTGCAGGTGTATATATTTTCATGGTATTAGAAATGCTCTTAAAGACACATTTTTCTACTTGGCGAATTGCTCAACTGTTACGAAACTTGGTAGGATTGTGTATTTAACATCGAACTATAATATTTTGGTGGATTGAACGTTTAAGTATGCCTGAAACTTTCAAAAACGCAGAAAAAGCAACAAAAAATCGCGCGGACTTTTAGTAATTTTTGTCTTTGCTTTAACATTTTTCAGCAATACTAAAAGTTTATGGCCAATTTTTTTTGACAATCTGCCAGTTTGACTTGTATTCTTCAAATATAATAGTATTTTGAAAAGCAAATGCAAGGTTTACTTTTGAAATTTTATAAATATAAAAATGCCATATTTTTATAACAAGCAACAAGCTATTTCTTAACAAGCTATTCCTGCAACAAGCTATTTCTTAACAAGCTATTTTATTGATGTAAATGCATAAAAATCCAGAACATATTTCAAATACGAAACGCGCCGTTCTTATTTTGTCTGTGTAAACAAATAATGAAAACGAAAATGTTCGAAAATGAAAACAAGGCATATCAAGGCAGGCCGATAAGCTTGGTATCTAGTTGATATGAAAACAATAATAAAATAGGCATGGAAAAATTATGTGTCATCAAACAAATTATATCACTGGAACATCGATAAAACGTAAAAAGACACGAATCATGCATGAAAAAGTTGTATAAAATGCTATGAATATTCAAATATGTTTTATATAGCACTCAGTTCTTTGAATTTTTAACATTCAGTTCTTTGTTGTGAACTTGTATTAGTTTGCCGATCGTTCGTCCTCTATTCTTACTGAATATGTTTCTCCTCAAAATTATCTTGCTGTGGCATGAACTAATTCTGTTGGACGCAATTTTCAAGCACAAAACGTGAAAAAAAACGACACTAAATCATTTTTTCACGTTTTTCTACTGCCAAGAAGCCTAAACAAACATCGGTTGCCAAAAAACATGCATGATTTCAGGGGGGGAGTTTAACAAATTTTAGATGTAATTTGGCTTCAGCCAATTATGGGACAAAACCATTGAGTTATATTATAAATGGAGTGGCTATCTCAAGCGCGGCTTTAGATATCGGATGTTGTCGAAAAAATGGCGGATTTGTTCCACTACCGCTGAGATTTACTAAAAAATACTGCTTTTCTGAAAATTTCATAATTTTCCCCTTAAGAATAAATGAGGAATATATCTGTGTGTATTTGGCATTGGGCAGGCAATTTTATGATGAAAATCAAGGTAAAAACCTAAAATTCATAACAGCGAGTCAACTTTGGTTGTCAGTTATCGGTTTCTACGAGGATGTTTTCTATAACTATCGGCGAAGGAGCTATTTGTAGGCTACACATGAATGCAGATGTACGTCGTTTTTTTACCAGCGTCAAACTTGTTGTCTCGATACCACTGCTCGATACTCTCTAGCAGGGGCCGCGGAAGTATCTCAAAATGGGGGCACTGACCGAAAAGGGCATGTGAGTTTGCAGCTTACTGTTTTAGTAAATTACAGATATGCATTGTTTCATGAATCATTATTAAGTTTCAAAGTCTGCAATATATTGGTAGACATTCTTAGAATGCTATGCGTATTCTCTACTGCTCGGCGTGCGTGCTAACAAATTGAACTAAGATGACTACATGAACAATTTTATTAAGTAATGCGATCTCATTAAAATTTCCCAAAATCTAACCCTACGTTCGTTTTTGAGAACAAAGTCCTTAGCTATTAAATGTAAGTCCAGTTCGTCAGTTGTGGCCTTGTTTACATGCATAACAATAAGATTATTGTAGCGTGCTGCCGTCATTGTGCTCCTGAGATGTGTCTTGACAAGCCGCTGGCATGAAAAGATCGTTCTCTAGAGGCTGCGCTCGTAGCAAGTCTCTCAGCACAAACGCTTACAATCGAGTCCTAGCAAACATTCCGCTGACTCAATTTGCATAGGTCCTACCAATAGGGCGGTAGTCGTGGAACTTGGCAAAGACGCATACGTTAGGTTTTGAGAAGGTGTGTGAACTGGTTCGGTCGGCGGCGCGAATAGTATCTCTGAAGACGATGTAGAGTCAGATTCGCCGAATTTTGGTTTGGAATGAGAATGAGGAGATAAACACGTTGATGGAGTTTCTGTAGCTGACGGCAGTGTCAAATTAGACCTAGAGGCGATGTTTTGGTCAACAACGTTCTCTGCTGGAGCACTACTAAAAAAACTCGTCAGTTTTCGCATCCTTTTAGCTGTTTCTACTGGCTCTTTTTCCTTTTCTCGTTTTCGCCTAGCAGCTCTAGGCATTATGATTTTGATTAGAAGTGATTTAAACCGCAAAAATTTCAATTATTATGATTATGAATTGTCAACAGTTTTGTAGGACCAATGGCCTGAAAGACAATACGACGGGAGCAATACGTTGCCGTAGAATTTGCGTTGCCCCAATCGAGAAACGCGATTTTTGATCCATCTGGGTAATCAGCCAACAACATCAAAAACAGTCCTTCTCAGGACTTTATTAACCTGGACGATCATCATTTACAAACATATAACGATACTCCCGGGTTCAAACCATTTACTTTATCAAGATCAAAAACTAAGCTATAGCTGATTTCGCATGATGCCGACAGACTGTTCTACTCTCGGGGCTACTTGTATCTAAGAAAAACTTCTTCAGTCCAATTTTACCTAAAACAAGGGCATTTCTATACCATGAAAAAGGGCACATTTTTCCTGTTGCAAAAAGTGGGGGGCACTTGCCCCCAATGCCCCCCCCGGTTCCGCGGCCTCTGCTCTCTAGTCTACACAAAAAAGTATGCCATTGTTCATCTCAACGTGTCACGATCGAGACAAAAGTTAGCTTATTCGTTGTCAATACTTTATTGCTTGTTTTCATCAATTTCATGCATTGGGCAATGGCTTTTTTCGCCACAATTATTGGATTTTTCACTGAATTATAGGATTTTTTTACTAAGGTTTTATTACTGAATCTTTCATTGTAGCATGCATTAGCTATTAGTAACATTCAAACAATACTCTACTGAAAGCATCCAAGGCATACTTACATACATTTTAAAGCATCCAAGGCATACTTAGTTAATCCATTGTCTCCATCCATAGAATTTGACCATGATCAAATTAAATAATTCTTCATAGATAAGACAATAAAGATGTCTTTTCAGCCTTGTCGTTTTTTCGTAACTCTTCTAGGTCAATAATCTTCCAGTCATCTTTGGAACCTGATCTTCCCTGCATGGTTTTAGCAAATAGAAGAATATAACAAGCTCTGCTCCAAATCATGTATACTGTTTATGCTGATCGTTTCTTTTTGCTATCTACCCACTGAGTAAATGCAGGGTCTTTTTGTCGGGAAACTATTTTGCAAATAGATTGCATGGTAAATTTACGATTTCATACATTAACAAATAACATAAAAGTATGCTGCGTTTTATAAAAAACCCAGGAAAACATCAGTATATAACTTATATAAATTTCTTAAAAAAATACGATCCTACGGATCTTATGGTTTTTCATGCGTATAATTGCTTTTCAATCTTTGATGAACAAGCAAATATCTCACCTGTGAAAGCGAGTTGCTCTTTTTTGTGGAAACTACGACATCCAACAAGTGAACAATTGAAGTATTGACATTATAAGAGAAATGCCAAAAATATCGTGCTTGTTTTTAAAAAACTCTATATAATTAACTATAGACACCAGGGGGAGGACGAGAATATTTTTTTCTGCAAAGCAGTCGTTTCAGCGGAAATAGGTCCATTGGCCGCCATTTTTTCGACAGCCTCGCCCCAGTACACTTAGTCGCTCCAGCTATTATAGAACTCAATGGACAAAACTATAGGGTTATTGTTCCAGATGTATTTTAGTTCCATGCTTTCTGCTGCATCAAACGATTGAGTTCTATAATAACTGGAGTGGCTAAGTGGACTGGGACCTGACGCCAAAAACATGGAAGCCAATTGACCTATTTCCGCTGAATTTATCGCTTTGCAGAAAAATATTATTCTTGTTCTTCCCCTGATGTCTATAGTTAACTATATAGCATTTTTAAAAACAAACACGATATCTTTTTTGGCATTTCTTTTATAATGCCAAAACTTTAATCGTTTAAATGTTGGATATCGTAGTATCCACAAAAAGGAAAATGTTGCTTTAACAGGTGAGATATTTGTTTTGTTTGTTCATCAAAAACTGAAAAGCAATTGAACTTGAAAAGCCATAAAATCCGACTGATGTTTTCCTGTTTTTGTTTTTAAATATCAACATACCTTTCCACTTATTTGTTAATGTGTGGAACAGTAAATTCGCCAATCTATTTGAAGTATAGTTTCCCTGACGCGAAAAAAGATTCTGCTCTTTTCACTCAGTGGATAAATACCAGTATTGTGGAATATAGTGCAGTACCTGTACCAACACTATTTAATAGAGCACTATGAAGACAATTGACCTGGCAGAGTCTAACAGCAAAATGATAATGCTGAATATAAAGATAAATGATTTATAGCCTTTCATGTCCAAAAGTTATTTGAACTTTGACTAATTCTAAGGATGAAGACAATGGACTTATAAAGATGCCTTGAATGCTTTGAAAGTGAAGGTCAAGTACCAAATAAAGATGACAAGATTGTGTGTGTCTTGATGCTTGATGAATTATCATGTAAAATAGTCATAATGTTTGTGCTTATGTCAATATTTGAAACTGATATTGGATGATTCCATGCCGTTGACTGCAATAATACACACTGAACTAAAAATTTATTAATAAATATATTAACATTTGGGAATAATTTTCAAACTATTATAACAAGCAAAGACTTTCTGCTATTAACTGGTGTGCCAGAAATGGTATCAATTGACGAGAAAGTATATAAGGGGCCGATTACATGAGGCGAGTTGTCCCGCTTAAAAGGGTCAATCGCCTAGTCGAGACGAGTTAAAATTTGCAATTACATAAAAGGTGTTGACCCGCATGGAAGAGCATTTTTTGGCATGAATAAATTAGTTGCGCTGTTGTTTCGTTTATGAATTGTAAAAATACATCTTAATAAATTGCTTTAACATTCTCAGTTAAACTATCAGTATTGTTTGTTGACTGTTGATTGTAGTACAGTTGCTATTATAAAAAGTTCTGAAGATGATTTTAAAATATTTGATTCACAATCAAAAGATTTATATGGCATACCACATCCCTATGGATCGTGACTAAAACACCACACGAGTACATACAAGTACATACGAGTACATACAAGTACATACGACTGACATACGAGTACATACGAGTGACATAAGAGTACATACGAGTGACATACGACTATATAGGGTTAGGGTTATATATATATATATATATATATATATATATATATATATATATATACAAAGTGTATTACAATGTGCCCTCCCGGCTATCACCATAGTAAAACGGTGACTCCTGTACTTGGGACACAGGACATATCGCGAACACGGTGAACGTCTCCATATGAGACTCTCTACACAATCCGACAGTGCTCAAACTACGCACGGGCAGTGAGCGTAATATACAAAGTGTATTACAATGTGCCCTCCCGGCTATCACCATAGTAAAACGGTGACTCCTATATATATATACTTGTGACCAGTATGTAGTCGTATGTCACTCGTATGTTAGTCGTATGTACTCGTATGTCAGTCGTATGTACTTGTATGTACTCGTATGTCACTCCTATGTACTCGTATGCACTCGTGTGGTGTTTTAGTCACGATCCATCCCTATGGCAAGTGTGTACTTCTAACTGTTCAAGGTTTAGAAAACTTGTCACTCTATTACCAAAGTACATAACTCCACAACCGTTCAACTCCATGTGAGGTTAAAGGCCAGTGTTGCCACTCTGTGTATGCACATTTCATCTACCAAAACTTTATTTTCCCTACTTCCCCTACGATGATTTTCCTTGTTTTCCCTACTTTTCCCCTACACAGCAACATATCCCCATTATATACCTATCGGGTCGGACTATTGAAATTTTTAGTCTGTTTTAAAAAATGCATACAAAAAAATTATCGAAAACTAAGAACATCTAGACGACAAAATTAGAATTTGGCGTAGGAAGTAATGACATGCAGGTGGCGCAAATGACACACTGAGTTTATGCTAAGTTTCTGATTTTCTATTGCCATATATGGTCACAAATTGTGCTAAAAGAAAGATTGTGTTACAATCACTTGCTAAATGGTGAGAACACAGAAAGAAAAGAGTATTTTGGGCAAAATGAGGCTCATTTTAAACGATTTTCTTTTCTCCCTACAATACCCTTACATTTTACAGTTTTCCCTGTAGGTTTCCCTACAGTGGCAGCACTGTTTAAGGCATAGTATTAGAAATAAGATTATGTTGATCAAACAGAAAAACGTTATGAACTTTGTTATAAACTTTGAAGTAGTGTCATGTTAATAAAACATAAAAACAATGTTGTATGCAATTTATCAAATTATTTTTTGGTTGATTTACAATTTTCAACGTTTTCTTGCAGTAATGTTTTGCATTTATGAAATTAATAAATTACTTTTTGCTTTCTTTTTAATGTAACGACTTTTTCTTCAGCCTTTCTTGCACAAAATGTTGTGTTAACTTTTTGTTATGATACAAAAAAAACTTTATTTCTTATTTGTTGCAATGTAAATGGAACATTTACCTCTCGATTGCCTAATGACTTACTCATTCCACTACATTAACATTTTTCAATTAATATATAATTTTCTTGTGATGTCAAGAATTGTCACAGCGTAAGATAGGTAAGATAAACACAGGTGGTAGTTTTATCGATATCCTATTGAAACTCAATCAATATTTCTGCGACATTTAATAATAGTTTGAAAAGTTCCACATCACGTAGACGCATGTACGCAATTGCGTACCTCTTTTTGTATTTGCAGTTGTCACATTAGAAATTACGTCATCTACAAATAATTTTCAATGTCGTTTTAGGTGTTTGATAATTTTCTGTGAGCTTCTATCTAATCACTATCAAGATTGCACCATCATTGTTTATAAAATAAACACAATGAAACGCCTGCGCTGATTGGTCTAGAGCTGAGTTTGCATTAGCCAGTTCAAAGCACATCTGAGCTCAACCAATCAAATCAATCTCTTCAGTCAAAGAGAATTTGCAAATCGATCATGAATACATTTAGAAGAAAAATTAAAATGTTTGTCTTTTTTGCATTATTGTTATTTTATAAAAGAAATAAAAGATGTTTTTCGTGTTTGCACTGGCTTATACTTCGAGATAGCAACCCTCAACCTTCGGTCTTGGGCTTACACTGATCTGCTCCCTCAAGTTCTCCCAAAGGTCTTCTGGTTTAAATAATGTAATATTATTAACATTCCATACATTTATGTGGATCTTGAAAACGCATAGTTACGTTCTTTTTTAGATTTTCCCGATGTTGCAGAGTCTATTGCTTCCCTACTACAAAAGGTACGATAACCTTACCAATAAGCTATTCTTCGCAATTCATTCCTAACATGGTGATATTGTAATAACTTTTGAATCTCTTAGACGTCAGAACTATGTACCACAAACGAATTTGTGATGTTTTTAGCTGGGTTTGAGTGATTGAATAGACTAAAGAAAACTGAAAATTTTCTTAAAACATATCTGACTGTAACGAATGTTCGTACTACCTTTGGCATTTCTTTTGTCGAACTCATGTGTATATTTTAAGAAATAACTTTATCGCATACTTGGTATTATTTGAAATTTGGTTATCAACAAACACCGCAATAACTTATACGATGGTGTAACTTGAATAGATGGAAGGCTACGTCAGTCGATATTTTGAAGCCAGTAGCGCCCAGTCTTTCCACGCATTGTAATCACACGGCTGATAGACAGAGCGAAAAAATGACTTTTACAAACTACGAAGCTCCAAAAACAACTTTTTTGTCTTAATTTGACAAACAAAACTTTCAAAAGGAGACTTAAGTAACACCAAGTATACACAATTTTTGACAGTTAAATTTTTGTAAAGGAAGCCATAGCCAACCATAACTAGAAGGCATTTTGCTCGAGGTGTTTGTTTTCGTATGTCTTTAAATGTGCACAAAACTAAAGCGCTTTTGTTACAAAATGTCATAGAAAAGCACATAAACTTCTAAACAAACATCAGTTTTCTAAATGTATTTTTACCCAAAACAATTATTATTAGTGTTTTTCCGTGCACGTACAAATTTACAGAGAAATACAATTTTTAGCTCAAACTTACAAGACATTTGGTTTTAAAAGATAAATTAGATAATAATATATAATTATACTCGTCACATGTTAGATTAAATGATGCACCAGCAAAGAGATCCTCCCAAAGGGCTTCTGTAAATAGGTGTACGTTGAAATATTTTATGTAGAAGCTTGTATATTATTGAATACATCCAATTCAATCCTTTCAAAATAAATAAGTACTTGCTGCAATGTTTCTGATTCGTATAAATTGAATGATCAACGATGTCATTGTTTTTCACGGTTTCCGCACTTTTATATTTTCCACTTCGAAATAGGTATTCAATGGGAAGCAACATAATCAACAGTAAAAAGATGAAGCCCAATCACCTTAATGCCACAATACATTCTATAAAAATTCTTCCTTTGAAGAGAATCAAAAAAGACTTCGGGAAAAACCATGTAACTAAAATACATTGACCCTTAACTGAAGCAAATAATTGAAGCCATATCTTACACCCAGACAAGCGGGGGTAGTGTTTCGAGATTCTCTCACAGGGTAAAGGTTGATTGACTACACACGCATGTCTGGGTCTAAAATTTGACTTCAAAAAAATATTAAGCTTTTCTAATACAGGTAATGTTCCATCTATTGTAGTTCAGTTATATGTAAAGAGACCTTGAAGTCTCATACAACTGTTGCTAGCAATCGTAAATATGTTTTCAGTTGTTTTTAATCATGAAGAGAAGCTTAAGCTTCGGAAAGTTTTAAAGCACAAGAGATTGTAAAAGAATTCAAATAATCTGTGAAATGAAAGGTTTTATACTTGGTACTCAACTTTTCTTGGCGACACGATTTTGGCACCCAGAACCCTAAACATTCTTTTCTTCCTTTCTATATCGTTATCTGTCGTTATGCAAGCACATCGTCACAATTTTTCAATTTCTTGATTTTGTGTGTTTCAAATATTACAGGCAAGGTCACAAAAACTTGAAAAAGGAAAAGTATTATTTTTGTCCGCTCTTGTGAAAGCATTTTGTACGAATGGTCTGGATGCCAGTGTTGTTTTGAAAGATCCATCAGGTACTATATATAGATTATGCAGTAGCGTAGCCAGCCCGCAGGTTTGTTCATGCTATGTAGATTATTCAGTCTTAATATAAAACAAATTCCGAAGAAACAAGACATCTTGAGATTGCAAAATATGAATCAAAACAAGACGAGAAGTAAACTGTAAATTTTCGACTTTATTTCAAAGTCATCCTCAGGCAGAATGTCTTTTTACTGTAAACACAATAAAGAAATAAATATTAAAGTAAATGGTTTGAACCCTGGAGTATCGTTACATGTTTGTAAATGTGGATCGTCCAGGTTGGTATAGTCCTGAGAAGGACTGTTTTTGTTGTTGACTGAAGTTTCGACAACCTTAGCGGTAGTCATCTTCAGAGTCAAATGAGGAGTAAACGTCAGGTTAGCCGTATTTGTTATCTGATTCTTACGTCATTGCATTGTGTGTACAGGAAATTTGTATTGTCGTTGTGAATTAGTGTGACAACGGCTTACATTAGAAAGTTGGTATACCAACTTGGAACAAACCCCCCTGAACAGATCACAGCAATTACCGGCACCTTACAAACGACTTATTCACAATACAAACAAACGATGAACTAAAAACATTACACTTCACACTAATTCACAATGACAGTACACAATTGACACCTACACATTAAGCTAAAAACATCACACCTAAATGACACTTCACAACTAAAAACATTTCACTTCACACTAATTCACAATGACAATACACATTTCCTGTACACACAATACAATGACGTAAGAGTGGAACAAAAGATTTCAATAAAGAATCCCGATTATTTTGTCATTGTAAACTTTTTCTGTGCAAAAAAAGTCGTGTCGTTCGTATTTATTTTACACCTGTGAGTCAGGTATAAAGCAGCGTCGAATCTACGTTTAAGCGGTGTTATTAGCTAATCATGATATAAGCAGCTTCAGTTGTAGCAAAAAAGTGGATGAATGGATTTTGGTGGATGAATGTTTAGGTATGCCTGAAACTTTCAAAAACGCAGAAAAAAAACCAAAAAATTGCGCGGACTTTTGGTAATTTTTGTCTTTGCTTTAAAATTGTTCAGCAATACTATAAGTTTTGGCTGATTTTTTTGACATTCTGCAAGTTTCACTATTATTCTTCAAATATAATAGTATTTTGAAAAACTAACACAAGGTTTACTTTTGAAATTTTATAAATATAAAAATGCCATATTTTTTATAAAAGGGACTGGAGCTACCTGTAAGCTGGCATCATGCTGGCTTCAAAGATGGCGGCGAAGTTATCATTCCAGTTGTTATTATGCTTCACTGAGCTGGCCTCAAAATGGCCTCTAGCTTTGCAGTTAATATTACAGTTCACTGGTTAATACACAATATCTAATGCTCAACAACTAATACTCAATAGCTACGTTAATACCAGGAAAAGGCAATGAAAATAATCCATACATAGATAAATAATTCATAATACAGGATGTATTTGGAAGAGAATAGGAGCGTGTATCCCTAAAAGATCTGGCAGCAAAAAATATTGCAAAGATAATAAAACGATAGCAAATAAATTTAATGCATTCTGGAACGCCGCTAAATGTAGGGATTTGTATGACCACTTATATTTATATCTACCGATCGAAATTTTTCTGGATCGTCTCTCTAAATACTTTATGAGATTCTACGCACTTTTGTGTATGCATTATACACAGTTAAGGTGGATGAATGTTGCTCCAATGTCAGGAAAAATTATCATCTCTTCCCTTTTTTGGATCCAGCAACTAATATATATGTGCATATTGATAGGTTTTTGCTCGATCACATTTTTCACTTATATATACGTTTGAAGTGCTCACATATCACTTGGAAGGTTGTTGAAGGTTTTGAAATAATGATTAATGCTCGTAGAACATATCTACAAAAATTAGTAGATATGTTCTACGAGCATTAATCATTATTTCAAGCAGACCCCAAACATGTTTTACCAAAGATTTGTTTTTTATGAATTCATCATCTGTAAAATTCCTCCATTGTGTAAAGATGTGTTGATGTTTTTAGGTGAAATTTGCGGCACGTTGCATCAAAAAGTTTTGGAGGAACGACCAGCGGAATTTGATACTGGATGTGGCCTGTTTTTAAAAAAGGTATTGTATTATCTATCTATCTTTTATTAGCATCCGTACTTCGTGAGGAGAATTTAAAGGATTGATCATCTGACGATTATTACATTCTGTGGCTAAAATCTGCACTACTGCATCTTATTTTTGTACTGGTTTTAACTTCCAGGTTTCCGTCTTCAGTCCATCCGTTCGGAAACACTATTTAAATATCACCCCGGGTAACATACTGGAAATATTCCCAGCCAACGTGAAAACAGATTGTCGTCGAGATGTAAGTCATCTATTGTAAGGCTGTATGTAGGCAAAAGTGTAAAGGTGGTTATTGTTTTCATAGGAAAAACTGTCGGATACTTTGAACAGGAAAGAACTTGAACCAACAGAAAGGTAGGCTCTACCAGGTATTCGCACCAAAGATTTTAGCTCTCGCACAGACAGTATGTTTTTTTCGTTTAACCAATTCTTCTGTGGCCTGTTTTAAACGTCGCATTTTAGTTGCGCCGAATAAAATTTCTCATTATCTTTTGTGTTGAATACATCCCGCTTATGTAAAATGCAACATTTGAAACAGGCCTGAAATGATTAACCCATCTCGAATCGAAAATACACGCCAAGGACATTGCGTACAGCCTAAGCAGTACATTTTGTTGAATATATATGAAGAAGGCGTTGGAACTTGGTTTGAGGCATTAGGTATTCAATCATTAACAATTTCATTTTCATCTGTCGTTTTCACTTTTCAGATGTGTAAGCATAATAGATAGATTTAGATTTGAGGACGTGATGTCTAAGACGACGTGAGTTGACCGAGGCGGTCTGGGTCGACAACGGCGTCGTTCTTTCATGTGAAGATTGATTTAGATTATATGAGAAGATGACGAGTTTTTACCAAAAAATAATTTCATCTTTTAAGCGATTTTACCGAGTCATTCAGCATTTATTTCTGTAGTCGCTGGTTATTCAAGAGATTATGGAGGAAAAAACAACACTTAAGTTAAGAATAATAGTTGGTTTGCACGGATAGAAAAACATATTTCTTTTAGCTTACATTCAATTTTTTTATCATAGTACTGCTATTTCATGGCATTTCAATAAGGTTTTTAATGGTAAAATTTGAAGAACTAAGAACGACTCGGAAGACTCAAGAGACATGATGAGAACCAGGCTTAAGACGACGTCGCAAAGGCAGTTGAAGTAAAGCAACCTGATGTTAACGACCATTGAGTTCTATAAGACCAATAGAACTCAATATATGGAACTCAATGTTAACGGCAGATTACGCCATACTCACATCGTCTTAGACTTCGCGTCCTCAAATCTAAATCTGTTTACTATTTTTCGATGACGAACGCGCACGTACACCGAACTACTAAAACATTGTTTTCAAAAAGATTATCTCTATCGAATAGCAATTCATGGCATTTGGGGTTGAGGAAGTTTTTATTGGTAAAAAGTTCCTAGTTTGTTAGCTAGTATCTAACGCATCTCTATTCTTGGCGATGAATTATTAGCTAATCAATTGCAGAGCCAGCAACATGGTAAAATTTAGTGCCAAGTCAACTTAAAACAAAACGATGCGAACTATCTGGTTCATCAACTCCGCGAAACATGCAAATACACGCACCTTGCAAATGAGCACCTTTTACAAATTTTATTAAAAAGAAGTGGAAACATCATTATACTAATTAAAAAGTTCGTCCTTGAAAAGTAGGAATGCTTGTTGATTTTATTAGATGGTTTTATTTTCGTCTAAGACTACTTATAAACCGCATTGATAAGCGTGTGTGAAACTGAAAGAGAAAATCTTTGTAAATGTCGGGTAAAATATATTGTGGGGGGTTGTGTATTGAAACTGTATATGAACAACGATAAAAAATGTACTGATGCAGTGTTTAGATAAGAGTAGTATTTTTTTTTCTGCGTAAATCTAACAAGACATCAATAAATCTTTGTCTTTAATCCGACATTATTGATTCCTTTATTCTGCATAAGCATTTTTGAAGCTCTCGTTTCAGGTGTTACGAGTTCAATTGTTATGACTATGTATGTGTATATACACATACAGGGTGTATCAAAAACTGAACAGATAGGAAAACGTCACTTAAGTTATCAGCAAAAACCTTCAATGAAATAGGTAGTTGGAATTCCAATGGTTCATCTGACAGTAAAATTTTTGCTAATAATAACCATTTTTAAAGTGAGAATTGTGTTACCAAGAAGCTACTTTCATGTAGTTTGCGCGTGAAAATGACAAAGCTAAAAAGCAATTGGAGCATATAAGGTTAAAATATGGCACATGTTTTTCAAGCTTATACTAACTTCCAGAAAATTTGACCAAATCGCGCACGAGTCTGAAGGACGAGTTCAATTTGAAGTCTTTGAAAAACTCACGAGTGCTTGTTTTCCAAATTGCACGAGAAACCATGCTATTGCTTATTAATAATATACATGAAAAAATTTCTCAATTCTGTTAGTTTTTAACTTCAGCGTACGCATATCAATTCAGCCGGTGAGTTTAACCATCGATCGACCGGCTCGTATTTTTCAATTCCGTGGGATGTTACTTTTCACAACACCATAGCTTCCGCACACGCAGGTAGAGCAAGGTATCTACTTTTAGCAGTGTTGTTATTTTCATCCAGAAACATCTTGCAAACGTTGAACTGTAAAATACTTCGCTAAAGAAAATTTACTTAAAACTTACCCCAGCCGGTGTAATTGCTTTGTTTACAATAATTTAACTTAACGGCTTTTGAAATGTTTTAATTCGATTGGCTCTTACGTCGTTTCTTTGTTTGACTAATCAATCAGGAGCGCATTTTTCAAAAAGAAATTGCACTGTATTTCTTCTTTTTACACTGTGTTTCACATTTTTGCACTGGTGTTTGCACTGCTCATAACCAATCAGAATTGAGAATTTTTTTCATGTATATTATTATTTTTGATATACCCTGTATATATAAATTTCATTAGAAATTTGAATAAAAAAGAATCAAGACAAAAAAGTGCTTAAATCTAATTAGAGCAGTATATAATGTTTTCTTGAAGTACACTAATGTTATCTTGAAGTTATTCACAACATTGTGTTTCACACCTTACGGTGACCTACTATTGTTTTTCATTCATTTGATAATCGCCGTAAGGTGTGTAACCCAGTGTTGTGAATAATTTTTTAAGATAACGTTATTTTTTATAATTTGGTATATTTTATACAAAATATATAATATGGTTTTTAATATGGTATAACATCGAGACGGTCGATTGTTGAAATTTCAACGTAATTAAGGCATGTTTTATAACTATTTTGTGTAGTGAACAACATGCTTCTATCGATGTCAATAAAAACGCGGGTGTTAAGCAAACAGGTACGCGCTTTTGTTATTTTGTTTGACGATGTATGTGCTCGAGTTTTCTTGTTCAATCTAGTTTGTATGTCCTTGGAGATTGTATTTTTGGAAGATGCATTTGGGCACGAGCGTAGTAAGGTCGATAATTGGGGCGGGCTCATATTCATGTATACAAGATGTCCCCAAAATGTCCCCCCATTAAAAATTATTCTTAAACATTATTGTACCTATGGCAATTGATTTAAACTGCACATAAACGGTGTGAGTAATTTCTTCATCAAACTAATTAATCACAATGGTGGAAGCAAGCAAAACGTCGGTTTAGGTTAAGAATTTTAAATTCCCAGAGGTATAAGTATTTATAAGCACACTGTATTTGTATTTATCCCTAATAGATTTTTAATGTTTTACCATCTGATGTATAAGCAATACACTTTAGAGAATAACTCATTTTATTGAGTATTGTTGGTAGCTACATCACCTCTTACGTTATTCAATTAATGCAGATGGAAGTTTTGAAGAATTACTTCGAGGATTAGATGACGACGACGATGATCTGTTAATGCAAGCAATGAACTTATGACGACAGTAGGCCATTGATTATTTGATGTACATCTTTTTGTTTGCCGTTTTTTGTATACGATTGACATGTGTGTGCGCGCGTGTGTTGTGTGCTCTCATTCATTTTCTCTATAGAATTTAATGAGAAGTGCATGGTCCTCCGAATGTTTGACGTCTGCAAAAGGCTTCAAAGAGATTTCACAATTTGATTTATGCACATTGGTGTTTTCCATGAGTGTGTTAATCGTCTGTTCATCTACTTTAGGCACAGATAAAGTCTGCGCTTCTTTCAATGTAAATATGTAACGATGAATCAGTGATGTAAATCGATCACGAAAACTAAACTTTTGCTTGATTCAGATAACATTTTTGACAACGATCAATGGTCAAAAAGATATTCAGTGGCAGAAATATAGGTGGAATTTTTTTGTTGGAATTTTTATGTTGTGTAAATGTATTATAATAATTAAGTTTAACTGCGCAAACAAAAGTATATATATTGTCACTATAAACTCGTGCAAGCCATCATTGACGTAACTAGAACGTTAATTGGGGGGTGCAAGTAGACCTTTTCAAGGTTATCGCAGCCATATTGCAGGGGGTGCAAAAACATTGGGCCAAGCGCTCGGTCGCGCATGGCGTCATATAAATTACTAATAAATGCGCAAAAATTACCCTTACACATATTGGCCATTTCTTTCAAAAATATTTCTCAAACTCGTCCATTTTAATAGTCGAATTATTATTTGCGAATTATTATTTTTTATACACGTGAGTCCAATTTTATGGCAATCAACAAGCGGAAAGTTAATGAAAACATTTGTTTTCTTTGAACAACTTGACCGTCGTTTGAGCGATGTTCTTGAGTTCGCAAATGTGCGGAACTCATAAGCCAAGTCAAACGAACTAAACCTTAAACTAGCCGAGTAGCTGTGAGCAGTCATAGCCGAAATGGTAAAAGATGCGCGTTGTGCAGTTGGATATTGCGATAATGATAAACGCTATCCTGATTATCATGTTAAGAGGTCTCACGTAGAAAAGTTAGTTTTTCATTAGTGGCCCAAAGATCAAGCACTTGCTGAAATTTTGCGAAAACAAATAGCAAACAGCAGAGCCGATGACTTTAACCCAAAGCCTGGTGCACAAGGTACTTTCGTTTGCTCAAATCATTTTCCCTTGGGAAGAAGAACCCCAAATAACCGCGGAACGGATTATCCTTCGGTTTTTATTACGCTATCAGAGTACGAGCAATCGAGGACTCCCGCTTAAACGTAAAGGAAGAGAAACATGGACGACATCAAAGCGTCCTCATCAAGCCTATGACACCGAGGATTCTGATTCAAGTTTTGATGGAAATCCAGCAAAATCTGAGGCATCTTTACTCCCTGTCCCTTTGGAATTTGAACAGTTGACGAGAGAGTATGATGTAAGGTTTCACACCGGCCTGCCATCGACTAACAGTTTTAAGTGTGTATTTGAATACTTGGCTGTTTCTTCTTCTGGCTGTTTAGTCGCCTTACATAATAAAAATAGCAATGTCTCTTTACAAACAATTGGAAATACTAATAAGAGTTTGCCGTAGAATAGTTCCTCGCGATACTTGCTGACTTTGCTGTAGACAAGTGCGTGTGTTGCGAACTGAAGGACATCGCTCAAACGACGGTCAAGTTGTTCAAAGAAAACAAATGTTTTCTTTAACTTTCCGCTTTTTGATTACCACAAAATTGGACTCACTTGTGTAAAAAATCGCAAATAATAATTCGACTATTAAAATGGACGAGCTTGAGAAATATTTTTGAAAGAAATGGCCAATATGTATAAGGGTAATTTTTGAGCATTTATTAGTAATTTATATGGACGCCATGCGTGACCGCGCGCTCGGCCCAATGTTTTTGCACCCCCTGCAATATGGCTGCGATAACCTTGAAAGGGTCTATTCATATATTCCTTTCTGGTTACGCCTTTGCAAGCCATACTCTTTGCATTTTTTGCTCATTTATCAAACGATGGTATAATATATGGCAAATTTGACTTTAAATATTTAATACATTTGCGTGGATATTCCAAGATCTTTCTTTTTTCAGTTCGTGCATATCTTATTGCGCATACGATGATCATAGTGGCAGCCAGTAAATTCCTTTTTTTGAACACTAAGATAATGAAATGGCTAACGGCAGCCAGTTATCTAATTAAATATACAGTGTTCCTGATACAGTGTGCAGGTTTATCCCTGGAGTATTTTTCCTGTGTATTTATCTTGCAATACTATAAATTTGTGCGCTCGATCACAGTATGGTCCACTTCGCTGTGCAACTGGCTGCCGTATATTTAATTAGATTACTGTCAGCCGTTAGCCATTTCATCATTGCTGTTGGTAAAAAAAAACAATTGACTGGCTGCCACTATGGTAATCACATACGTGATCAGATCTGCGCAGCACGAAAAAATTCAATGGAAAAATTGAATTTTACGTCAATAGCTTTACTAGATTTTACGTATGAGTGGTGTTTTAAAATTTATGGCATAAACATTTAAGTTGGGTTCTATTCATAGACCTAAAGAAGGCATTTAATATAGTGTGTTATAAAGATATTGCTACAGCTTGGCTTGGATAACTTTTCAATTAAATTATTTGAGTCTTATTCAAGAGATCGTTTGCAAATGTGCATGCATGGTAAATGCCTTAATTGGGAATTAGTTTCTGATAAACTTGCATTTCGAATTTTACCGGGAACCCTCTCATTAGCTTATTTATTTTTATTTTTATGAAAAGTTGACAAACTGTGTTAAATATTGTTCAAGGTGCAATTTGATTTCATTCGTTTAATATTCAAGTATCTAAATCACAGTTTTTTTAAATAATTTTCACATAACTACGTTACTGCAACTCAAATTAAGAAAAGCGTGCGAACGATCGAAAGCGTTGATCCAAATTCAGGCTTTGACCAATCAGAGCACACTTTTAGGTTATGTTTTTTATCCACAGTGTGTGAAAACAGATTGCAAATTCAACGGTTACCTGCGATGCGAAGGTGCACGCATTGTATTGTTAACAATAACCAAAATCACCATTGCTCATTAATGAAAAAATAACTTCCGTAGCTATTGTCCGAACTGACTTTTTTACAGGACATTTTTACAACTCCCTACTGCGAAAATTCAGCGAAGAAAAATCTCGAAATCACCGCAACAGACGAATAATTATCAAATGTTCAACTCGCCTTTTTTTAAAGTTAGTGAAGACAACTTTTAATGCTGCATTGACTCAAAAGCTGTCATTCAACCCTATCACAAAGTTTACGAACTGTTGATAAAGCCTATACGCTATAACACAGATATTATACCAAGCAATTTATAATATCGACAAAGAATACAAGTTGTTTGTGCTGTAAAAAACACCAGCAGAAGACAGCTCTTTCAAAATCCTGGCATAGCGACAGGTTTGAATTTTGCACAGAAAATTTCAGTCTAAATTATATGCAAGATTGCACGAAATACGCCGTACAACAATGCAAATTATCTTGTACTTATATTGCGATAGAAATTGGTCGCAAGATTGCAAGGCATGATTGCAATTCCTCGCAATAATAAAATTAAGCAATGATTTTGTAACAAGAAGCATTGCCCGTAGTAGAATGTGGTATTTCACCGTGTAACAATCTTCATGCAACTTTTTCAACGGTTGATAGCAACTCGCCATAGCTAGTACCTAGGGCTTACAATTGAAATGAACTATTGCGCAAAAAAAGCTGTTTTTGCAAAACAAGTTGCTAGAAGCATTGCATAGTGTAACATCCCTAATCGTGCAACTTGCATTTCTGAGTAAGCAGTCTTTGGGATACAAATTGCCAGACAAGTTGCACCGTGTAAGAGTACTTATATAGATAAGTTAATCTCGAAATAATACGGTATACAATATCAATTTTATATAGAGCGCTCCATGATCGCTCGTGTGTAATCTAAAGTATAGCCTAGCTGTAGCACGTTATTACCGTTTGCGTTCAACTGGTAACTGTCCCGAATTTTTCGCGTTTGCTTACGTTTCAAACGTCACGTTTGTCAGACGAAACGGTTTCAAATTAGAAACGTAACGTTAGCTGAGGAATGTTTAACGTTTGAGGAACAATTTGAACAGGTTTTGGTCATGTGATTAACATGTACGTACGATTTTAGTTACAATGGTAAAATGCTGTAGCAACCGAAAATTATACATCTGTATACCTTGGGAGATTTGCAAAGTTTGATAATTGACCATATAATATAAGAAAGAGCTGTTACAAACTTAGATATCCGCCATTTGAACAAACGTAATGTTTACCAGTTGAAACCCGACGTTTCGTCTGACAAACGTGACGTTTGAAACGTAAACAAACGCGAAAAATTCGGAACAGTTACCAGTTGAACGCAATTGGTAATATGTGAATGGAGAAATGAGTATACATTTATTCATTCATTCATCTTGGTCACCATTCGAGTCGTAATAGCTCTCATTGTCTTCATCATCGCTTGCATCGTCAGAGAGAAGGTTAGGGCTGTAATCTGCCGGATCGGGAAGCTTGTGATAATCCAGTGCATCGCGACCTGCATATCGTAACACTAACTGGAGAAGTACAAACAACGAAAAGACTGCTGCCGTTACCAATGAGAACGCTCGGAATGTAGTCTTGCCACCCAAATGATGCACTAAAAAGCCCCCGACGATTGCACCAATACCGGTTCCTAATCCCCAATACACACCTTGAAGAATGCCTTTATGGAAAATATAGTCAATGTTATTGAACGGAAGTTAGATTCAAATGTCAGTCTGAGTTATTGCTTCGGGTAAAAAGCAATCAAAGACAGGGCTATGTTCGTATATTGATGTTATGATTCCTAAAAAAACAATCGATTTTAAAGGACCTTAATACAGTATATATAAATATTACACACACCGCACCCCCAACTATAAAACTGTCAACGCCATTACATTCAGAAATTGTCAAGGGAAAACTCTTACAACGACATTACCTAGCGAAGCGAACCCCGTTAACTTACGCGGATTTTCCAACAAATATAAAATGTAGCTACATTAAAGCTACTTTTCGTATTTTCTGGAAATTCCTTTTATTATATTTATTATGTATAGGTTTCTGAAAATTTTTGTTTGGAAGGAAGACAGAGATTTGCTCTCACTAAACTTTATTAGTACAAAGGAACGCTCCATGATACAAAAAGCTTTTTTCACATTGTTAGAACGTGGTTGTGGTGGGCAAATATACTAATTGAAATATTCCGTAAATTATATAGCTGGTTGTATCTCCTTTAAATGTGAATAACTTAGCAAGTGACCGAGGCCTCATATTATTCAGTAACTTGTCTTCATTTAGCTAATTGCTTGATTAAAGAATGTGTTAGTGAGTCATAAATATAGCTAATGAAGCAATCTTGACAATTCTACAAAAAATCTTGTCGACACCTGCTTGTTGCCTTCTTACTTATTAGAAAGATGCAGTCAGAAGTTGGTAGATATGATTTACCGAGAGAGGTTGTAAAGCTATAAATTTGTGCACTGGTTACCTTGAATAGTTGCGGGTGACTGCAGCGGAGTTGAGCTTGCTATATACGATACACAGGTCGACCACGTCGCTGCGTAACTTCCCGCTTGGGCGATCTCTAAAGGCAGCGCAAACCACGGATTCTTCAAGTACGAAAAGCCCAGAAAACATAACGCATATGAAAAGAGCGTGCAATTCAGCACGTTCGCATAACCGATCTTGGTGATAGCGGAGCCAACGAGCGAAAAAACTATAACGTCGGTAATGCTTTTCAATCCACCTGCAATGCCCATAATTAGAGTGGTTGCGCCCAAATCTTCGATGTACCAATTAATGAAGTTCATCAGAAAACCATGGCAGCAACCGAGGTAGAATGCGACCAGCAGAAACGTAGCGTAACGAAAACGCACGAGGAACATGGCGGAACGCCATGTTGGTTGTTCGTCATCGTAGTTGAAACGAAATTTTGTCGCTGTTAAAATGGCGCAGATGGAAAGAGCAGCGAAGGATATGAACAAAATGAAATAATTGCCATGCGTATCACCGCAAATGATTTGCCGAAAGCCGTGAATAAAAAAGCCAACGACTGGAACCGAGAAACCATGGCCCACCGAGCCCCACAGTCTGACACGCCCGTAATAGTGCTTTTTTTCTTTCAAAGCGTTTAAACACGAGGCGTCGGTGAGTGTCATTGTGGGAGATTCTAAAAATTCACCGATAAAAATCAACAAAAGGAAAATGATGAACAAATGCGACATTTCAGTTTTATCGTTACGCCGTGTGTAAATAATCGTGTGCGTTGTGTGCATTTCCACAATTGTTTTTCCATCCAAATCACGAGTTTTTTTTCGCCCTAGAATTTTCCTTCGTTTTGCTGAAGATTTTTCGCTTTCCACATCATGGTCCAAATTAACTTTTGTCATGACAACATTTCTGGGCTTTCTTGTTTGTTCTTGTTCAATCTTCTTGCAAATCTCGTTGCTTAATATCTTTTTCATAAACTCTGTGTTTTCGCAAATTTCTCTTGCTGAGATTTTCTGAGCCATCATGGGAAGTATGTGAAACTCTCGTTTGAATTTGTCAACGTTGTGCGAAATAGGGGAAATTGTTTTAATTTTATGCGTCTTGTTGATGAAAGTGATTTCGCATGTTTGATGACTTGGTCGAAATACCATGAATAGGAGCGTCTTGAATGTGAACGCCATTAACCCAGCAAGCAAAACAGTCTTCTGTACTCGCATTTTGTCGGCCAACATTCCCCAGAACGGTGCGCCTATCGCTTGGAGTAACGGTCGGACTCCAGTTAGCAAGCCTACATGACTCGCCAAAAGGCCCAGCTGTTTGAAATACAACGGTAGATAGGCGATGATGATGCTGAAAGCGCCATAAAAGAAGAAATAGAACGTTTTGTATATGACAAGTTTCTTGTTGCCGAAGCAATCGTCGAACCTAAACATATTCCTGTTCGATCCTATATTTTGCTCGTGCTGGGCATTTTGTCTGTCATTATTTTCAAAAGTCTTTACATTTTCTTTCCCCATTTATTTTGACGTTTACTTTCGCCTTGTTTTTATTAGCGGCAGTACAATCTTTCACTAATATGCTCTTGAAAATGGCTTGTGTTGCGGTAACACAATTTCACTTTGGTTAGTATCAGTTTGCTGGTCTTGTTTCCCGCTTTGTCGTAATTTAAAATACACTGTAATCGTTTTTCGTTCGAGTCGCCGATGTCTATACTGCTTCAAAGCTCGCAAATTTTACCGATGTTTTATTTGCTAATCTTTGCATCTTTAATTCCTCTCCAATGGTTTGGCTTTTTGCACATAACACTCGAGGAAACGCGATAAATCACAAGAGCAATCGCAAAAAGTTGAGAAAAATCAACTGCGACAACAAAACTACGCGCGTTGCTTTCCTATTGAGCTTCAAAATCATTTAACAGTTCAAAGAAAAATTACGAATGCATATGAAGAGGCTGTGAAATTACACGTCGGTGTCTGATGAATAAAAGCATAATTTGAACCCACGGTAATTACACAAGGCAATGTGCTAACGTGTGTTCTCTTGCAGCTGGCACTTAAATATTTGCACTTTGTTTCGAAAATGTTGCTATGACATTAACATGACCAATGATATAATAACACGAATTTTTATTTGTGGGAAAAATCGTGTTGTATAACGATATATTCGGTTCACCGCAACACCTAATTTACGCTCAAATGGAAAGAAACTAAAGAAAAAAAGCTATAATCGAACTCAAGCCAAAACACTGTTTGAAAATTCAACATGGAAAAGTCTTTTACTTTAATTTTCACACAATGCCGATAAAAAATCCTTATTTCCTTGTGCAAAAAATTAGTAGATTAATCACGTTTTACAAAATTTATTATTTACATTTGAAATTTAAGTACAAACCTCCTTGAAAATCATTAGTTTCTCTTATTTTCTATTAATTTCCCCAAGTGTTTTTTTTCACAAATTATTTCTACCTGAATTTGTGCCTGCATGTCATAATAGAATTAACCACTAATTATGTATTCAAACAAACTACAAAGTTTTCAAACTGATTTTAAGCACCAAGCAGTTTTACTCTGTTATTTCCATGGTTATTTCAAACAAATACAACGAAACAATGGGTTGTATCATACGCTATACGATCTTCCTTAATTGTCTTCAATTCGATTCAAAGAATACAATTTCGTCTTCTATTGAGTACTCTATCATTTCTGAATGTCATTAAATGAAAGACATATTATTGGGAAGCTAAAAAGCTCCTCTCTTATTTGCTTTGTATAAACGTAAGCGTTGAAGACGATATCAAATGCACGATAGCATATTACAATTTGAAACACTTTTATAGGGTGTCTAAAAAAGGTAATCCAACTTCAACATTCTGGTGTTTGTAAATTTCCGAATAAGCGACCATATAGTTGTGAAATATTATGAAAGATCAGGATTCTCAATTATAGACATGGAATTTCATAATATAAATATGAGCAAATGCAAGCGCATTTTGGTCAAAATCGCATTCTTTGCACACCGAGGAGTAGCTACAAACCTTTTGAAAACCAACGTTTGGTTCCTTTGAGACACAGTTGTACCTTTACGATGTATAGGCTTATGAAGTTTGCATTAACAATGTAAACATTGCAATTTTGCTGATCACGTAAAAAGTAAAGTTAGTTTTCGAGTCGGGCTGTTTCAAACAGCATGGGATGAAATTGGCGAACGTTTTCCTACATGAAAGCTACCAGCCATCAAAATCATTTGACAACTGTATATCATTTTAAGTAAATGGAAATGAATAAGTTTTTAAGTTTTAACACCTTTTTTATTTGTTGAAATCTGAATTCAAAAAATGCGATTTTGACTTTTGCGACCACACATCAACAGTTTGAAGTTGGATTACGACTCCCGCTGAAGCAGACCGTTATAATTTATAGGTTATAACGGTAATTTATAACATGGTACTAACAGGTAACTAGTTTACATTTTGCATCCCTGTCCATTTCAACTACTAATCAATATACGAAAAAATCGAATTGGTCAACGTTATAAAAATTATGCTTCCCCTTAGCAAATGGGAGATAACTATTATGAAAACTGGAGGATTATGTGGCTGCTAAAGATGGCCACTTAATAGGTACTGGAGACCATTGAACTAAAATACATGGAATTCTACCTGTAATGTCTGAGTGTAAGATTTGGCTACAATTATTTGCTTCAGGTAGCATTCCAAGTATTTAAGTTCAATGCAAGAGACAAACATAGTACTTCTATAGAAAAAGTATTCTTGAAAAAATATTTGCTTATAACATGGTAGCCACTTAACATGCCCTATGCCATTAGATACAGGTTTGCCTATCCATGATATATGCAGGAAATCACTGGCAAAAAGAAATCATGAAAGTGAAATCAAACTCTTTTTTTTGTCCACAGCCATCGATCCTTTCCAGTTTTTCCTTTTGGTCTTTTGCCAAGCCAACAAGCACGTCCAGCCTTACCAATAATTTCATGCTTATGATCAACATTTGAAGCACGGCCAACAGTTGCTAAGCAATTTATGTTAACACTCTTTTCCTTCTTCGAAGGAAGTAAAATGACAGCATGCTCATCTGTCTTTCTGATAAGTTGAACTGATGTACCTGCAGCTCTGGCAAGCTGGGCACCTTTACCTGGCTGCAACTCAACGTTATATACAATACTACCAACAGGTAGCTCTCCTAAAGTATAGGCATCACCAGGTTTAATGCGAGAAATAGATTCTGGTGGGCCACGAGATGCAGTCAATATGTCACCAACTGCAACTCCATCAGGTACAACCAAAAGTTTTTGCCTTGTATCCCCATTGCCTGCACACAATGCTATACGCGCCGACCGACAGGGATCATATCCAATTTGCAATATCTTATCTTTAATGGCAACTGTATTTGTCGTCTCATCTTCCAAAGGGGCTCGTACGAAGTCGATTATTCGATATGTTTGAGGATGCCCTCCACCTCGGTGACGGATTGTTACACGTCCAGTATTGTTGCGACCTGATCGTCCAAGACCTCTCCTTACCAAACCATCCTTAAGATATTTGGGTATGTCCATGTTGGGTATACTTCGACGCTTCTTTACGTATGAATAAGGTGACCTTCCCAGCCACGTTTCCGATGTCGCAAAAGTATTTTTTATGTTTGATGAGAAAATTCCAATTCTAAAAAATTTTTTCAAGGGTTGAAACATATTGCTTGGTAGCATCGTTCAGGTTTTCATCAGTGACGGTTAAGGCAAAGATTGAACAATCAACGCTATCCGGCTGTTGTTATGTGTGTGTTGAAAATAATTCATCAATTATTCGTCGTGCATTTTCGTTGCTTGTCGTAGGAAGCCGTCACGGCGATAACCAACGACAACACAAAACGACTGACTGTAACTGTCTTCATAATCAATCATACTGTCTTGTCTGTTGAGAGTTTTTTCTTGTGTATTACCAGATCACTTAACATAAAATAAATCTTCATTAAATTGCCCACGGATTTTTTTTCATTCTAAGTCATCGTCGGACAATGTTCCGTTCGTCATCGTCGATCAGATCATGGTCGATGCTCATCTCCTCTTCACGTAGTGTACCTAAAATAACATCAGGTAAGACATATTTTAGTCGTTTCATATACATAGCCTGCATGAATGAAGTACGAAGTCCTTAGAATTGCAATTCTTTTTTTCTTAATAAGTTGTCGAAATCGCAGGTATGTTATAACATTTGAAGGCCAGTAGAAGAGATGACACCGCCACCGGCGTGGAGATCTCTTTCTTCAATGTACTTATAATCAATATTGCGGTTAGATTAGGTAAAATGAGCCTTGGATGGCCAGCAGGAATTGATTTTAATGTTTCCAACACACACATACTTCATTGTCGTTTATGTTTATTAAGCAATCATAATGACTTATTTGTTTTTAGATTTGTTGAATAATGAAAACTCAATTTGGCAATGCTTCCCCCAAATCAATGCGAATTAACGGTGTGCAATGTGCTATTTGCACATGGTTTTGGCTAAAATGAAAACAATGCACATCTTTTTTTCAAACGATATGCAAAAAATTCTTTATTGATTACTACCACATAAATAGAAAGTTTTCAAGCTTAGTCTTTGCTGATCTTTTACTTGATAAACTAGTGCGCTGCACGACATTAAAATCTTAAACCATGTTAACACAATGTCATCAACCTCAAAGACATGGTCACTCTTAGACTGAGAAGTCTGTCAACAGTCAACATACATGTTGCTTATATGCTTATGACAATAAGAATGTAATACATTTATTAATGTTAATTTTAGCTCTGTACACCATTTTGTACTGTTTTTGGCATCATAGCTATTTTGACTATTTTTGAAAAAATTGGGAAACCTTTTCATTTTGATTTATAAAGATTCTTAAAAAATCTTAAATAAGCCAAATTTGAAAAATAAGCCATGGGGAATTTTCATTTTTAATAAGCCAAATGTCAGAAAAAGAAGCCATATTTGGCTCCAAATATTAAGTTAAATTGGCAATCTTGATCAACCATACTTTTTGCTTTTACACATTGTTTGTAATATGACATCAATATAATATTTTTTGTCATAAGAAATATTAATAAAAGCATAAGGATGTTACTGTAAGTAATCAGAAGGCAATAGTATATTTGGTGTGAACTTCTTATTTCACTTTTGACTTTCTTGCCATCTTCATTGAAAGGTTGTAGCTAACAGCAAAGGTAATACAGGAAATAAATTGATGAAAACATTAAATGCTGACTAGTTTGAGTATGAGGATGATGGCCAAGTGATGAATTTATTTTGCTGTAAAGTTTGCTCAAACAAAGAGGAGAGAATAACATTTGCCAAAAATTTCTTTCGTACATTTATTACTGGATCAATGCTAAAATCATATGAATTTGTGCATGCTTAAAAATACTAATTTAGTAAATAGCACTGCATATTAATTAATATAATATCGATTTGATCATGCCTCTGGGGAAACATTTTTGTCGAAAAAATTGCACATCATTTTTTCTCAACTAATTTGCACACTGCCCCAAATCATAGTGCATTGATGTAAGTAATTGGCATGAATTTTCAATTTTGTAATTGCAACTTAGATTTTGTTAAATTTTTGGAATTTGTGAGACCATGCAGCTAGGTTGCAGACTGTAGAGAGGCATGACCTCCCACCACAAATATAGCAATCGCACAAGTTTGTTCATACTATGTAAATATTTTGGTGTTCCTGAAACTTACTTTTGTAGCGCTGCTCTTCCAGCCCCTATATTTGCTGGCTGTTAAGCTACTGCCTCTTGCTCTTTTCCATGGACATGTAATTTTATTGGGTAAAAATCAGCATTTCCCTTTATAAATTATATTCTCATGCCATTCTGCCCTCCTCTCGCCTGCCTTGCGTTACTTTTGAACAGGTTTTGTGGTCACTGGACTTTCATGTATTGTACTGCCAACAGGCCAATTTGTAAAAAAATTGCAAACCATTTTTGATATTATTTTAGAACAGCTTATACTATATACTATATAAATAACACTCTAACATCAGGAATTGCAGTTGCATAAAAAAGTGCATTCTTTTTAAATGTTAATTACAGAAATATATGAATGGGCAAAATGGTGCAATCTTTTTTACTAAATAGTTCATTTTTGTTTAGGATATTTGAGCTTATGTTGGTTAAATGTTTACAACTTAACTATATGGAAATTGTTTCAAACAACAGGATTTTAAAGTGCCAATGACTCAAAGTTTTAATTGTTTTTTTATTAAACTTCTCGTAAAACTGCAATGGAGTTTTTTTCAACATTATTGACTGCATTTTTTTCAACATTAATGACTTACTCTTGGAACTTGTGAAATTTTTGTAATACATAAATCAGAGAATTTGTGGTCAGTTGCTTTTTAATCAACATTACATATCTTACAACTCTATTAATTTTCTCTGTTATACTATTGTTATGGGCGTAATCACAAATATTATGTGAAAGAAAGTTTGTTTATTATAAGCCACATTGAATCTTGAATATGGTAATCATAATAGACTCGCCATAAATTCTCAAAATTACATCTCACAAAGACTTCACTAGTATCAAAAGTAGGTATGCAAGCACTTATGTTGTAAGGAAAGTTTCATTAAAGTTTTGAGAGAACTTTTAATTTCAAGCAAAATTCATGTTATGGACTCTTTTAACTTATTGAAATGTTGTTCAAGTACTTGAATTTTGCAGTCATATGTGTATATTCGCAATTTTGTTGAGTGTTATTGTCTGTTTTATCCATAATCATTGCACATGATTTTTTTATAATTTTCAAATGCTTCTAGCTCGCAGCTACAGTGCTGAAGCTGCCCCAGAAAAAATTGATGTCTTCATAGATGATCAAAAGGTTTTGGTTGATCCTGGGACAACCATTCTTCAGGTACAGATTTATCAACATTAAAGCAACCTTTCCCCTACAAAATTTTCAAGAACTTGCAAAATTATCATATAGAAATGAAATTTTCTGGGGCATGTAAAAACAGTTAGTAAAAATTGTTTCGTTTGTTTTTTAACCGTGTAAATGCTTGTTTTAACGCTCCTGAGTGCGGTGCTTAACTGGAAACAGCTCTTAACAAGGAGCGGCACTTATTAATTTGCTTTTAGCTGATGGTTTACGACAAATACGTATTTTTATTACCCAAAAACCTAAGAAAACCATTTACGTTTTATAGTGTCAACCAGTACAAATTTTACTAAGGCTGGTCCATGCTACATATGTTCTGTATTGTATTTCATGTCTGTTAATCAAGCAAAGACGAAATGCTTTTTTTCTTTTGTTCGGTGAAATGATGGTTTGAAATATTTTTAAAAATATACTATTGAATGTTTTATAAGCCGTTTATTTATCACATAGATTTTTCATATTTTTCTTTGTGATGAAATTTTAAGCTGGTGCACTTCACCCTTTTCAAAACTACCTATGTTGTAAAATTCAGCTGGCTCCTCAGTGGATGCATGCCGATGTTATTTCTAGACGACTTTTTGCGATTGGGCGCCCATGGCCTAGAAAGCGAAACCAGGAAAATCATTTAGCACCGCAGCTGTAACGTTGCCCAGGTGCGGTGCTAAATTATTTTCCTGGTTTCCCCTTCCTAAGTGCGGCGCTTAACCGGGAGCGTAACTTTACCTGGAGCATGGGTACAACGAGCATTTGGATACCATATGAAATCTGTTATGACATAATGTTTTCCAAAAACATCAATTTTAACTTGTGTAGGCTTGTGCTATGGTTGGTGTTCAAATACCAAGATATTGCTATCATGATAGGTTGTCTATCGCTGGCAATTGTCGAATGTGTTTAGTTGAAGTTGAAAAATCTCCAAAGGTAGCTGCAATATTCACTTTCATTGCATACTTTGTGAAATATGGTTTTTGAAAGGTTCCTACGGTAATTATAAGTCTATTTATTATATTTTTTTTTGCGTGTGGCGAAGGTGAGGCTAATATGATTCAGGTCAGTTTTAGGTTCGAAACTTTTGCTTACAACAGATTTCACACGTACGTACGTATGCGTCTCAGTTGAGTTTTCGTTTATTCGTTCATTCAATCTTTTATCCTTCAACTTCTTATTGACATTGAAGAAAACTCTTCGTAGCTAAAACATATTTACGTCGGTACAATGTTATTGATATTTTAAAACCTATATGTTACGAAAGTTGGTCTACGTCAATTTATGTACGTATTATTTAGTGTCTCCAATCTGTTTTAAACTTGACGAAAGATGTCGATTGTCGTGGATTTTTACCAGAGAGACGTTTGGGAGAACTCGAGCTCATATAAGTGCAAATTGGAGACCGAATGTCGACAGTTCTCACAAACGTCTCTGAGGTTTGCACAAGCCTTTGCAAAAAACATGAAAACCTTTTTTTAAAAAAAAGGTAATGCGAAACTGATCAATTTCAAACAAACGTTTTACCTTTTCCTCTAAGATGTATTGATAATTAATTTACATATTATCTTTTATTGATTTAATTTATTGAATGCAAACCAATGCAAACTCAGCTGTAGACCAATCACGCACGTGTTTTTATTGCTGTTATTTCATATGTTTTTACTTGTTTTTTGCAGCCAGTTGCTGCATGTGCGATGCCAGTAATGAAAGGTTCAAGGATCAAAACCGACTCCGAGATGACGAGAAAAGCAAGGTAGTTTTTGATTAGAGATTCTTTAAAGGTTTTGCAATCCTTTTTTAACCAATCTTCTTTGGCCGAGTTGTCGTTGCACGCCTGAGATCTTGTTTATCCTACTCACTGTCAAATATTTCTGACATTCAAAATATATGTTTATTTAGCTACTGCATGAAATGAACCTCTGTTACTTGTATGGTTTATGTTATGTTCTATCTTAGAGAGGGTGTGATGGAGTTTCTTTTGATGAACCATCCGCTGGATTGTCCAATTTGTGATCAAGGTGGAGAATGCGATTTGCAGGTAAGAAAACCGTCTTTCGAATCTTCTCTGCTTTCACTCCACCATGGTGTTCTAAAACATTTGTGAGATTTTCGTCTTACATGTGGCGCACTGTTCATATAACATTGTCTGGCGTCTCGTTATTTAGGATCAATCAATGGCGTTTGGAAATGATCGAAGTCGGTTTGTCGACAATGATTTCTCGGGGAAGAGGTACAGTGATTGAGATTGCATGACTTGCTCAAGGCGGCGGTTTTCATTCCTTATTTATATAATGAATGCACATGCAATGCGTGCATGTTGGGCTTTATTTGTAATGATTACCCACCAATGTCGCATTTTGACTTCTACTTTAGCCTTTTAGTGTTGAATTCATTCAAATTAAATCATCTAGGTAGATATAGCTACAGCAAGTTTTAAATCATTATTCTAAGTTGCGTGTTTCATTTATATTTGAGTTTTTTAAGTACATCTGCTATATGAGCTGATCAAATTATGAATTTCTTAACTTTAACCAATATTACGCTTAAATTATTTTTTGAAATTTATCATAAATATTCGCGGTTTGTTTTTATTTTGTAACCTTGTCCTAGTTCTTGAAAGCTATTTTGACAAAAGCATATTTTAAAGGTCGACTTAACTACTTTCGACAGTGCCCCCACTCAAAATGAATCAGCTGTCTCAAACTGAAGAGGCTGAGAATTGGCAAAGAAATTATTTTTTGCTCTAATTTACCACCGTCTTAGTCTCTATAACCATACTTTAGATAATTTCCATTGTGTTTTTCCAGAGCCGTGGAGGACAAGAATATTGGCCCTTTGGTTAAAACTATTATGACTAGATGTATTCACTGCACAAGATGCATCAGGTATTTTTCTCGATGAGTTAATTCATAAAAACGTAGTGGAGTTGTGATCATGTGTTTTTATTGCTCGATGATTGCCGTGTGGTTTTTGTTTCAATCTGATGGAACCACAGTTTTACTTTGTGCCAGGACTCGTACAAAACTTGAATGTCCCTCATTTTCTTTGAATTCGAATTGAGAAATTATAGGCCTTAAAATGTTCATCAATATGTCATAAAGATATGCTTGAAAGTGCTGTATTAAAATTCTTTGATCGAAATTTTGTAAACATGGCATCACATAACTTTCTTTTCAACTTTGTAGTAACTTACCTACACAGAAGCTTTCAAGTCATATAACATACAAGGACACCATTTGCTCTCAATTCTTTTGAAAAAGTTCTTTTGTTTTCATTACCACAATGTGTTTGATGTTTTTTGCTTTAGTTGTGCTTTGTGTGTGCGATCCAAGGTCTTCCTTGTCCTTAATTATTTCAAAATACTTTCTTTAACGTACTTGAAGAGCGCCAGAATTTCATTACAATAGCAGTGCACATTGTCACTGTGCACTCAAGCTTTGAATAGAAATCTTACCTGAGCTAATTTTTATTTCAACTTTAAGGACAGCCTACTTCATATAAGTGTAAAATTACCATTATAACGCACGAACGAAACTCTTACAGTATTCTTTGTTTCATTTGAGGATACATGTATATGTTTTTACCGGCTGGGAGGTCTGTACGAAAAAATATCTTCACGAGGTCTCAATAGTGGCCGAAGGCTGAGGGACGCTTGAGACTGAGTGAAAATATTTTTTAAGTACAGACTGACCTCAACAGTAAATAACATATTTATTTTTTTATTTCTACTATGAAGAAATTCGCTTTGTAAAATGGACGATGCAACTTGATGTGTAGAACTTGAGACTAAAATTGAATTGAGTTCTACAAACTTCGCTTCGTCTGGATGATAAAATTTACTTTTGCCATGAACTTTCATCTGAATAAAATTTGCCTACGCGTTCAACAATTTACTTCGCTTTTAAATCAGTTTTGAAAATTTACATTTCATTTTGCAAACAAATACATTGCGAAAAAATATCACAATATCACCTCTGTCCAAGGATAGATATAGTAAAAAGCTACCCGCTTTGGAAGCCAATCAAATTGCTCGAAATAAAAAATATCGCTTTACGTGCATAAATAAAAAATAATTTGTGTTATTTTCCCTAAAAATTTCCCGGCTCCTCATTGGATTATTGATGATAAAATATGTGATAAATTTTTACAATGCTCTTTCGTGCGGATTGAGCATCCGAAAGAAGTAGAACAGAGAGTTAATGCTCATCGTGAAATTTTAATTTTCTTTCATTTCGAAAAGGTTTGCAAGTGAGGTTGCTGGTGTGGATGACCTAGGTACAACAGGACGAGGAGGTGAAATGCAAGTTGGTACTTATGTGGAAAAGATGTTCAAATCTGAGATGTCAGGAAACGTTATAGGTAGCACATTATAACATATTTCCATTGATAGTTTTAGTTGCAGCCCAAGGGAAGGGAAGGAAATATTCTCTCCCAATGATTATATTGCTAAAACGTAATTTTTTGTACAAGCACAAGATACTAAAGCAGCAACTCACATAATAATTGAAGCTTTTTATTGCGACAGTTACGTTTCATAATATTTTGACGTTGCCAATGTAAGTATCATGTTTTCGTTGTGCAACAGCAATTTCATTGCTCAATTATCATCACTTACTGGGGAGTGAACATGAATAAGCAGCGTAGCCCCTCCCCACATATAAAATTATAGTTATAATCAATTCATATCTTGTCTTAAAAAGTGTTTTTAATTATTTGTCGGCAGTCCTTACATTGTATAACAGCTTTGTAACGAACACAAACATAAAGTTGCACATATAATTCACCTGGTTTTCCACAGAACTCCAACTATCACAAATACTGATTTCTTTATTACTTTAGAACTAAAATGTTATGTACGTATAAGATTTCGTTGGTAAAGATTATGCGTACGCAAAAGTAAAAATTACATGCATTGATGGTCTCTATGTAAACATTTATATTTTATGGGGTAGTGTTGTGCACCGGAGTCGGAGGGCAGCAGCCTGAGCTGGATTTTTTAATTATTTTTCCACAGCCAGAGATGAGGTCAAAACAAAACCTCCGGCAGTGGCATTTTTGTAAACATCTAAACTAAATCAAAGGTTTAAATTCCAACAAAAAATACAACAAACATAAGAAGTTATTTGATAATGGAAAAGTAAGAACTTCCACAAAAACAGAGTATTTTACGTATTTATTTATGTCAGATAACAGAACTTCTTATTGTGTATGCCGGAGTTTTCTCGGCTGGAGCTAAAGGTTAAAACGCTGGAGTTTGCACAGCACTATTATGGTGGACTAATTTTTCTCCATCCTTTAGTCAATGATCAACATTTTCTTCACACAAATGAAAATATTATAAAAACCAATTTTCTTGTCTTATAATTCATTTGAAAACTGTTAATTCTCGCAAAATTTACTCTTAAAGGATTTAAATTGTTGAAATCTATTTTACAAAACATTCTCCAGTTTCCAAAAAAGGTTCTGCCATTATACACCTAAAAGATTTAAAATGCTTTTAGATTTGTGTCCTGTTGGAGCGTTGACATCCAAGCCGTATGCATTCACTTCTCGACCATGGGAAACCAGGTAATGAACTTGCTAACTTTTTGTTTTCATTTCGTTTTTGTTCCTCGTTACGTTTTTGTATTTTTGATGTTTTTAGGAAAACGGAATCCATCGATGTACTTGATGCAGTAGGCAGCAACATTGTCGTGAGCACGCGGTCGGGTGAAGTAATGAGGATATTGCCAAAAATGAATGAGGTATCTTTATGATGAGAAAAATAAATATAATAGTTACGTGTATTTTTATCAAAAGTAAAAAATGGTTTCCTTGCAATTGATAAATTTGGTGAGAGGTGTGTAGTTAATATATTTACACTAACACCCTGCATAGCCATATAGTATAGCCAGAAAGAGAAAGCGTGTGTAATTATTGACAAGCTATTATTCGTTTCACTTTTGTCACCATTCAAGTGGTTGAAATCCTATGTGGAAATCATTCTGTAGCTATAATCTTTAGTAAAATAAAAACGATAAAATGCCTGTATTGATCGGGCTATTGCATTAGCCTGTGCAAACCTAACTCAGCCAAGGAATGGAAGAGAATTTGCAAATGAATCATGAGTACAAGTTACACGAAAAATAGAACGTTTCTATCAAATTTGTCTGTTTCGCATTATTGTTATTTTATAAAACAAATAAAAGATGTTTTTCGTGTTTGCCCTGGCTTGTGCCAACCTCGGAGACGTTAAAACGTCTGAGACGTTGTGAGATGTTGCACTGATCTGCATAGATGTTGCACAGATGTTGCAGATGCTGCAGATGTTGCAGATGTTGCACAGATGTTGCACTGATCTTGCTCTCAAGTTCTCCCGAAGGTATTCTTGGTTTTACATAAGCCTGTGTAAACAAAGTAAACATCTTTTGATTCTCAAATAAAAGTCGTGTAAGTTTCCATTAAAAATTAAAAATTGTATACGTTTTCTTTTGACATATGCTCTGCTCTTTGAAGTCTATTCTCAACTATGAATAATTTCTCTGATTAAACGTCACCAAACATTTTAGTGATTGTTATCGCCTTTTTAAAGTGCAATATATACGTTGTAGTAATTATTAAGCTCTTGTCACTTGTGGAAAGTATTGTTCATAACCCATGAATCGTATCATTTTATTTTGTAGGATATCAATGAAGAATGGATTTCGGATAAAACAAGGTTGTTATAGTTTAATGTAGCAAGCAAATTTTTATCTCGCGACAACGCACAAATTCTTATGATTGTACACCTAATTTGATCCTCAATGAGTTCTTAAAGAAAAGAAAATAAGTAGGAAATTTTCTCATTACTTGTAGCGTGTTTTTTTCGCCGTTTTTCGGTGTTGCAGTTTCGTTTCCAATAAAACATTATTTTCAAGGAATTTTCCTTCGCGCAATGCTAGTCATTACTGTAGTCAGAATTACATATGAAAGAAAACATGCTTATGACAATTTTACTGCAAGTCGACTGTTTGTAAGGTTGTTGGCACTGCCCCTGACAAGCTGGAAAAAGGCTGGCTAAGCTATATAGATATATGGATATATATTTGAAAGGTTATTGAAGAAAAGGGGAATTTGATATTATGCTCCTGACCACGATTTGCTGCCATAAATTTATCCGTGCATCAATTGTTCTTGTTTGAAAAATTTCTCTTGATGGAAGTTTTTGTTTGCTCTATTTCTTTTTATGCAGATATTTTGAACAGCTCTTCTCGACCAACGATGATCAAAGAGTAGTTTAATGGTCATTTTATGAGCAGTTGTCTTTTTTAGATTTGCTTACGATGGCTTGAAACGGCAAAGGTTGACAACACCCATGATGAAAAATGACAGTGGAAACCTCAGTTCATGCTCCTGGGAAGATGCATTGTATTCTGTTGCGCAAAAGATCGTCGGTCTCAAAGGTAATGAAATGGCTGCCGTGGTTGGTGGTCTTGCTGATGCCGAGTCCTTGGTTGCGTTGAAGGATTTCTTTAATCAAAACGACAGCGATGCCTTGTACACAGAGGAGAGTTTTCCTATCGATGGATCAGGGTAAGTGATGAATGTTTTACGTGTGTATTTATGTTGTAAGTTAAGGTTAAGTACTCTGTCCAATTAATTGGCAAGTTCATTTGACATTTTAACACAAAATCATCAATATTATTTTTTTCGAGCTCGTTGTCGAGATTGCCCAAGAAAAAGAACTTTAAACTTTGCTAAAGATGTTTTTGTATATTTTATGCGAACAGCTGCCTTTGGACATTTACAAACATATAACGATACTCCCGGGTTCAAACCATTTACTTTGGACACTTACTCGGTCACTCCCTCCTAAAAATCTGAAATTTTCTAAAAACAAATAACTAAAGTAAATGTATTGTTTATTGCATGTTCTATTACAAACATGGTAGCCAGTAATGTCGTAAATCTTCATGAGTTAGTGTTGCTATACATGTACATTCAACTACGCAATTGGTTTGTGTGAGATTTCCAAGTTTATAAATTCAGTTGCAATGCTAGAAATTTCTCGAGTTCTGTGGAGTGTGTAGTAAAATATTGACTTTTCCACTGCAATCATTCAAGGTGTATAAAAAAAACACCAAACGATTGTAGGTAAACGGCAAAACGCCACTAAATTCATCCGTGCTCAAGATTTGCAAAAACTTTCGGTGGAAATCATTAGACTTCTAATGATATATCTGAATGTTGAATTGTACAAATCAATAAATAATGATAAGTAAGAATAAGAAATCCAAAAAATGGAATAAAAATTGTGTTGTCGAGAAGAACGTTTGAAATACTTAGCTTGCTCACGTAAACGACACAGCTAAAAGCAACAGGAATTCGTAAGGTTGAAATATGATTGGATGTTTTTCAAGCTAACAAAATTTTATGAATTTTGGTTTATGCGTACGCGAACGCTAAGCTTTCAAATGGCAGGTTATTTTGAATTTTTCGTTTTTTAATGCCATTATGCCTCTTTTTCATAATTCTCGTCAATAATGCACAAATGTGAGCCTAAGGGGCTGATTACATGAGCCCGGGTAGCCGGGATTCAGCCAGGCGTGAAATGATTTTGGCAAATGGAAACGATTCAATACTTATCACCAGATAAATCTCTTCTCGAGTAATTTCACAATGTTCTGATTTAATAACTACGCAAAACATTTAAAACTAAAACAGCCAATTTGGCCTAACTTGAAAATTACAACAGGAAGGAATTGCGGCATTTAACAAACAGTTCTAATTTTAACCTTGACGTTCATCGACGTTCAGGTATCCATGGATATTTTTATTAACCAAAGGTATTCTCGATTTTTAGAACTGATTTCCGTTCCAGTTACATAATGAACACTACGATTTGCGGTATTGAGGTATGAAAACTGGTAGAAAGGCCATGAAGTACGCGTGGATGTTCTTTTTTTTGTTTTTTTTTCTAAATTGCCTTCACAGGAAGCGGATACTCTTGTGATCATTGGTACAAATCCAAGATACGAAGCGCCACTGATAAACAGTCGAATACGAAAAGCGTGAGTATTATTCAATGAATCTGGAATAATTGCAAGTGTTTGGAAAAATGATAATATTTTACAATTGTTAGCTTAGGCCCGTTTCCAATGTCGCATTTTACATTCGCCGAATGCATTTAGAACAAAATATAATGAGATAAAATTCTTCATTATCTTTTGTCTTAACATTCGGCTCATGTAAAATGCGACATTTGAAACAGGCCTTAGTTGGAAAAATGTATACAAAACTAATTATTTGTTTTCAAAATGAAAACTGTGTGCTTACCGTTGTTATTTGAAAGCAGTGTGATCAAAACTATAAGAATGTGAAGAGACGACTTTCATTAATTTCGTCGGAGATGTCTTATCGAAAGTGCTTTTCAACATCAAAGTTTCTCCATTACCTTAGTAATTCATAGTATAGTCAACGACATATCAAATGCACTATAAATCTAATTTATATGAGTTTTTTGGAAAAGAGCAAAATCATATGTTGGTAGACAAGGTGTATGTACATTAATTAAGAGAACTGTACGATTTCATGCTTTTCCGATGTGATTATACGTGAAAGGTTTATGTTATTTTTTTGCTGTAGATGGCTGCATAATGAATTGAAAGTTGCAGTTATGGGACCTAAACTAGATCTGACTTACACGTACGAGGTACTTGAACACGTTCTTCCATTTCAAACTTCACTTTTACGAGGGTAATAATATACCTTTTTGCTGCATTTTACTTGACGTGATTATGTTGACACGAAAAAACTTCTGCAGTAGTTATAAAGGTTGGATTAGTTCCTCCTTGAACATTCATCTAGTCAAACCGTGAAGGTTATTGGATTATCATTGTACACGCTTTGCTTGAGTGTGAGTTTTTTCTTTCCATTATCTCAGCACTTAGGTGAATCTGCGAGCTCGCTTGCTGATATTCTGAACGGAAAACACTCTTTCTCGAAGGTGCGTCAGTTATTATCTTTCTATGCATAGGGAGGGACTGCCGTCAATGTCTTTTAACGACATGTTATACAATGTCTGAATAAAAACATTATATTACTTTGGTTTAATAAAGTGTCTCTGTCTTAAGTACAAAGTGCGCCAGTAATCATGGTATTTTTCGAAATCTTTTTTTCTTATTATTATTTGCTCAACCGGAAAAATGTGTTTGTCTGAATTTGCGATTGAGAGAAAAAATTTAAAATGAACATTCACTCTGTAATCTTTTTATATTGTGATTTATTGAAGAAACGGTAAAGCATCACGAAAATTAACACTCGTTTGGGTTTTGTACAAGTATTTTGGGTATAACTGACCTCTTTTTGTAAGTTAATTCCATTAATTTATTTGTGATTGATCCATGGTTAAATCTGGCTCCAGTTGCATGGAACTTTTCACCAACCCTAAAATTATAGTGTCACATGGTGACGAGGAGATTTCTAAAGGGAGGTGAATTTGCAACACGGCTCTTACAAAGCTTGAATGTCCTTCAATTAAAATTGAAAACATCAAGGCCTTAAATGTAATTGAATTTATTAAGATGTGCTTGAAAATGTTTGAGCTCAAAATTTTCGATCGAATTTTTATAAGCGTGATCGCCCTACTTTCTTTTCAAAAGTGGATTTGAAATGGTATTTTAAACACTTTATCGCAAGAAAAGTAACGGGTTAATGTCAGAACTTTGAAGAAACCTATCAACATGGCAGCTTGCAAATCATGAAAAGATACCATTTTCTTTCGATTCACAAGCGAAAGTTCTTTGAAAATGTTTGCTTAATATTTTTTGTGCAATTCAAGGTCTTTCGTGTCCATAAACTTTTCAAGTTATGACCATGAAAGTCCTTGAAAAGTACTTGAATTTTATTATTCTAGCATTGTACGAACACTGTTGCAAGGCTGTATTAGCTACTATTGATAATTGGAGGTGCAATATTCATATGTTATTTAATCCGTAAAAAACAATGGATTTTAATGGAACTTAACATGGCATGGCATGCATATAATATATGAATGTAAACATTTCAGTTTCTTTAACTCGCAATTTCGTTTTGGAAATTGCTTTACCATATGGAAATTCTCGATTTGTGGCTCATTTACCTTCTCTTATGCCTTTTTTTTGTCATAGCTGTTGTATTCTGTGTTTTTTTTCCTATTTAAGGTCTTGTACGAAGCTGAGAGACCGATGGTCATTGTGGGGAGTTCAATTCTTCAGCGGCAAGATGGCGCTGGTATTTACGATCTGGTTTTTTCATTGGCTAACAAACTGAAAGCTTCAAAACAAGTTTCTGCAAACTGGAGAACACTAAATATAATGCACAGGGTAATTACTTCAAAAGTGCTCCGTCTGTTTTAATGTAGTAAAATTTCATTACATTGTGTATCGCAAAAAACTGAACAGTTAGGAAAACGTCCCTAAAGTTGTCAGCGCGCAAGATCTGCAAAAAACTTCGGTGAAATAGGTTGTTGGACTTCTAATGGTTTATCTGACAGTAAAATTGTCGCAAATAATAGCTATTTTAAGAGTGAGAATTGTAATACCGAAAAGCACTTTTGAAATAGCTTGCGCACGAAAATGACAAAGTTAAAAAGCAATTGGAACACATAGGGTTAAAATATGGCACATGTTGTTCAAGCTAACAGAGTTTCGCGGTATTTAGCCTAAATATTATTGGCGATTGGCATCCAAACCGCAATTGTTTTACACTTTTCCATTTTGAAGTCCATTTTTTTATAACCTTCATCAATTTTTCGTATTTGCAGTAATTTAAGCTCACATTAATGCATAATTGATGAGGATTACAACAAGATGGCATTTAAAAACGACAATCCAAAATAACCTGCGATTTGAAATCTAAGCGTTCGCGTACGCATCAGCTAAATTTTCCAAAACTTATGAGCTCAAACAACATGGGCCATACATTAACTCTATGTATTCCAATTGCTTTTTAGCTGCGTCATTTTCGTCGGCAAGCTATTTCAAAAGTGCTTCTCAATAATACCTTAAAATTGTTCATTATTTCTGAAAATTTTACTGTCAAATTATCCATTGGAAGTTCAACTAACTATTTCCACCTAAGGTTTTTGAATATTTTTGCGCGCTGAGATGACTACAGATACGTTTTCCTAACTGTTCGGTTTTATCACCCGTATTATTTTTCAACAATTAGTTATAATTACAACTGGTATAGTTAGTCGCATCCGGAAAATTAAAGTTACGGCTACCGTTTTCAAACAACTTTCTAAAAACAACGCTTCCAGATCTCACAGAATTTTTATTATTGACTGTTTGTGCAGATGGCTAGTCAGGTCGCTGCCCTAGATATCGGTTACAAGCCTAGATTGGATCTACCAAGCTCGATGAAGCTCTTGTATCTTCTTGGTGCGGTATGCATATTCTATGTTTAATATCATACGTGCAGTATGTTAAACGTGAAGGATGGCCATGCAAGATCACCGACGTTTTGTATTGTAAATTTTTTGCGTTTATGTAATATAGTTTGTATACCTTCTTTTTTTCACCTTTCACAAATGAAGTATGATTAGCGTATTTAAGAAAATAATTGTGAAGTGTTTAGTTGTGCTAATTCCATTAACATTTTCCTATAAAAAACTTCACGTACCGATCCTTTTTAGGATGTTGGCAAGGTAAACCGCGATGACTTACCTAAAGATTGCTTTATTGTATATCAAGGTAAGCGATATCACATTCTTTATTATACAATATTAAAGAGAACATTGAGTCTATCGTGATAGCACACATATACTTTATCATCGTCTTTACGACACGAAGTAAGTTTGGTCTTATAGCATCATCCGTCCGTCTATAAAATTTGTTATAGCTGTTTCAAGAAATTCTTAAAAATTCGAAATATGTCTAAATTAAGTTACGTTTACACACAACGATTTGTCGGGCTGACACTTACGCAATATTACGTGACTCTTGCTATATATGGAAAATTTGTCGTGTAAGACAAATTGCTGTGTATAAATATGGCATCCGATGTCTTTACGCGATTTTAACTCCAAAAAGAAAACAAATATGGCGTCAGTGTCGGCTCGACAAATCGTTGCGTATAAACGTAACTTTAAGAAACTTAGGAAGTCTACCAATTTCAAATAAGATGCACTATATGTTGTGTATGGCACCATGTCAAAAGCTCTCCGATAATATGTCTATGCCATTGCTAAATTCGTTTGTAGTGTTTCTCTATCTATGGATAGCTGATATTTATTGCCATTACATTTGCTCTTGCAACCTTGTTCTGTAAATATATCTTTGCAAGAAATCATACGTCTCATTTACAAGTACTCCTGTCAATAATTTCTTCTTCAATGGAAGCATGCCATGTACATATTCGGTCTGTCTACTGCGTCTCCTTTCATCCCATCTCTCCATCGAAACGTGATTCCCTGAGCACGTAAATTGACTTTTACTACAATGGCAATGTAGTCACAGTATTTTGATCGATCAGAAATAGATTGTAGAATTGTAAATTCCATCTGACCACAGGTCACCATGGTGATCATGGAGCTCACATAGCTGACGTCATCTTACCTGGAGCGGCCTACACCGAAAAAACCTCAACATACGTGAACACTGAGGGTAGAGCTCAGCAAACTAGGTAAATGCAATTTATTGTAAATAGTAGGTGACGAATACAATTTGGACATCGTTAGCAACAATGTACAATTGATTTCTTGAGAGTTGGTGGGAGCATGAAGCATGTAGCCACTAATCTTGTTTTTTATGTGCGATCACTACTCAGTCACTCTAAAACATTCCAAAATTGCATGAATGTTCGTCAGCATGAGGCTTAAAATTACTTTTTTATTTGAAATGCAGTTAAGTTATTTCTTATGCGGCATTAAATATGTTAGAAATATCAAGCAAAGAATAAACGTTTATGTGTATGATACTATTTTTTGAGCAAACTGTAAGTTTTTACTACTGTATGCGTGAAGCTAGTTGTAGACTGACTCTTAATTATTGTGGCCACAGAATGCAATAAGGATATCATTATAAACAAAATTTATACTGTAGGAGAGCCGTTTCACCTCCTGGGTTGGCAAGAGATGATTGGAAAATAATAAGAGCCCTTTCTGAGGTAAGTATCTTATCTCACGTTTTTGAAAATTTTTTTACCGTTATTTTTTCATATTACATGCTGTTTGGCTTTAACTCTTAGCAGACGTGAGTATTTTCTACAATTTGTAATTGATTAAAATCAGTAAGCCCTTATTAACCTAGCGCGAGGTCTTTACGGAGAAATATCGGACCGAAGTTTTTTGTACAGATCGAGCCCGTAACGCGAGGTTTGTACAAAACGACAGAGGTCCGATATTTCTCGGGAAAGACCTCGTAATTGAGGTTAGTAAATACGGTGGCTCACAAGGGCCACCACACAAAATAAAAATATTAATACACACACAAAATAAAAATACACACACAAAATAAAAATACACACACAAAATAAAATACACACACAAAATAAAAATACACACACAAAATAAAAATACACACACAAAATAAAAATACACACGCAAAATAAAAATACACACACAAAATAAAAATACACACACAAAATATGATTGCGGGCGCTTGCAGTGTCGGCTTACTCGGAATTGCTCGTAATTGATCGCATTTGTTTTCAAAGTTCTAATGGTTCCAACTTCCAGAGTATATAACAAAATTCACTGATTTCACTGTGATCAATTATTTCAAAGTTGCTTACGATATTGCTCCCCGTATTCTGGTTAAAATTAAGGTTAATGTGTTGTCCTTTGAAAGGACATTATTGCTCTAGCCTGTCCTGTATTTGTTATAAACAGCTTTGGGGTACTTGAAGTTGAAGTTAACGGACTTGCAGAGCTCGAAGGGCAACTGCTTGAAGAGACGCTACTCGTCATTGACGCTTCAGAACATTTTGGCAAAGAAGTTAATCTTCCCAAACGCACACCGCATTTGTGACAAAAAGAAGCTTCGTCAAGTGATTGTGCACCACAGTTGGCACAAAACATAATTATGCCAGGATTATGCAAGAGCTTGCTTTCGATTCCTTTCCAAATGTAATTTCAAATGTTTCGCTGTTGAAACAGTTAAATACGACGACAAGTCGACCACATGTTAAAATCACAATTAGTGAATTACACATATCTGATTACAAACTGATAATATGATAGTCAGACCATCCGACACTGCAAGCGCCCGCAATCATATTTTGTGTGTGTATTTTTATTTTGTGTGTGTATTTTTATTTTGTGTGTGTATAATGTATTTTGCGTGTGTATTTTTATTTTGTGTGTGTATTTTTATTTTGTGTGTGTATTTTTATATTGTGTGTGTATAATGTATTTTGTGTGTGTATTTTTATTTTGTGTGTGTATTAATATTTTTATTTTGTGTGGTGGCCCGTAAGTAAAAGGTTTATTATATTGCATTATTATATGTCAAGCGTCACTTCCTGTAAAATGGCGTGCTTTGACTGGCTCAGAAACATTTTTGCCTGTCCATTATTTTCCGTAGTGAACCTCGGCACAGTATAGAAACAAACAGTAGTCCCACTCTATTGAAATTTTTTGTGTAGCGCATGTCTTATTACGCATGTGATTAGCAAAGTGGCAGCCAGCCAAAAAAAGCATTTTTACTAATAGGAGCGCTAAAGTGGCTATTCGTTGCTAGTAATCTATTTAAATATGCAGCACCAAGTTGCTCAATGGAGTGAGACTACTATTTGTTTCTATACTTTGACTACGGTCCAAAACGCGTAATTTTACAGTCAAATGTAAACAAGCTTTTTCAAGCAAACAGCAAAACGCACAAAAAATCAAAACAAAAAACCATTTACGAATGTGAGTCGAAGGAAAAACACTCGGAAAACAGTTAAACTATCCAGACGATACAATTTTTTACCGACAGAAACGATTTATTTTTTACCGATGAAAACTAGAAAAGTGAAAGCCAAACCGTACAAAACAGCAAGGACGAGAAAGAAAGCAAGCCTCGTTTCAAGTCAAATAATGGCATATAATAATTCTTTTAATAACCTCGCTTTCTCGGTCTTTACTGAGAATTATCACACCTCTTTCTGTTTGTACAAATTAACTTCGCCTTACGGGCTCGGTCGATCTGTACAACTTCGGTCCAACATTTCTTCGTAAAGACCTCGAGCTTGGTTAATAAAGGTATATGGCTTTGTCGATTCTTTAGATTTCTTGTCACTGTTTAAATGCCATTTGCTAACTCAACCAGCAACAACTCACTTAACATGAATAGTTTGAGTTTAATTAATTTTATTCTCTCTCCAGCAACATGTGTATCCGAAATCACCAATTGTTAAATGGAATTTGTAGGAATTTCTTATTTACATTGTTTGGTAAAGTGGAGAACAACATTAAGATCAATAATTTTAGGTATGCGGAGATCCTTTATCATACGACGATTTGAACGAAATTCGAAACCGTATGACGGAAGTCGTGCCAAACCTTACGCGGTATGGTGATGCTGAAGAGGCAAACTTCTTTTCGCTGGCCAAAGAATTGTTGAAGGTGTGTAGGATGAATCTGCATGTGGATGAAATACGGCGATGAAATGCAAAGGATTGAAATATTGGTATTCCTAGTCGAGATTCCTTCATGAAATTTGTTCGATCAATAGGAATAAGAAATTCCTACAGTTGGCCAAGTCAAATTTAGTGAAACTTTGTTATCTATAACATTTGCCATAATTTAATCCTATGTGCTTCATATGCTTTATAGCCATGTCATTTTCGTGCGCAAGTTATTTCAAAAGTCAAGTTTTTTGAAAATAGACATGTTTCGACATCTTATGATGCCATCTTCAGTATGAGTGAAATAAGGTGATACAAGGTGATACAAGGTTTATATAAAAGTATTATGATACATAAATTACAACAACAAAAAGGAAATAAGATAAATTAATGGGGAGCGTCCGAGCGTATTATAAACTAAATTGTATTGAATTTAAAAACTTCAACATTGAGGTCTGGGTTGGTTTTGTTAATGTGGAGTGCTTCTTTGATTTTAAGGGCGAATGAGGTATCGGCAGTGTCGATGATTTTGAAGCAAGAGGGTGAATAGTTGGTTTTACATGAGTGAGATTTAAGAAGGTGTCGTTAGATATGAGAGTTTTTGTCTGTTGTGGTATGTTCCCTGATTCTGGTGGATAAATGGCGCAAAGTTTCGCCAATGTATCGGGAATTACATCCCGGGCAATTGAATTCATATACCACCATAGACTTAATTGAATCAGGGATTGGGTCTTTGAATGAGAAAAGGTTTTTGATTTTGAATGATGTGAAAATTAGTCGAATGTCAATATCTGTACAGAAGCGTTTCATAATGTTTGTAAGTCTGCGTTGTGTGTGTCGTGAGTAATGTCCGATGTATGGTAGTTTGAAGTATAGAGTTGTTATTTTGGAATTTTCATTTGTGTTGGTTGTGATCGTCGTGTCAGGAGTTTCGGTGCCTAGTTTGAGGTTGTTGCTTTGTTTGTTGTCGAGATATCGTTTTACGGTTCTGTTAATAAAGTGTAGTGGGAAAGAGTTTCGTAAAAGAGTGGATGTGATGTTTTTTATGTCTCGTTGAAAGCCATTGTTCGTATTGTTAAGTTTGTATACTCTGTCGATTAGTGTGCGTTTAAGTCCGGTTTTGTATGAAAGTGGTGTGAAACTAAAATAGTTTGTCAGAAGTCCTGTGTATGTTGGTTTGTGGTATGTAGATGTTGTACAGCTGTCATGTGATTTTATTAGTAAAATGTCAAGAAATGGCAGTTGATCTTGTTGTTCAGTTTCAAATGAAAATCTAATGTTTGCGTGCTGTGTGTTAATGTAATTATAAAACTTCATGGCCATAGTTTCGTTAGTAAAAACACAAAAAATATCGTCAACGTATCTGCGGTAAAATAGTGGTTTAGTGTCGTTGTAGTTGTTTAGCCAGTTTCGTTCATGTGAGCCCATGAAAATGTTAGCAAGTATGGGTGCTAAGGGAGAGCCCATCGCAACACCGTCCGTCTGGTCATAAAATTTTCCATTAAATAAAAAATGCGTCTGTGCTGTTGCTATTAAAGACAGTTGTGTGAGGTCTGACCTGTTTATACTGAGCCTGGGGTTGTGAGTGAATATTAAGTCAATTGCTAGGTTGATGGTTTCAGTAAGTGGTATGTTAGTAAATAGGCTTTCAACTTCGTAGGAGATGAAGAATTTGTGACAAGAAGTTGATGAGTTGAAAGACGAGAAGTCGTCGAGGAAAGTGAAAGAATCTTTAGTGGAGTGGTCATCTGGTATGAGTGGTATTAGTAGAGAACTAAGATACTTAGCTAAATTATAATTGTATGCGTTGATTGACGCATACAATTATAATCAACGTATACAATTCGCATACAATCAACGCATACAATCACAGGACTTCAGACGAACTATTTTAGTTTCACACCACTTTCATACAAAACCGGACTTAAACGCACACTAATCGACAGAGCATACAAACTTAACAATACGAACAATGGCTTTCAACGAGACATAAAAAACATCACATCCACTCTTTTACGAAACTCTTTCCCACTACACTTTATTAACAGAACCGTAAAACGATATCTCGACAGCAAACAAAGCAACAACCTCAAACTAGGCACCGAAACTCCTGACACGACGATCACAACCAACACAAATGAAAATTCCAAAATAACAACTCTATACTTCAAACTACCATACATCGGACATTACTCACGACACACACAACGCAGACTTACAAACATTATGAAACGCTTCTGTACAGATATTGACATTCGACAAATTTTCACATCATTCAAAATCAAAAACCTTTTCTCATTCAAAGACCCAATCCCTGATTCAATTAAGTCTATGGTGGTATATGAATTCAATTGCGCGGGATGTAATTCCCGATACATTGGCGAAACTTCGCGCCATTTATCCACCAGAATCAGGGAACATACCACAACAGACAAAAACTCTCATATCTACCGACACCTTCTTAAATCTCACTCATGTAAAACCAACTATTCACCCTCTTGCTTCAAAATCATCGACACTGCCGACACCTCATTCGCCCTTAAAATCAAAGAAGCACTCCACATTAACAAAACTAACCCTGACCTCAATGTTCAACTTTTTTAATTCAATTCAATATTTAGTTTATAATACGCTCGGACGCTCCCCATTAAATTATCTTATTTCCTTTTTATTGTTGTAATTTATGTATCATATTACTTTTATATAAACCTTGTATCACCTATTATTTCACTCATACTGAAGATGGCATCGTGAGTTGTCGAAACATGTCTATTTTCAAAAAAGTTGTCGTTTATATTAAATGTGCATTGGCAATAGTGCTTTTATGAAATCATTTCAAAAGTGTTTCTCAGTAACACAATTCTCGCTTTAAAAATTATTTGAACCCTTTTTCCTGTCATATGCATAGCGGTGATAAGTTTGGTCGTGCTATGTAAATTTTTCCATGTTTACTCACTTTAATGACAATAGTTTCCAAAAAAATCAATAATGCTTTGCATGATCTTCATTTTGCGTAGCACGACCAAACTTGAAGAATATCTATACGCCACTGACTTCTTTTCTGAGCGCAATTTACAGCACTCCTTAGCTTTGATCGTTTTCAAATCTGCTTTCCGAAACTTTGCCCTCTTATAACACATTGCTATGGAAGGTACATTCACATGCCACAATATTATTGAATCAAAACTGCATGCTCTTTCATTTCTGGTTTGGAATTGGTATTTATTGTTAGTAAACATTATAGAGCACTAAGCCGTCCGACGCACCACTTGTTCCACAGTTGGTTAACTTAGAAGATTTCTACATGACCGATCCCATAAGTCGAGCATCACAAACCATGGCGAAGTGCGCTCAGGCCGTGAAGAGTATGAGTTAATACCTGTCTTCCATCAGCATTCAGTATTTTATGAGGGTACTACATATAAACATTTATACAGGAGACTTTATTACAAATTACGAATTATGTATTTGTACCATATTTCTTGTTTATGGTGCCTTGAAATCGTAGATATTTGTAAAACAAGTTGTGGAAGAAAAAAATATGTTAGTTTCACAAACGGCATAAATATTCATGTACTTTGTAATGTTAAAATATAAGTTTGAATGCGTACATGATTGTGGCCTGAAATTTTTATACCATCATGCAGTGGCTGATCTTGGGTACGTCAAAATAAATAACTGCAGCTCGTACGTTATTTGTTTGACAGTGATGTATTCATATCTTTTTTACCAGTTGTTTATGATGCAGACTTTGGTAAAACTTGGTAAAACAGCGACAGTAATGATCATGCTAAGATTTGCTAGTTTTCTCCGTTTGAAAAGACTACATGTCAAACGATTTTGTTTGGTCGTTGAACTATTTTTGGATTCCGATTTCCTGTTTTTGAATTAACTTGATTATCAGCTTCTTGATTAAACAATAAATGGATGTTACGTGCTTGGGCTATCGTGTAATCGCTAGCTTGCAAATCTCTCGGATGCGCGCGCACGTTTTTAATTGCAAAAGCAATTAGCCTCGCTTGTGACGTCACGCAGTATCTTGTTACGATCAATACAGTTGCACGCAAATGCAGGGCTGCGTTTGACCCGTTGTGTCATCCTTAACTTACATCAGTGAATTGGCATGAATGTGCATCTTTTAGAGGAAGTATTCATGTATATTTATTTAATCAAAACGTAATTTTTCTCCCTCGATGAACGCCCGAGTTTCACCCGTGTCTATAGCGATGTCGAACGTCAGTCAAAAGGAAGAGCCAGCCACTGCTGCCTTGGAGCTGCGTTGTAAAATATGTCAACTGATTGTACCATGCGGCTGCTCCAGTAAGAAACGAAGTGCATCCGAATTGCAACTGTTAAACTCTGAATTGTCCGAGAAGCAAGAACTGGCTGCCGAAACTGTACGCAGTATGCAGATGCAGATGAGAAAAAAGTCTGCGAGGAAAGGTGAATAGTTTGCAACTAAAATACATCTTAATGTTAACCTAGAGTCATCAGTTTAAGTTTTCGCTGTGACTTGTGAAAATTATATATTTTATTTTATTGTCTTTAACAATGAAAAGTGGTGCTATAGCTAATTACCTGTGCCAGTTTTAAATATCTTGCGTTGGTTTGTGCGTACACCAAAATGTTCAATATTTTGATAGCATGTGCAAATAACACAGTCTGTATTTTGACTAAGGGTGATTAAACTACTTTTCTGATAACTAATTTTTGTACGCATGCCTGTTTTGAAGGACTATTAGCTAACAACAGTTCTCTTACTGATAAAAAAAACTTACGTTTCCAAAAACTTCATTGTAGGAATCAGTAAAACTGAAATGTGCTGCATCAAAAATCGTGAAATAAAAGTTATATTGCTTTCTAACTTCTCAGAATAGTGCTGAAAATATTTTCGATATTTTACGAAAGTCCCCCCCTAAAAGCAGCTATCTACTGCAACCACTCATTGCACGAAAAATAAAATGTTACTAAATAATCACCATGTGATAGCAGACAGACGGAGACGGTAACTTGAAAATCAAAAATCTAATGAGATCACTCACGGATTCACGAAAAACTTTAATGGTAATATTAGCCAGTGTATTTATTTTTCATTTTATATTTACAAAATTTTCCCAGAATCAGAGTATAATGAGGTGCAACCTGAGTCACAGTTCAGACACAGAATAAGAATATACAGAAGAATCACTCGTGTCGGAGCCTTTGATGTTTTTGTCCTCGCGCATGTCGTGCCGCACATGTTGGCGGCCATTATTCCGGCCAGATGATTAGGGTTTTCGACTTTTTCCAAACCTTTAAAATGATCCGAAGTCATTTCTTAAGTCAAAATATACTTAATAATGATTAAGTATTGACGTCATGTAATTTTAATGGTTGGAAACAAGTGAGAAATCCTAATCATCTGGCTGGAATAATGGCTGACATGAGGACGCGTTGTACACCTGAGTGACCCTTCAGTATAATCATTATTCTTTTGTTCAGATCTAATCAAACCCCACTAAATAAAATCGATTCACGATCAAATCAAGATAAACGGGTTCTCATTTAGTAAGTGCGCAATGCAGGCTGGTTAATTTGATAGTGCATAGTAATGACTTCCAGATCTACGATCTATGAGTCGAAAACGTTAGCTACTTTTATGTTATTTTGAAGACAATAGAAAAACTGATGTACGGGAGAACAGATCTGGAAGTAAGACTCTTGAGAATTTTGTCGAAGAAACTGAAAAAATGGTCGAACTTAACGCCGGCGGAGGCAATTGGTTTGCAAAAGCTAGCATTTTCAAAGTCAGTACGGATAACAAACTCGCGTTGAAGCTGTACGGTAACAAAGCTGCTGTCGTAATGGAGCAAAGACGGCAGGCACAGAAAGGGGACGGCGTCATCCATCCGTTCAGTACATTTCGTTGGTACTGGGATATTGTTATGGTTCTTCTCATCACATCGCACGTTTTTATCTTACCCGTTAGTATTGCATTCTCCAACCATGAGCTCTCGCCCGGTTGGATTGTAATGAATTGCTTTTCTGATGCGATCTTTTTTGTGGACATGCTACTCAACTTCCGAACGGGGATCGTGGACTTCGATCGACAAGAGGAAGTTATCCTGGACAAGAAAATCATTCGGCAGCGCTACCTGCGCGGTTGGTTCATCGTCGATGCACTGTCGTCGATACCCTTTGACTATATTTATCTCATTGTATCCTCCTACTCTTCGGACGAAGCAAATAAAGGGATTCTACAGGCTTCTAGAATACTTAGGATGTTTAAGCTCACAAAGTTATTAAGTCTATTGAAACTTCTCAGAGTTTCGCGTATTGTAAGGTATATTCAAGAACTTGAAGAGGTACGTACTTGATTAATAACGTGGTAGTGTGCTACCGTTCCTCAGGGAACGAGAGAACAATCAAATTTTCGCCATGTTTGAACATTTGCATTGTAAATAAGTAAAATGCCTTGTTGAAATCGTCCAACATGGCGGCCATGACGTAAGTTGCACACCAAAAATATTTACCACTCGATGGTTTGTGCTTCATAATTTTGCAATGATGAAAATGCTGCTTGCAATGTGAGAATAGAATGTCGAAGTTTCCTGCTCAAGTCCAAACAAGTACATTGCAATAAAATGATTTCCATGCTAATGCAATTTGTTAAAGTATTTTAAAAAAGAAGCGCATAAAAAGATCTTTCTACGGCTCTGCTACAGTATAGAAGCATTCAGTAGTTCAACTCTATTGGAATTTTTTGTGTAGCGCTAATTTTATTACGAATGTGATTAGCAAAGTGGCAACCAGTAAAGTCCATTTTCTGACTAATAGGAGAACTGAAATGTTTAACCAGAGCCAGTAATCTAATTAAATATGCTGCACCAAGATGCACAGCGATGTAGGACTTTATACTGAGGCTCTGCCATCAACACCATATAATTTATCACTGCCGTGCTTGTGTTTTTCTCATTATTTTCAATCGTTTGCATTGCATAGCATAATAAGAAAGATCTGAATATTTTGAATTACAACTGGACCTCGCAATTTTGCACATGCAATTTACTCGCTGCCATCTTACAAAATTTGTCGGTCCAGAACATGCAATTTACGGCGTCAAGCAAGTATTTACTACGATGCAAAACCTAATTCCAGAGCTCTACTTTTTTGACCTATAATGTGATCTTACGTAGGGTAAAGTTTGAGTTATTTCACAACTACTCCAGTCTGGCACTTGTTCAAAGCACGTCTACATTGCTATATGTATGTGTTTGCTATATTATCATGTGGATGTTTTATTATTTCCAAAATTATATAGTTGTTGAACATTCAAAGTGGTCAAATGCGGATCTTAAAGTTAATTGGTACGATGCTGCTGTTGTCTCATTGGAATGGTTGTATACAGTTTCTTGTTCCGCGTCTTATGGACTTTCCTAGTACTAGTTGGGTGACCATTAATGGCCTAACGGTGAGCATACTTGGATATGTACGTTTTAGAATTTTAGCATGTTGAAGAGAGTGTATCAAGAAAACTGAACAAATACTGCGCACGAAAAGATAAAATTGCTTACGAAAATGACATGATTTCATTTTACTGTCAGATGATTTACGGGAAGTCCAACTATACCCAACAAAAGTTTTTGCAAATCTTTCGCACTGATGAATTTAGCGGCGTTTACCAAACTGTTTAAGTTTACACCCTGTATAGTAATGGGGCTAACTTTAATTGAACTACGCGATTGGACGAATGCTTTCTATCTCAGATTATTGACATATTTTTATTTGAGGTAATCATTGATTGCGTTAAAATAGCGTGCATGATTGGTTTAGTTGAGACGAGAAGGCAATTTCCCAAGCACAACACCTATGCCAAGCTAGGAGCAATCCGCGTTTCGTTTCCCTTCACGGCAAGTATGTCTATACACATCGTTTTATCTTTATCGCACCCTTTTCTTATACTTTAGGATAAACCGCGTTTGGATCAGTACAGCTGGTCAATTTTTAACGCTATGTCGCACATGTTGTGTATTGGTTATGGTAAATTTCCCCCAAACAATACAGCTGAACTTTTTTTAACTATGTGCAGCATGACAATTGGGGCTACGTTTTACGCTGTTTTTATCGGAATGATGTCAACGTTGCTGATGTCCATTGACTCATCAGGAAGACAGTACAAGGAGAAGGTAAGTGGTCGCTTTTTATCGAACAGTTTGAAGTGGTGACCAATGCGGTGGAGTTAATTTCGGAATCGGACAAAAGACTTAATTGACAGTTCTTGTTTTGAAAAACCCAAATGAACAGTCTTGTGCATTTTATTCAGTCACATACATTATGCTTCTCCTGTAATGTGTCGTTTGTACAATACAATACTCCAAACACAACTTTACTATATAATTGAAAAACACGCAATTTGTAATATGGCTTGAAATCTTATGGAAATCGTCGTAATTCACTGGCACCCAGCAAGGCTTTTTGGAGGGGGAGGGTGGCAGTTTTATATACTATGTATATACCTTGAATTTGAAAGTGGTCAACACAATAAAAACATAGGCGTATGCTAAAATCTGGGTAGCCATGCGCATGCGTGGAAGAACGGCCGACCGACCAGCCGATTTTTGATGCCTGATCTTAACTGGATGTAGCTTAAACAATGTTATTTTCCAAAATAGCTTCGTTTGCGCGTATAATGATATAATTCTGTCCCTTGTTTATGCTGATGACAATATTTAAAACCAAACAGATCAAGATATCAAAAAATTGCTGCTTTGCAAGCCATCACAAACATCAATTATATTTTGTTTTGGTCAAATAATGCGTGACCTTGATGCACCGTACTTGTTTTTAGCCTAGTTAGGCACACTCTGTTAAAACGGTTTGGTGAGTGGAGAAAGCAAATGAATGCAATTTCTTACGAGTCTTAAATGCGTTAAGTAGTCTTAGCGGTGTAGTTTAACATGAAGTCATAATGACAATGCATCAAAACACACAAAACATGCTTAGCACAGTGCGACGCATTGTTTATCTACTGCTCGTTTCACTATGGTCGCACTTCTCAGTGTTTTTTTTTTGTTAAATTAAAGACAAAAAGCACATCAATCTGTTTTCCTTTCGAAACATACATAAATCTCAAATAATATCGGTACCATGAACATTAACTCGTTATACAATGAAATCCGAAATTTTTGCACTGGTCTCTTGAATCGTGCGAAGTCTTCGCGCGTTGAAAGCTTCAACAATCATCAATATTTGTAATCAGTGCAAAACCTTTTTTAAACAGAACCTCCTCGACTAATACATTTAGAAATGTGTCATTACCTATTTTAGGTTAAATATATAAAATAGACGGTACATAAACTGACAGAGGTCAAAAACGTCGGTTTCGCCACGATTGTGGCCTTTTACCATGAAATATAGAGTCCGAAAATTTAGAAAAACTCCCAATTTTTTGTTATGTGCACCCCTGATTCAGAAAGGGTTACGTGCTCGATCGTTGACTGAAGAGTGAGCGCAATGCACAATTTTGCAGTCTCAGTCATTTTGTAAAGTTTGATGTCTTATATACATTGAACTACGCTCGTTTACCTACTTAATTTTTGGTCAACAACTAGCCATATATTTTGTGGCTACCCAGATGTACGCTCTGCGTACCTATTTTTAATAATTACTAGGCTATTTAGAATCATAGTAAGTGCGCTATGGATGACTGGATTAACTTCTCTCTGACTTCAATATGCACCAGGGGTGTAGGAAAGAATATGAAAATTGGGGAGGGAGATATTTTAAAAATTATGAGTACCAATCTACAACATGCTGCTAAGTAAACGCCATTTTTCATTTTAACAACGACGGTCGCCCAGTCGCTCACGTAATAAACTAATGAAATAAAAGAATAGCAAAAGATCCTATATATTTTACAGTAAAAATATACTATCAGTAAACTCTTTCTTAGTAACTTTGCTATTTTAGTAAGTAGGGGACTTCCCCCTTTCTAAGAAAAGAGAATGTGCCTTGCTCTCCCCCCTTCCCCACGTCCACCCCGTTTCCGATGTCCCTGATATACACTTAAGTATTGGGCTCCTTTCACCCTATTGATGTTCAATGTGCTTCAAATATTTTCAGTTGAATCAAGTGGGTGAGTACATGCGATATCGTAAGCTGCCGTTGCAAATCAGGCGTCGCGTTCAAGACTTTTATGAACATCGCTATCATCATAAATTATTCGACGAGGATTCAATTCTGAGAGAATTATCTTCTACCTTACGAGAGGTATCAGACAGTCTTAAATCATTCCCGAAAAATTTAAAGTAAATCATAGTCGTACAGATCCCATCTATGTTTGAAAATTACATCATTTCGACCTAGATGACATCTAGCTACTTCGCCCTGAGTCTGCATTAATTATCATAATCTTCTGTAGTTTCATATCGATGACTTTCTCTTGCTTGATTATTTTTTCAGGAAATACAAATTCACAACGCTCGATCGTTGATCTCATCGGTCCCATTTTTTTCCGACTGTAGTGAAGAATTCATCACGCTTTGTGTCGGCCTTTTAAAATTTGAAGTCTTTCTTCAGGGAGATTTCATCTTCAAGCGGGGTAGTAAGGGCGATAAAATGTATTTTATAGTACGTGGGATTGTCGACATCCTCACGAACGATGGCTATGTTGCGACCAGTTTAACAGACGGTTCACATTTCGGAGGTGAGGCTCATATTGTGCATGAACATATGTTTGACGGTAAAAATTGTTATACGTTTGTCATCAAAAAGTAGCGTGCCCAACTGTAATGTTCCGTTTTTAAATGCCATTTTTGAACACTCTTCAATTTTACATTCATGCTTTTCCACGCATTTTGCATTCACTTCAATTTTTACACAAACAATAATAACTCATACTGCACAAGAGATGTTGCGTCTATTTTATACGATTTCGTTTATCTTTTTAACAGTATTAAACTTCGATGTATTTTCAGCTATGGTAATCGTATTTTATTGATAAAGGTCTTAAATGTTGAATTATTATCAGTTACAGTTTAATCCATTTTAAAAACCCTCGCAATATATTTATTTTATCTGCATGGATGATGGGTTTTTGTGGACTAGAAGTTGGTGACTCCGCATCGGATGTGACGTAAAAAAGAGAACGCATGCACTGAACATGTAGCTTTCATTATACTGAATAAAGGTGTTGCAGCTTATCTTCTTGAAAAAACGCACCACTAGAAATTTAAGATACTGCATAGGAGCATAGTTAAATAAAATCTTTTGAGCGAATAATCAAAGAAAACTTTAAAAAATAAAACTGTGCTTCTCCTGTTTACGTCACTTCCGGCACGAAGTCACCTACTTCTAGGCCAAAAAAGCCCATGAAGATAAAACGTTTGACCTAAGAAATATGTTGGAATCTTGGGATGAAATTTTTCAATAAATTTTTCTTTTAAATTTTGACATCATTTTGGAATTGCTTAACTCCTTAGAAAAGATTAATCGTCGCTATTTACAATTTAGCAATCTTAGTCGGTAAATCCTCTAATACTTGTATATACTTGAGCTGTGTTACTGACGTTTCTTACAAGCCAAATTCTATCATAAACATTTATGCCTTTTTCACAATTAAAGAGTTAAGACAGTGCAAAGTTATCTGCATAGCACACATCACTTGCGTGTTTTTTATAGTGAATTTATTGAGTTTATCCAAGTGCCCTGTAGGTTAAAAAATAGACATATTGCATTTTGAAATTTTTCTAATAAATATTAAGTTTTAGTTCTGGTAGCATACGCCTCATTTTTGTTGCATTAACCTCGTAAATTTTTTTCATTTGAAATGTTAACTGATAAGAAGTTAATATTATTTAGAAATATCTTTGTTGAGAAAAAACAACCGTCGAACTGCATCATGTCGTGCAGCAACTATGTTAGACGTGTATTCTTTGACTTCTTCTGATTTTAATGCTGTACTGGAGGATTTTCCCGCCATGGGTAAAATTCTTTCCGATGTGGCTATTGAAAGGTTACAAAGACTAGATAAGTACAGTGAGGAAGCTACAATAAATCAAACGAAAAGGTATGCCCGCTATTTTTCCCAATAGTTAATGCTTTCTCACCCTGTATGGACCAGCTGATGGAACTGTGATGGAACTGATGAGGTTTTAATGAATCAAGTTATTTTTAAACGTCAAGGAAGGCAGGGGGAGGCAATTTTCTAGAAATTTTATGCATATTTCTTCATCCTTAAAGTTAAAATTTTGAAATCCGTGTTAATAGGTTTAATTCTTACAAGTAGCAATGTCATCTTGCGTAACGCCATAGCTAAAAAATTTCAAATATCCTCATAACTTTTGGACAAAATGGTCAGAATATTATACTCTTATCACTTTACAACAAACGGACCTCTGCAAGATGTACTATTTACCAAGCCAAAGATTCGAGCTCGGATTCGATATATCGATTCCATATATTCCATTACGATATCGAATATAACATATTCGATATAGTAAATGAACTCAGTATCCAGTTGGGAATCGAACTCAGAATTAATTTTGAAAGTACATATGTCAGATAATGTCGGACATTTTGCATATCAAAAGCAAACATGGGTGTACGAGACGGGCTGGTATCCCCCCTGATAGAGCCTTTTTGCCATTGTTTAAATAGCAAACGTAAAACGTTACTGGATAGAACTCATAGAAGTTATCTGCTGCATGTGTACGTCATGCGAAGACCTGCGAACCAAAAGAGAAGTGGTTGCTCGACAGAAGCAACGCAAAAAAGATGTTGCTTTCTCCAATTTTGAGACATAGGATTCGAACAAAATTGCATATCAAAATTGCACTCCCTACTTGATCTGATGCACGATTCCCAGCTCTCTTCCGAGATCCAAGGTCGAATCCTTAGCTTGGAAAATAGTTATCCTCGACCTCTTCCCAGTTTAAATAACTATAAAATCAACAAAATATCTGATAATTCAATATCTCATTAGCTACATGCAATGTGATGTCGCTGGTTGTATAAAATGAACATCACATAACTTCATCATTTTGAAAATGTGATATGAACCATGTTTAAAATGCAATGTACATTTTGAAAATGAGATATGAACCCTGTTAACTTACGGTTTTTGTATATTAATGCTGTTTTTGGAAGTCCGTTGTCCGCTCTATTCGACGAAAATGTAATTTAAAAGGCAAAATTTTTGTTTTATGTGGTTCTCTAATGAGCCTATGAAACGAAAATTTTGCTATCTGATTAACACTTTAATTGAAGATATATTTAAAAATGACAATGGACATTCTAAACCAGGTATGTATATCTCTTTTAAAGTACTGAGATACTGAGGTTCTTGCTTTGTCCGATTTATCTAACTCGTGACGTCACATTGCATAATGAGAACTAGAATTGTTAGGTGTATTTACCGATATTTTACTTCACAAGGACAGAGTTCCCTTCACTGTTACGTTGTTAATGGTTGTGAAAGATGTTGCTTAGTGGCTACTGGTATCAACCTAAAGTTTTCAGGAAACTGAACAGTGTTTTTAAACATTGTGGGAACTCATTATGCAATATGACGTCACAAGTTGGATAAATTGGAAATAACAAAAACGTCAAAATCATGAGAAAAAAAAGAAATGCATTTACTGTTTTAGAAAGTACACTGTCATTTTAAAAGTTCTGGTCATTGGAAACATAATTTAACTTGCAAAAATTTTTGTTTCATAAGCACTTTAACAAAAAGATTTAGTCATCGTTTAAAGAACTATAGTACATCTCACTAACGCCAGTTTTGCCAAACATAACGATATACATTATCTTTATGCGTGTTAAGCCGGAAAGCGTTAAAACTTAGACGGTAGCAAATGTTGTAAATCTCTTGATAAAAAGAAACTAAAGTCTTTTTCGTACATGCTTATTATACACGGTATTCTTGACTTGCAATTCAGCCATGTTGGTGGTATGATACAAAGAGTTATTTATCAGTGTTATTGTTGGCACCAGCCGACGTGGGCGAGCAACATTGTTTGGTAAATCTCAAGAGAACGGCTGCTTGTCAAGAATTATTAAATCGATAACTACATTGTGCAACAAAAAAAATTCAAACTTTGCTTGACTCCTGCCTACAGCATACTTGAGTGAAGCGTATAATTTTTAAATGGTGATAAAGAATAACCTATTAGGCTTCTGTTTATATCCCTTCACTGACGATTCGATCAAAATTAACCACGTAGTCTTCCGTTCAAATTTGTTGCTTGAAATAAAATTTTCAGCTTATGGGAATTTGAAGTGAGACGTTAAGACAAAAGATAATGCAAATTTTGCATTTGAGAAGTCCTTTTTGGAACAAAATTTGTATAATTTTGTCAGGATTTAGCGCTTAGGCTTGTTCCATTCTGCTCAAATTTTCGCACGTTGTACCAGTCTACCAAATGATACTCAGGGCCGAATTTAATTTTGTCGTTCAGGAAATCTTTGTCTGAACTGACTGCAAGTTTTTTGTAAGCTACCAGCTTTTGTAAGCTACCAACAGCTATTATTATATAAGAAATGTTCCTAAATTCTGCCATGTTTGATTGAAACCATCGCGTTCGTAAAGCCTACGATACAACACGAAGTCAAGTTTGCATTTAGTTTGCAGTAATAATTGGCATTTAAAAGACTTGTGGGACTAAATTTGAAAGACAAAATTGCAATTCCAGTCGGAAAATTGTGATTTTTATAAACTTCAATTATGAACGAAATGCTCCTTCCTTTTGCAAAAAAAAGATTCGTAAAATTTGTCACTTGAAAGGTTAATAAATGAACTTAACAAAGGTGCATAAACCAAACGTCTGTTTCTAATATATTCAGTGTTATTGAGCCCCAAATTTGAATTCGAATTTTTTTGATACATCCTGTATAACTGATACATGATTAATTTTAGACCAGTATTGCCTATAGGCTACACCTCTAGTAATTGCTTGGATAGTATCTACCTTCACTCGACAGGCTTGCAGCATTTTCAAGGTCTATGTCTCATAGTGTCTAAAATCCATCAAGTTTCGAGGGGTTTGAAGTTTGAAACGTAGGGAAAATGCGAGGTTACAAATGAAAACAGTATTTACCGTTTACGTCAGTCTGTACTGAGAAATATTTTTACGAGTTCTTAGATCGGACATTTTCATGAAGGTCTGAGGCCGAAAGCCGCGAGGCGCACGTCTGAGGCTGAAGAAAAACATTTTTTCAGCGCGGGCGATTATTAACATATAATTATTCATGATGCATTTTACAGAGATTACAAGACAGAGAAAATTACCTCAAACGAAACGGAAAGTTCTAAAATGCAGAAAAAACGTTTAATGGAAATGAAAATACCCACGCTTACGAGGGGGTTTATACGCTCAATGGCACCTACGCTTGGAGTAGCAACTTTGAACAATTCCGATAACTACAGTCTTTCGTCTACTGATGAAACTGGTACGAATGCTGGACCATCTCATGTCACAGATGTCAAAAAACAGCAGAACAAGAGAAATTCGTTCGTAAAATTATCTGATAACGACGGGGACTGTATTTGATGTATTTTTTTAATACTGTCAAATAATAGTGCGAACGAAATTATATGTACTTAAAACTTTTAGTTTTTGAAATTGTTTATTATCATTTTATTGGCTTAATTCACATAAAAACTTCATGTTTGGTTAGTTAGTGCGACGATTTTCTTGCACCACTTGAGAATAGTTGAAAACTAGCAAACAAGAGAGCGTGTAGCAAGTTTTATAGATTCTATAATTCGCATCGAAAAATATAATAAACAATTACTGGATGGGGAGATTGAGCATGATATCAAGAAATATTCAGACCGAGGTCAATGTTATCTGCTAAAGCAAAACTGAGGCGGATAGCATTGACCGATGTCTGAATAATTCTTGATATCATGCACAGTAGAAATAGATTGGTCAAAATGACCAAAAAAAATTGGTCATTTGAATGCACCTGAGAAGAACAATTTTTATAGGTCAAAACAACCAACTCCTAAATTGGTCAAAAATACCAAAAACAAAAATGGTTAAATTTACCAATTTATTTGACCAATTTTATTTGGTTGTTTTTACCATTAAATAAGCATTTTATTCAGGTGCATATCCATGACCATTTGACCAATATAGAGGATCTTTTTAACTAAGCTAAAGAAAATCAATCACACAATTAGAAATAGCACATTTTTTGCAAACACAGAATACTTAAACCTCTACTACATGCCATTAATTAACACTACAAAAGTTTTCTACTTCATAGAAAAAATAAAATGATCGACAAAAGTTGGCAATTGAGCCTTACAATTGCCACTCGAATTTAAAAGCAAATGTTCTAAAAGAATAAATATATTTTTGCCATGTCCATTAACGCCTTTAGGATACTCAGCATTAAAAGTATAAAAAGAACTAAGTAAAATAATAACTGCGTTGACAATATTTTCTGTTTTCAACTTTGCCACAATCATCCCCTCAGCCACCAACATTATTGAATGAATGTTTCTTAATGTTCCTGTTGATAGGAGTCTAGGAGACGAACTATTGTTAATGATCTCTTGAACTTCCCCCAAGCTTTTACCCTTCAACAGAGATAAAATTATTCATCAATTTTTTCACACATTTATGCAGAAAATATTATTTGTGACAGTATCAACTCTTACATCAAAAATGTCCCAAAATAGCTTTTTGTTCATATCTCGATGGGTGCGTTGGTCATCTAACACATAAGGCAAACATGCCATTATACACCGGTTCTTGACCTCTAAAATAATCAACATAGCATAGAATGAATATATTACCATTATCACTCTCTAAAGCATTAACACTTCAGTATAAATAGGGATTTTAACTTTTTACACCAACCTTCCTCATCTTCAACTGGACAATCCTCCAGCTCTTCAAGGATACTGCTGACATTCTTTTGTTTTGTCTTTTTAATAGCAGACAGCATTTTATATTTGTGCAAATTCCATCGTTCCTTCATGTCTTGCAAAATACGTCCTAACTCTGCTTTCAGCTGGAAAAAATTAAACCAAAAAACTAATTATCTTTCTCTAAGTAATTGTGATACAACTGACAGTTTTGCTACAGCATACATTGGCTTCATACCTTGGAAACTTCACTAATGTTGCATTTAGCCTTGCTGAACGACATCAAACCAGAAGTTGCTATCTAAGAAATCAACCCATTGCAAAAAAGCCTAAAATTGGTAGGATTTTTTTGAATAGATTGATTTTAATTCTAAAAACAAAGAGGTCAATTTTTAGTAACCTCTCTAGTAAGATATTAAATTGATGTTTGTTTGTTTGTTTTTCTTTAGATTCTGCAAAAGAAATTGTTGCTAAGGATAGTGAACATTATTATTTGCTCAAAGAGAAGGAACCTAACTTAAGTGACATTAGTATTTTGTCAAGGTAAAGTGCATATAGTGATTAATTTTACTACAGAAGATGGTGACTATTGCGAGAAAAAATTGGTAGCACTTTATAAAATGAAACATCAGACAGTATCTTCATTGATATCTAATAGCTTTTTTCCTTTTTCATTTTTGTGCAGACCTTCAACTGTTACTCTTCATGGAACACAATACAAAGTTGGGGCTGTTTTGTTCCTTCAATATTTAAATGAGCTTCCTGAGTTTGCACATATTGGGGAAATTGTTGTACTTCTCGAAGAAAAGATTTTTTTTATAATGAAGAAAATGAGAACAATTGAGTTCTCTGAACATTTCTCTTCGTTTAGGGTGCACATGTCAGCTAATGCACAAAGTTTGATTGTAGATCCTCTTTGCTTAAAATTGTATTTACCAATGCATGTTACTCAGGCATCATCCTGTTAAAAAAGGCATCTATATGTCGCAACAAGGTACCTTCTACCCAAATCAATGTGAAACATCAACATTATGTAATAGCTTTGAAAATACAACTGAAGTAAATGATTGAAATCATATTTACTACTGCTGTTATAGTGTGTCTTCTCCAAAGTATCTTGGCAGCCTTGTTGAACAAGTCTGCTCAACTATAATAGTGTCGTCTGAATTGTATCCAGATCCAGGTGCTTCCATTACATAATCTTTTTTTCAGGTTTTTTCTTTTTGTGTTTTCTTCTCTTTCGCTTTTCTCTTTTCCTTTTTCTACTACTGCTTATATCATCATCCACTGTTTTAAAAATAAGCAACACAGACTGCAGTAAATTCAAGTAAACATCAATGAAAAATAAAAATGTTAATTTTAGAGGAATAAATTCAATTTTTAACATACAAATGTATAGAAATCAACATACATTTTTGGCTGTCCAATCTTGGGTTTCTCATGGCCGTACCATCAATCTATTACGGTGAAAAAAATTAAAATGCATTTCTCGAACAAAAATAAGGAAAATACATACTATGATGTCATGAAATAGTTGCGTACTAACCTTTTCATTCTGTTTTGTGCTTAAAGATAGACACGGATTTAACTACAAATTTAACTACTTAGTCTATATTGCCGTGAAACTGGTAGGAATTGTTAATAGAACGGGAAGTTTTTAATATTTTGAAGACCGAGTTTAAAATAGTAACAAAGCTCCAGAAGTTCTCTAGTTTTAAAGTACTTTATCAAAGTATTAAAATGGTGGTAAGTTTGACTATCGTTTGAGGTAAATTTAATATTCTATGACAATGAAGTTTAAAGACAGTAAAGCGGGTAATTGATTTTTGGAGAATCGGAAGCTTTTAAGAGTTCACTCAACTACTAAAGTTAAAAGAAACTGCAATTCATTTTCAATTTCGATGGCCGCCGACGAGTGCAAAGATATGCTACCAATTTTTTTTTGGTTAAAATTACCAATATTTTAATGGTCAAAAAGGTTTGACCAATTTAAAAATTGGTGTGACCAAAAAAAATTGGTCATTTTTACCAATCTGTTTTTACTGTGTGTGAAAGCCAAGTTCAATAGTTGTTTTATTAATCACTTTAACTAACTGAAATATCATTATAACGTATCAATATAAAACATTTTTCATATCTTCGCTAATTTGTTTTTGTCAGACGGTTTATTTAAGTTCCTCTGCTTTAAATATTAAGCCCTCAATAACTGAGCTCGAGGTCTTTACAGAGAAATATCTGACTCGAGATCTTTTTGTACAGACCGAGCCCATAAGGCGAGGTTAATTTGTAAAACAGAAAGAGGTCCGATATTTCTCAGTAAACACCTAGAAAGCGAGGTTATTAAAAGGTTTATTATATGGCATTATTTGACCTCAAACGAAGCTTGCTTTCTTTCTCGTCTTTGCTATTTTGTACGGGTTTGACTTTCGCTTTTCTAGTATTTGCCAGTAAAAAAAAATCGTTTCAAATTGTATCGTCTGGATAGTTTAACTGTTTTCCGAGTGCTTTTCCTTTTACTCACATTCGTAAATGGTTTTTTTTTCGTTTTTTTTTTCGTTTTGCTCTTTGCTTAATAAAGTTTGTTTACATTTGACTGTAAAATTACGCGTTTTGGACCGTACCCAAAAAACATTCGCATTTTTTCATATGCATAGAAATACATTTTAATGTTAAAAAAACTGCAAAAATACAGTAAAATTATTCGTGATTAGAGAAATGTATTTATTTTTCGAGATGTATTTATTTTTCGATTAGAAAGATATTTACAGTTTTCTGAGGTAATGGTCGGCAATTTTGTGTTGAGAGTTGCCAACCTTGTCAAAATATTAGACCTGTAAGACTATACATACGTGTAACTCACGCAAGATAGCGCGCGTGACAAACATTGCATATGAATCAAAAAATATATTCTCTACATAAATTGATTGCATAAAAAACATAAACAGATTTCTGGGTCGCTAAGGCAGAAGCGATAACTGACAACTACAGTTGACTCGCTGTTACGAATTTTAGGTTTTCACCTTGATTTTCATCATAAAATTGCTTGCTTAATGCCAAATAAAAACATAGTTTTTCTCGCTCTTTCTTCGGGGAGCTCAAAATTGTGAAATTTTCAGAAAGCAGTATTTTTCGGTAAATCTCAGGTAAATCCGATACCTAAAGCCGCGCTTGAGATAGCCGCTCCAGTTATTAAAGAACTTAATGACTCAGGGGCGGATCTAGCTTCGTATATGAACTTAGGCACAATGTCGAACCGTTAGCGCAACTTTTCTATGGGGTCCAGGAGCATATTCCCCCCCCCGGGTAAAATTTTAAAATTGGATTGCAGAAAACGCTATTTCCTGCGTTTTTACAGTTGGAAAGCTAAAATTCTTGCTCATAAATCATTGATTTTTGACCGTTTCGCTCAATATCAGAGCTCATCCGCATGCCTAGGAAATTCGCTGTAAAATATGCTTTGAGGGCTTCTGACATGGACGGCCTGGTTCATTACAAACTTAGCCTAAAAAAATTCTTTACGCTTCATCAACTTTTATATGGAATTTCATTTTATAATGGTCTAGTCATACCTTTATGCTGATTATTATGCAAACGATTTATGTCAATTTATCAAATGAAGTTGCCAACAAAAAAAAGCAAAAAATGTTTGTAGATGTCCATTGTCCGGCATTGATATTTCGGAAAATATCAACACTGAGACGATCCAACAAACCATCGCTGGTAACAATGCTTTTGACTTTCAGGCAATCCAACATCTCTCCGTAGAGTAGAGCCATAAAAGTCCCATCTTTCCTCGTAAAAGCATCTTAGACTCGGTCAGTGAAAGATGCCATGCTTCTCATTAATATTGTTGGTTTTAAAGCACAAGATAAAACCTCGGCTATCATCAATCTCAATCTGTGCTGAATTTCGCACAACACCGCTTGATCATTTCAGCAAAAACGGCGGCTCGTTAGTCAGCACAACGGCTATAAACCAATCAAGAGACAGATTTTGGTCTCCAAATTCAGCACAATTTTAGGCGTGCTGACTCTGTGCGGGTTAGCTATGGGTATTTCTCCCGCAAGTGAATTACAAGTATTTTTAGCCACTTGATCTCTTAATCCGACGCTTAATCCAGGTCTTGGAAACAATAACATTGTTCAGTGAATGCACGTTGTTGCACAAATTTCTCATAATACTATCTCTAACCCTGACAATAGTTTATTTTTCTAATGCTTTCGTTGTGAGGACACAAAAAATTTAATTAATTTTAGGATAAAGAATTCATGATCATTATCTACACATCGAAACCAACTACACCCTACCGAGACAAGATTCGAACCTGCAAACGACGCATGAAAAAATCTCGCGTCCTTTCGACCAAACTAGCTCCATTCCACACCCCGAAATTGTTATTTATTTTAACTAAGCGCATTTAAAATTTGATTATTTTTTTCGCTCTGTGTAGAATTTAACTACGTCGCGTGCTAAATGTGACGTAGTTTCAATCCGCCCCTGTCAATGACAATAACTATTATGTGTAGATAGATATAGTCATATCTACAGATATCGAGAATTATTTACAGGTAGTTGACCAATCAAAAGCGTTATAGACAATAATAATACATCTGAATTGTTGATGATGACAAAATACTTTTTCCATCGTTTCCTTCAGTTAAAAGTATGACAGGCAATTCTTTTTCAAGAAGGAACTAGGTCCGTGTTCTACGTTGTCATTTTACTTTCGGAAGGAAATTTATTCAGTTACTCGTATATAGAATTCAATTTTAGAAGTAAATGATGTTTACTATGTTTGCACATGCTCATGCAAACCGAGATACACATGCTCGAGAGTTCTCACAAACTTCTCCGAGGCTTGCGTAAGCCAGTTTAAGCACTAAAACATCTTTTATTTCTTTTACAAAATAACAATAATGCAAAACAGATAAATTTCAAACAAATGTTTTGATTTTCCTCAAACATGTATTTGTGCAATGATCGATTTGCAAATTCTCTTTGATTTAATCTATAGACTCCGATCAATTTGCAAAGGCTATAATTAAAAACCTGTATAAGAGTTTGTATGCACTTCACTCACTGAAAGTAATCTCTACTATTTTGTGGTAAAATGTCCATGATGAAAAACATGGCATAAGCGTCAATGTAGAATTCGACTAACGGCTCTACAGTTCTCTACCAAGTTCCTGATACTTCGAGACGCGCATAACTTTATTACGTACGGTTCGAGTAGATAATTACAAATAATTCTAACAAATGCAAAAAAAAGGAAATCGTCTACCTGATTACAGAATTTACAGCATTACTAGGCAGAGAAGTTCATTCGATCTTATTCAGACGACAGTTTGATGCCAAATGTCCGTCCTCTCCCATCTGACATAAGATTAGCTCAATAAACTATAATTCTCATTTACATATTCAATTGAATGAACCGGAAAAGTTGTGAAACCAACAGCCCATACGTCAATCCGGAACCAAAATCCTGAAATTGAGACCCCCCTGTAATGGCTGCACGGACATGACTTTAACTGCCAAAAACAAAAACAAATAACCTTTCTGAAGTGCTTAAAATGTCCAGAAAGTTCATTTTTGGGGTGGTCATTGGAGGAAAAAACTTGCATCAGATTAATATTTACTGAGAATATTACCTTGGACCATCTCTTGTCATATGTCAATTTTGCATAAATTAACAATTATTCTTCAATTTTCATATTTTCAAAGACAAATCACATGAGACGAAAAAAGCAATCTCACTCTAATCATCATATAAAAGCGATAGACATTGCTTTGTTGACATACGATGCACTAAATTAGTATATTTTACCTATACCTTCCTCCAAAACACGTTTTCAGCCATATTTTGCCATCTTGTATGCTTTTTTTGTCGAGTCTTGCAAGTGTTTGTTGATTTACGTATAATTTCATTGAAATAACGCTGAAATGCATTGCAGTTTAGGCCCAATCGAAAAATTAAAAAGAATAGCGGTACCACCGAACCCGAGAGCGAAAAACCATCCAAAGCGAATTTAGGATCGAAATTCAAAACGCGACACCTAAAATATCATGCACCTCACGCGTGATCTTCGAGAAATTCTCGCGTGAGAAACATGACAGGGGAACATGTATTTCGCAAAAAGTTTATTTTCATGTTGCAAAAATTGATATATTTGAAACGTTAGCAAAACATTCTTTACCTGAAACTTCGATTATTTAGTTTTATATCCATTTTATTTTTGATAAACAGTGTGTGACAAACATTGAACCTAGCTACAAACTTTTCTTCTGGATTCTGATTTACATTGGCTTGAAAGCAAACGCTTCGTAAAAACGCATCCCTCCCCCCTGTAAAGTGGTTCATCATCATTCGTGACATATTTTTTTAGTTTAGTGTTTTGGATTGGATCTCAAATGTGCTATGGGAGGTTTTTCCTTACAGATACCATTAATCTTTTCTATTTTTTGCTTCGAACTTAACTACAATATATTGCTCAACGTTACTACAATCAAGTTTATATGAAGTACGAGAAGCGTGATTTATCGAGCAGAGAAGCGACGACACTTTGCAATGACGGAAATCGTGACAGAATGTCCGTGTGCAAAATATCTATGATAAAAGACACTGCATTGTATCCAAGCATGACGAAACAGCGACAAAATTTTATTTTACCACCAATAATAATGAAAATGTAAAAGGATCAACGAATGCTAGCAAGACTTGACAAAAAAGTAAACAAGACGGCAACATTTAGCTGAAAACGTGTGTTTTGGTGGAAGGTAGGTAAAATATAGTGCATCGTATGTCAACAAAACAATATTAATCGCTTTCAAATAATGCGTATGATTAGAATGAGTAAAATTTTCTTTTTTGTCTCATGTGATTTTTTCCAAGTCTCTGCCATGAACATTTGTTAATTTATGCAAAATTGATATTTCACCAGAATTAGCCAGAGATGTGCGCATGGTGATTTTCTCAGTAAATATTGATCTTATGCAATTTTTTCCTCCCATGACCACCATTTAAAGTGAACCTTCTGAACACGTGAAGCACTTCAAAAAGGTTATTTCTTTTTGTTTTTGGAAGTTAGAGCTGTTTCGGCGCAGCCATTTCAGAGGTGTTTTGATTTCACGAGTTTCGTCCAAGATTGAGGAATTGGCGCTAATAACATGTTGTTCGTCATGATCATTTTACCCCGGTAGAGATTACTTCCGGTATATGAAATGCATGCAGACTCTTACACAGGTCTCAGCTAAAGACCACCAGTGCACGCATTTAAATTTTTGTTTTTATTTCATAAGCTCCTATACTAGATAAACTATAATTTTTTGTCCATTGTCAGCAGCATATGTTATGGTTGTCACAAGGAACAAGATTTTAGTTATTTTCGTTAAGGTAATAGTGGCTTTTTGTTTCAATTTCTTAAACTTTATAGCCATACACATCCAGAGTTTTCTCTTTCTCACTATTCTATTCGATGGAAAATGAAAAAATAAAACCAAGGACACGAGAATCGGTAATTCAGTTTAACAAATAAATTGCTGTCATTTTTGTCAATACTTAATTACTTTCTAAAAACAGAAATTATGTGGTTTGAAAGTAACAATCAGGGCCTGCATGATTATTATTTTCTCGACTTCTTTCATTCGCAATATTCCCCAATTTCCGGAGAACAGCAAGATAGCTGCTCGCGTTAATATACCGCCAAAAACATATCGCAGCTAGAGAAATTAATTGCAAGTACATCACCGAGATAAATAAATTATTTTTTAAGACTGATGTTTGTAGAGTTTAGAGTGAAAATTATTCAAGAATATACTTTCGACATATAAACTCGCTCGCTTAGAAGACAGTAATTAGTTATTTTGGTGGAAGGGCGGACAAAGAGTAAATATTCTTTCGGGAGATTACATATGAAGAACTCTTGTAATTGACATCATACATTCAGATTCAGTTTAAGCCGGACCAGCGTCATCGAACACTTGGACGGCTTAAAGATGTAGAAAAGAAGATTAACTATAAGGTTGTTACGGAATTATAACTCTGAAAAAAGTATTGTAAAATGCTTTATTGTTACCATAGACTGGTAATTAGAGAGATAAAAAAAAATCTGGCGTAGACCAGCGTTGTACTTGGTGCCTTTAGCACACACTATTTTTTTAAAAGAGCCAAGTTAATAAGAACATTGAGGGTGAATTCTCTTAAAAAAATTTTTGTTATACAAAATTAGAACAAATCAAGGCTGACAAAAAATTGTGCCCTTTACAATAACCAGGGACAATTCGATCAGCTAATGGGGGTAAATTGGCTATTCTTTTAGGAGCTGGATTTCTCCCGAAATGGACGAAATAGCTCGCATTGTGGTTAAATTGGTCCTCTTACCGGGGGTCATTTCAGCCCTAATTTGAGGGGGGATTAGCGCAAAACAGGGCCAGCTTGGCCTTTCTGGGTTCAATATTCTGCTTCCAGTTTTCTGGCAAAAATAGCCCTTTTCTTTTTACTGTGTACACTGTAAGTAAAGCCATATATCACTGGAGTTGTTGACTTTCTTTGAACATTGAGCCTCGGAAAATTTTTGTTGGTTCTTATAAATAGAACCGAGTGCAAATACTGATTTGTACCTTCATGTACTAATCAGAGTTCGAGCTAGTACCTGATTGCAATATTACAAGCATATGATTTATTGCAATATTACAAGTCTATTATATAGTGGTTTCTTAACGCAAGAACGTGTTTTTTTTCTGTCAATGTAAAGTCACTATAGCAAATCATTTTTTATTTCAATATCATTATCAATATCATATTTCACTGCGTTTCACACAGTTTGGTAATTTCTATTTTATCAACGATGTATCATTAGCTATTTGACCTGTTTCCCTGTGACTATCTGCCGTTTTGTCGAATTGTCATTACGTCTTGTCGATGAGTAAATAGCAAAATTACAATGACAGATGCGCGACTGATTGCACGGGAGGACTACATTAATTTTGTTTTAAGTTGGAATAATCAGATGCACTGGACTGAAGAGAACTAAATGTAAAATCATAACTATGTCATTTCTTCTGCAATAAATGTGTTTGGAATATTTTGCACTGCATTATTACCCAGACATAGGCACGAAAATTTTTTATTTTTCAATATTCTTCGGTATTGCACAAAGTCTTCCGCGGTGGCGAGTGATTTGAATATGTAGCAATGCAAGACGAGTTGGGAGTCGTCCAGACATTGCTCTTTCATGATTAGTGGTATGATTGCCTTGGATCTTTGTCTTCGATGTCTCAAACAATTGATTGTGGTTTCTCTCTAAAGTTTATAACCTTGTTATACAGTTTGGCTTTTAATGTTGACTTCTTCCAACTTTAAAACTTACCAGCTACTTGATTATTATATAAATCTTTTATTTACATTACCATGTATGCACAAAAATTAACTTTGGAAGTGCGTATACATATTTTAGCGGATGAAACTGATCGTCATTACTTTGACAAGAAATGAGTGGATTATGTTTTCTCCCATTAACACTTAACTAGGTGTGATGTTTATGTGTGTCGCACCTGTGCCCAAACAAATACATGGTATGATGAAACACATCCAAATTTTTTCGTGCTCATGTTAAATGATAGTGGCGTACTCTGTATGAAGTTTAGCGAATATTTTATTCAAAATTTTACGATTGCTTTCATTTATCCCTCTTCTCGGGGTTTTTGCATTTGCCGAGCACAAAGAATCTTTCGAGCAAAAAATTATACCCCTGGATGCTAACGAACTGAATCTTTTTTAAATGTGGCATAAATGCTTACTGTCGTCTGGTCTCATTGAGGAATGGCATTACTTGACAAGTTTGCAAACCAGGCGGGATAACATTCTCGCGGATCGTATGTAATGTTTATGGATTGCGCTGAAAGACAATTTATTTTTCTTGTTATGACTTAGAGGGTAATCGCTGTTTAGTGGCACCCAAGGGTGCTTAAACACAAATAATAATCTTATCTACCCACAGATGCAATGTCACATTGGAATGATCAAGCTACATTGCGCTTTCAATACGCAAGTATATAAACGCAGCCGAAATGAGCGTTTTAATGTGCGCTACTTTTCCTCACGCACAGACACATTGACACTTTCATATTTGCATCTCAGTTACAATTACTCACATGAAGCATGGCAATTTCTGAGAGTCTGTTACTTTGGCTTCTTCTGAGTAATCTGGTAAGTTATGTATCTTATCTCGCAAATATTTTTACAGTGAGTAAGAAGACAATGATTTCCTTTGAGTTTTGTCAGTTAGTTTGACTTAACCATTTTGTGATCGCTTTGTAGGAAGACGATTTCCAGCTACCACAAAATCAACGAAAGAGATCGCTTGGAGAAAATTTGGAGTCATATCCACATCATGTGGTTGGTATTAGTTGCAGTATAAAAGTTAAATGTCTGTTGATCTTACTCATAAGAAGCACTATACATGAAATAATTAACATTAAATTTGACGACTTGATTGTTAATGTCATCGTATAGGGCAATGTTTCTGAGCTCAATTCATTCCTGTGGGTTATGGAACGCGATCCTCCAGTTTATTTCTTCGGAACGATTCATGTACCCTACACTAAAGTGTGGGACTACATACCACCAAACAGCAAACAAGCTTTTGAAAAGGCAAACAACGTGTACTTTGAACTGGATCTGACAGATAGAGACACGATAGAAGCATTGCAACATTGCAAATCCCTGCCGCATGGACAAAAGTTACGCGATCGCATTCCGTCGAAGCTTTTCAGGCGTTTGAAAGCTCATTTCTCCTTCGTTCGGAGAAAAATTTCAGAATGGATATCTGAAGAGTCGAAACTCATTGCGGTGAATCCTTTGGACTTGTACCGAAAACTCACAAAAAATTGGCGACGAAAGCGACCGATATGGATAATGCTATTGCTCGACAAACTCAACAAATTTAACGTGAAAATGCTTGCTGAAAGATTGCCTGTGCTCGACGCATATTTAATGCGGCAAGCTCAAACACGCGGAAAAAAGCTGGGCTCGATTGAAACCGCCAAAGAGCAATGTAACGTACTTAAAAGGCTGAACAAGAAGAAGGTAATTACCGTTTATGCTTATTGATTTTGGTTTTTCACAGTATTTAAACCGGGCAAAAGAAATCCCTGACAGAAGAGACTGAGTATGCACACCAAACGACAATTGCTAATTTCGATCAAGAGTTACTTCAATTAAAACGAGCCGATCATTAAAGATGGTGTGAAAACTCTTGTTTCGCAGTTGACCAAAATTGCGATGAATTGCGCAATCACCGGCCGTCTTAAAAAGTTCGTTGTACATTAATATTATCAGTAAGGCTATTTGATGATTTATATAATGTGAGTAACAGTCGCGTTATATCAAGCGGGCTACAAATTTAGCCATGCCCAACTATTCAAACGGTTGTTTAGCTCACGATAGGATGCCCATTGACAGGGTCAACAAGAAATCTTGATTGTTATTTGTTATTCTGCTTACACATCGCTGTGAAAGGTTGCGTCGTGCTATTTACCCAAAATTTCCAAGTGAATTGTATCAAGTTGTTTGGTGAGCGAGATTTAGAAAACTGCACTTAAGGATTGGTCTGTATGCTGTCGCAGTTACGACGTGTGGCGATTTCACCTAAAAAGTTAGCTCCAACTGAACGCGGTAGGAGGCAATTAGCACGACCTACTCGTTCTGCATCGCGGCTACGAAACGCAGCGGCTGATTAAAATCTCTTTTGAATCATTGTAAAACACAAACTGTTCGCTTAATTAACACCAAAATGCGGCGGCTCTCTTAAAAAGCTGTTAATTTCCCTCACGTCGTTAATTTTCCCTGGAACAACAATGCCAATAGTATAATATCCAATATGCTGACAATGCCGACAAATTGCGCCTACCATTCAGTCATTAGTTTCGGAGATACTTTTGATCTGAGGGTGAGGGCATGTATATGCTAACTTTTCTCGCAGCATGTCAATACAATTCTTTATATTATGCGATAGTAATAATATTTTTGAAACGTTGATATCCCAAATTTCCAAAGCCGTTACTACAGAGTACAGACGATGTATTCAATAATTCAAATCAATGATTTTCTCAACGTTTGGCGGGGCGAAGTGACAATACGCATGTAGAGCAAGAATAATTTGGCTTTCCTCGTCGTACGCAACACACACGTTGTTTATGTTCCCCTAGCTTGTTTCGATTATTTGAAGTATGCTTATATTACGTACATTTTACTTAATACTTTTCATGTTTTTCCTTTCCAAAGTGCTCATGGAACATGCATGCTTGCAATTTTTCGCAGTTTTTTTTTCTGTTTATCTTTGAATATCGTGATAGCGGTGATAACCCGGGTGGGTATTCAGTACCGTCGCGGTCCGATTTTTGTTTGTTGTTAAAATTAAACTACTTCGATTTCTTACGACATTTTATTCATAGGAAGTGTTTCAGTATGAAGCTAGGTTTTGTAACATCTCTTCAGCATTAAAATGCGGCTTTACGCAAGTATATAATAAAAACTTGCCCAGCAACAAAAAATATTACGACTGCCAAAGAGTATTTTAGTAAAACATAAAACAATAGACACTCCGTACATAGTAAACATTTAATCTAAATGTTTAGACCAGTGTTACATGTTACATTTTCCTATAGAAAATGTTACATTTTTCTGCTGATGATGACATGTCTTGTCCAGTGTGACCAGACTTGGTAATTTTAATTACTTTCAGTAATTTGTTGCTATTTTTTGGTGCGTTTTAGTGATAATTAGAAAATTTTGGTAATTAATCTGGTAATTTTTTAAATTTTAGTAATTTTTGACTTCGTAAGGATAAGATTCAGTTTCAAACTTTCGTAACTATTCAGCTTTTTGTTTTTCACGACTATGAAGTTTTAGTGTTTGCATGTGCCTAACTTGCACGTTTTGAGCATAGTCTTGCTTTGTATATATACGAGCAAGAATGTAGGCATGGAAAAACAGAAGGGTTATTTTGAAGCTATAATGTTGCTGCATAGCGATTCGCATTATTTAGGTATGTTAGTATTTTACTATACCGTAAATGACGTTTAATAAAGTCAAGCGGATGTAGATGGGGCGTTTATTAGAGAGAGATGTTTATCTCATTCCATCATCTTAGAAAGTTTTGTTTCACTCTGAGCCAACTTGAAAAACTATAATAATGATATCATCATAATGATAGGGGGGCACTAATAAAGACAAGACAGAGCATTTATGATTTGTTAGAGAGTGGTCAGTAATGTAATTGAAATAAACTTTAGGGGCTTCTGGGAGGGGGTCGTTGATTATATGTGGTGTTTATTTTATAGAGGGCATGGGAGCAAATTTTGGTACTTTTTCATTGATTTTGGTAATTTTTGAAGCCTAGCTTGGTAATTTGCTTTCAGAAAGTGTGGTCACACTGCACTTTTCGAAACGTTTAGATTAAATAATGTTTACTATATACGGAGTGTCTATTGTTTTGTGTTTTTTCTTAAGAATATGTTATATATATGATACTTTTATATAGGAAGTTTTTGTGTGATGATCCTACGTGAAAAACAGATGCGCGAGAGCAGAGCGTAAATAAATATGTAGTAATATTGAAAAATCACAAAAACTACAGTTTCATCCCGACAAGCCTGTTTCGTGATTGCTCCTTCTTCAGGGGACGGAAGTTAGCGTATTAATTAAGGTGTATGGTTACAAATTGCAAAGGAGTATTTTGAATCTATGGCGACAAGAGGAAACAAGTTTGTTGCGTTTATTAAGAGATGATTTGGATGGTTGGTAGAGGAGGAAGAATTTTTCTTTGAGGCAAAATTGCATCTTTAGTGGTACTGTTTTATGGTTTGCTGTGTGTGATGATGTTCCATGAGATGTCGTGGTCATTGTTGCTGTCTTTAAAGGTCCAAATGTGCTTACTGAGTTCGGTCGAGTTTCGTAGTTTTTTTTAGTGTGATTTCTATGCCTAGTCTTAAATTCGTTTTCTGTAAGTCCAATATACGTCTCAGTTGTGTTATTGTCCTTGCGTTTCACAGTTCTTTGGTAGATGAGGGATGATTGCAGGTAGTTTCCTTTAAGTGGGGTGTTTTGTTTCTCTCAGGTGTGGCATGTTTTTGTATGTGTCTTTTTGTTTGTGGTGCTGTCGTTAGTTTTGTCTGATGTTCTCAATATATGTTTGTTGTGATTGTTGATTATTTGTTCGATGTTGTTCATGCAGCTGTAGCTCAGTTTGATGGTGTTACGGTTGAATATTTTCCTAAGTTTATGGTCTATGGGGAAGTGTTTGTCGATTAATGAAAGGATTTTGTGGCCAATGCTCGTGTGGACGTTTTTGTTTAATGGAGGGTTCTACCAAAGTATATCTTATGGAAGTCTGTTTTTCAGTTTGGTAGTAGCGTCTGAATCGAATTTTAGTGTGTATGGGTATCTGTTTTCGTCGAGTGCTTTTTGGTATGGTGCAGTTATTTGGTCAAATGATGCTTTGTCAGATGATAGGGATGATAGACGTTTGTTGATGGGGGCAGGTCTGTTCCTCGTTACGGTTGGCGGATGGTTGCTTTCGCTGTGGACGTATTGCAGAGAAGTGTTGGGTTTTGAGTAAGGTCGATAGGAAGAATTGTTAGGATTGAAGGTGATGTCAAGGAAGTAAATGATTATTTTGTTTGCTTCGATAGTTATGCGTAGACCATTATTGTTGAAGCTGCGGCATATCTCCTTTTTGATGTTATCTGTTTCTCTTGCTGTGAAGTTTGAAATGGCAAGTCCGTCGACTCGATAAAGTCCTATGTCTGTGGTGATGTGTTGTAGTTGAGAAATGAGGTAGCTTCCTATGAGTTTGCGTGTCTCTGCACCGTCGAAGCTGCCCATTGTGACGTCGAATGTAGAGTTATGTTTCTTTTGCCAGGGTTGTTGATTTTGTATGAGGAATGAATTCTTAGCGTGTATAAGGATGATTTTTTCAGCGTTTGTGATGTTGTCTTAGTTTCAGGCGGAATCCAGTGCTTTGTTTAGTAGGTCTTGGTCAATAGATGAATAGAAGTCTACTATGTCGAAGGTTATGAAAGTGATGTGTTTTTTTTGTGTTTGACAGATTTGAACCACTGGGACACAGATGATAAATTTTTCCATTGGGTGAATGAGGTTGCTTTTATGATGTTGTTGTTGATTCTGTCCAGTATTTTTATGCTAATTTTTCCAATTTCGGATTTTGCTGGGTTGATAAGTCTGGGTTGATAATCATTTCACTTGACGATTTTTTGGGAGTGGATGACTCAATATTCATAATAAACAAAGAAATAAAGAGCTGCAATAAACCAGGAGCACGATAAAGAGCACGACTTTTCTATATTACGTTAAAAGAAATACAGGATGGCTAATAATTACGGGTCAACAATTACTAAACAAATGTACCTTGTTTCGGAAAATCCATTAAAGATGAAAATTATTCATTTGCAATTAGATTTCATTTGTATAGCACAATTTCATCAATAATTTAAGCGAAAATTTTATTTTATTTCTGAGAGTTGCTGTTTTCAATAGGATGCACTACTTTAGCTATGCCAATGCACATTCAGAATTTTTTCTTCAGTTTTTATTGTCATTCTTTGTGGCGCCACTTCTTCAAAAAGACGTACACTGAAAATGAAAATATGTTTAGACATGCATTCATAAATATCTACTTTGTCATCTATCAAAATTTTCAAAAAACACAATCACTCTTGAGAAAACGACGTGAATTTGGCATATTTTATGGCTTGAACGAATTTTGTGTTGGGGTACAGATAGTTGCCACCCCAAACATCAGATTCCAGCCACTTGAATAAATCGCTCGTCAACACCTCTCCCAATTTTTAGCAAAAACAAATACACTTGAACTGAGTCTCCTGAGCAAGGTGACAAAAAGCGAGTTTTGTACTAAACGTAGTAGCTATGTTTCTCAAATTTTGTTGTGTTTTGACACATTTTAGTCATGCACTAAGGTGCCACTATCGACTGTTTTTACAGTTCTTCGTTAAATGAAATTGATGAGAAAATCACACATGTTTTATGAACTCAAGAAATATTTCTTCAATATTCATTTAAACTATTCTAAATCTAAAGTTTAACGAGTTGCAATTTCTATTTGATAGAAAATATTTTCACACAAATCGGATCAGTACTGCCAACACAATGTAGATAAATTAACTTACAAATAATCAAGGAAGTTTTGTCTTTTGAGTCAGCAATGAAACCCATGCAGTATTTAAAAATTAATTGTTAGAAACGAAAAGAGGAAACAACAGTTCAAGAATTTGATTAAACACGAGCATTAGGAGTAGACACTATAAGAAGAAATTGAAACTAAAAGACTTTCTTGAAGAAATAAGCAGGAGAAAAGTAAGGCAGTTACATTTCCCATTGTTGAAACATACACGATAGCGTTGTAGGTCATGGAATTTTTTCCCATTTGTTATCATTTTTACGTGGAAAAAAATTAATTCAACATTTCGACACTTCAATACTTGCAGTTTTTTATTTATATTATTCAGTTACCGTTTAACATTTAAAAGTTGAGAGTAAAATAACAAGTTTATATTTAACTCTTAATAAAGTGGTTATAATACTATAACACTTTTATAAGAACTATAGGTGCGCCGAGTGTGATCAATGCTCGTCTTTTTTCAGCGGGAACTGTGTTATAATCGTATGTTTTCAGCTATGTTTACACTACTCTATTTACACTTGTCCTTACTCTTTCGTCGCTTCCTTGCTAAGGCTTATCCCCCTGAAAATTTTCACACCTTACACCCACGTTTTATGGGAAAATGAACTAACTAATAGAATTCATGAATTCTTAAATTTGGGATGAAAACTTTCATCCGTTTTGTCTTTAATCACATTTGAATTATTTGACTTTCATGCGTCCATTAATTTTGTTAATTCCAGTTGTATCAAGACTTGCATGCAATAAGCTTAGCAAAATGAATATAATTCTGCATGTGTATCTCGATTCTCGATTATAAAGCATCATTATTATTGAAAATAAGAGGAAGTGAGTAATAGAATTACCGTATTTTGCATGTCAAGTTCATGACAGATTACGTTTGCATGCAAGAAAATCAATATGATTGATTGCATACATGGTAGAGATATTTTAATAATTTTCCACTAGGAGGCCATTAGCTAACATCAATGTGCATGCATGTGAGGCGTGAGGTGAGTCATGTGACAAAGAATCCGGACTCTTCCGTAGTGAAATTTTAAAAACTGCATTTTTGTTAATTTTGTTTTGTGTAATTGTAGAGCAGTTTAGGTTTGACTCCATTCGCTTGTTCTTTCTACATGCAGTCTTACAAATACCCAAAGGAGTATATGTAATGTGTTGTTCACAACACTTAAAGGGCATATATGACTCGAAAACTGTGCTATTTAGATTATTAATTCATGTAACTTAATTTTGAAAATGACAGTGTTCCTTTTAAAACAGTTTATTCATATCACTTTTCATTCTCAAGATATTGAAGTTTATGTAATGACGTCATATTGTATAATTTGAAATAGCGCGTGTATTTCCTGATATGTTACTTCAACCAAGCAGAGAATTTGCTTCATTGTGAAGAGCCAGTAGTATGGAAAATTGCCTAATCATTTCAACCAAAAGTTGCCAGTACAGAATGTTTGAAATTCATTGTGCAAAATGACGTCAAAAGTTTTGGGTAAATCGGTCATTACAAAAACCTGAATATCTTGAGAATGAAGAGATATGCATAAACTGTTTTAGAAAAGATTTTGTCATTTTAAAAGTTCTGCTGTGTGAAAATGTAATTTTAATAGTAAAATTTTCGAGTCATAACGTTCTGTGTCAGTGATGCATAACAAAATATAAACTATTCGCTGTTTTTTCGTCTCTCGCTCCCCCTTTCGACATATTTTGTCTTGGTAAGATTTTCATAAGTTGCATTTGCCAAACGATGCTACAAATGCTTATTGTTTCATGATTTCAGGTAATCTACGCTTTGAAAAAGAGTTTAACATTACACGAGAACATACGTCGTGGTGAAGAAAATATTCCGTTGTCGGCAAAGCAATTGATTCATTATTACAAATTTGGTGGCCTTAGAAAAGTTTTGTCCGCTCTACAGTCGTCCGGAGTTTCTAATCTACGAAATATTTCCCAGTTGCAAAACTTGGAAATTAACAAAAGCAAAAGATTCCAAAAATATATGAAAAACAAGTTGTTCTTCGAAAGAAACAAGAGAATGGCAAAACGGATCAGAAAAATTATTAAAAAAAACTGTGGAAGAAGTATGATTTTTGCTTTCGGTGCAGGTAGCTAAATCATATACAATATATACGGCGTCACCATTTTTTCCGTCAGCTTCACATTCTGTTAAGTTGTTTTTGTCTTGTTTAGGCAAGTTAAGACATGTGATTATATATCATTCACTTGACAATGATTTGGATATATTTAATACATTAAAGAAATCGTGTGTTAAGATTTTATATGAATCAATCGTGCTTTACATACAAGCGAAGTTTCGTATGATAAATTCACTGCAGCGATTAAACATTCGACGAGAATAGTTTATCCAAAAGTTATTTTTTATCTTCATGAAAAGAAGCATGGCGATGTTATAAAAGCCGAAATGAAAACTCTCTCTGCTTCAAACATCCCAAAAAAACCACGAGGTCATCTCTTAAAAATTCAACAGGAAAAAGATATAAACAATTATTGAAATTGCTTGGTTACGTAAAAAAATATAAAAACGGTCCCCATGCATGTGATTGAACTTAATGCACTTGTTTCTAAGTATAGTCGTATTTAAAGCGCATGTGTCAAGTCAAGCCATGCTTAGCAAAGGGCATTTGTAGCATGCAAATCATTAACGTCAGGTTTAACATGGTGATAAAATCATCGGTACGAGCCCGTTTTTCCTCAAATGTGCACCGACCCCCGGTTTAACTTTTCTGGTTAGGACTATAGCTGTGACTAAAACCAAATTTGCTTCATTTCTAAAGGCGATTGAAATTTCTTTTTGTTTAGGCCATTTTATTGGACACAAAAGCGTAATAAGCTTGCTTCGTCGTCGTGGATATAAAATAAAACATTTAAAAGCAAATGACGCTATCTCATTAAGGTTGGTTTGTTAAACAATCGTTTTACGTTTTCATGCAGGTATTTTGACGATCCTTTTGTAAAGCCAATAGCAGTTTTTTTACAGTTAGAAAAATTATTACTTCCGTTTTTTTTGTTTAATACAAGCAGATTTCACTTGATTCTAATCAAAAACATACAATCTTTGTAAGCAAGAGAAAATTTTTCGAGAGTTTTCTCAAAAAAAAGAATACAATTTTCCGAAATTCATTTTCAATTCATCCTTTTACCGTATTTAGCGTATAGCTATAAAGCACTATTCCAATTTATCATTTACAGAAATCATGGAAGTGTCAAAGTTGTCAGATGCAAACACCAAAGAGAAGAAAAACAACAAAAGTCAAACTTAAAACAAGTAAATCGAAGGAAGAATGTGTTTGGTAATTTGAAAGAGAACAACGCAAAGTAAGTTAACTGTGTATTGTCATATCATTTAAAAAGATGATTATTGTGCTTGCACAGGCTTATGTAAACCGAGGACACTTTTGGGAGAACTCCAGAGGAGATCAGGGCAAGCGTAAGACCGAAGGACGAGGGTTGCACCCAGATGAACCTGCTCGACAGTTCTGAAAAACGTCACCGAGGTTTTCATAAGCCAGTACAATTTTCTTTAAATGTATTCCTGATTTGCTAATTCACTTTTATTTATTTATTTAATTGAACTCAGATTTGTTTGCGCAGCTATAGCAAACACAGCTATAGACCAATCAGCGCATGCGTCACATTGTTCTTATTTTATAAATTGAATAAGTGTGTCTTTTTCCTACTTCATTTTAATTATAATATCCATGACACATTATTTTCAGTACAACGAGAAAAATCAAGCCGGCCAACATCACGTTGTATAAATCATCGCATGAAAAGTTCACTGGGCAGACCTCGTCGAATGCTGTGTCCCTGAATATAAATCGATGGTTGTGCATATTCCTTCTGTTGAAACTGTTTTTTTTCCTTCATGATTCTGTAACGACAATAGAATAAGTTAAGAAAATTATTAAAAAACTAGCTAGATGAGAAGAAATTCGATGACTCGTACCTCGAAGGTGCGCTGTTTATACTAGTTTGAAGGCTATAGATCACCATTTGTCTTTGAGGACGGTTTAGTGTGTCATACCCAATTCATCAGCAGCACATTCTCCTTTATCTTTAACAAAACTTAAATAATTGTGATATTGCTTTCTATATGAGCGAACAGGGCTTTTCATTGATGAGTTAATGAAAGACCTGGCTTGAAGATCCATTAGGCTCTTCATTATTTCCTAGAAATCAAAATATACCAATACATCTAAAAAAACTTTGAACCTCCTTTGAACTTCTAATGATGAATTGTTCAGTCATAAAACACGTTATTATTTTTACTATTTTCAACTTCAAAGTGGCAGAAAGAATTCGGTCAGAAGTGCAAGTAAACACTTAATGATGTAATTTAAATACCTTGCTGTGTCTAGGGGATCATTGTTCACGCCTCACCCGTCCACCATTCTCTACAATGCTGGATGAGAAAGAGTTTGTGGTATATATATTAAATTTTGGCAAATAATATTATGGTTCATATTCTTGATGTAACAAACAGTAAAATATCTTATATTGTAAGTGGAAATTTAATGAGAAAAATCTATGTGTTTGTTAAGATGATAAATGAGCTTGATGATTTTTAATCATTAACTTATGAATTTTGAATGTAAGCTCGACCTCGACATTAACCTCTTTTTCAATTGCTCATTCGTGAGACGAGGAGATAATATCTTTCGTAACACGGGTAATTATTGTTATGTATTATGGAAATATATATTTAATGAATAAAGTCCTTCATGTGTAAAGGTTTTCTAAATTGTTGACTTCTTTAGCATGAATGTGTATTTCAGCATAACGTTATGCTTTTTATCGAGATTTCAATTGTTGTATTTCATGAAAAATTATTTGAAATTTTCGTGATTTAAAAATAAAATGCTCAATACAATATCCTTGTCGACATGGTTAAGTGCTCGATCATTTTCAAAATAAAATGTGTTTTTAGGTACCTTTTACATTCATAACTTTGAAAAGTGGGGTCGTCAGTGTTTTTTAATAATCGACAGGTAATGTTTGAAAAAAACAAATTTCTACAGAAAAATAAGTAAAGTCATCGTCATTACTATCAAGCTCGCTACTATAAAACTCGTTATCTTTCCATTTTTTTATAACTAACGTTAAAGATATTAAAGTTCTTGAATAGAAGAAAACGACAGTCAGCAGAAAAGTGTTAGGCACCACAACCTCTTCAATATTACCATAGATGGAGGGTGGGTGAGGGTATGTGGGCTAGCCGCATTCCAGGATAGATTGAAAAGTTGAGCTAATTTTCAACGTGTCGGGCAAATGAGAACGAGAGCAAGGATATGGCAGATTATGATATTGAATACGTCACGAGAACAGAACTAGACTATAGTGACACTTCCATTGAATATGTCATTAGTGAAACTTTAATCCATAACATTATCCACTCTGTCTGTAAAACCAATACCAGTCCCTCTGCCACCGAAAAACCTGCACAATTTCTAATAAGTAACTACCCAATCAATTTTCAAATCTTAGATAATATGACTTGAAACCTACCAGCAAACGGCTTCGCATGTGGAACTCAGAAGTCATTCCCCTTTTAACGACCGGAATCATAACTAAAAACACACGAAACGATTAAAAATATTCACTTAAATTTGTAATTGTACGTGAGAACTTGGTACACATAATTGGGGCTTGGGTAGTTCAGCACATGCACATCGTCACCATTTACATCTCTCGGACCCACAAAACAAGAAGAAGCTACATTACGAGCTGTTAGCACTATATACACTGCCGAGCAACTAATTTCACGGTGCCCTAATGTCTTCGATTGCCTTTTCGACACCCTAACATCAGAGATCTAGTGATGGAATACCGAAAACACCCCGTCCCAAGGCATGGGTCTTAGCCTAAAGCAGTGTTGCATTGGCTGACGGTCAAAAATCTTACCACCCACAACCACCAAGCTCTTGTAACATTATACTACGACACAAGAATCAGAGGATAGTAAAATCATTCAGAAATAGCAAACCCAGGCATTGCATTACAATCGTGGTTCCAAAGACCACAGTCTACTGTAAACAGGGGACATAGTTCGAATAAAACCAACCTGTTTTGGTCAGTACGAATGGAAAAAAGCGATGGTCATTTCTCGCCATGGCGACAGATTGTACGTTGTTCAGACAGAAGACGGTGGACAATACAGGCGAAATAGAATTCACCTAAGAATATCCAAAGAGCCATTTAATGCGGACGAAGAGGGCGGAACATCTGACGATGAAAAAACGACGGTGTTGAAGCAGATGCACCCAAACCCATTCTGCAGCCTGTGACAAGAAGAAGACTACAACATCAGAGAAAACTTCCGAGCTTCCTCAAGGATTATGACTGCGATTAAACGCACGTAAGCGAGCTATCGTTATACATATATATTTAAAAGAACCGACTGCCCTATCTGACAGGCTTGGGATCCTGTTCTCAGTAATCACATAATTTAATAAAGTCGTTGTTATTCCTAAAATGGCGCCATATTGATACACAAAGCACAACGACTGCGATAATAAAATACTATGGTTTATTGGTATATTATATGAATTATAGTAATTACTATTACCATGATTATTTTATTACTAATACTATTACTATTACTATCATATAAATTCTTTTTATTTATAAAATACTATTAAAATACTATTTATACTCAAAAGCTGGAATGCCACATATTCTAAATCTTGAACTGAATTCGCCTGCATGAATCTGCAATGATAGATTGATAGTCAATACGTGATATACATATGCTCCTCATATGATAAGTAAATTTTTCAACAGAAGTAAGCCGATATGTGACATGTGTTCGGCAAACAGTTCTCTAAAGCCACTCCGAGCAACATCAAAAAGTATGTATAATATATGTGTCAAACGTCAATAAGATAAATAATGTACTCGTTCATCTGCCTTGTAAGTTCAAACTGCTTCACATGCTGCTGAATTAAGAAAAACGTCTGTGAAGTCTGCTTATATGTCTTTAATATGCAGTAAGCATGCAATTGTTCGATGGAATGAGAAGGAAAACATCACAAGGAACAAGAACTTAATTCAAACATATTTCTGCAATACTACTGTAAAACAGTAGTATTGCAGAAATGTTTTTACAATACAATACTGTTTTTACAATACAATACTGCAATTTCTACAATTTACTACTAGTGTATAGAATTTGGAGGCAACGAAACCTGACAACAAGCATGTCAATGCATGTAGCATGGACACACGTTATCTTATAGTATGAAGAATATTAGTGATAGATTAACATCTTAATTGTTTATCTTTAAACAAAGCCAACCAGCACATCTTATCATATTGTCCTACATTGTTGGAAGCAGCATGCATATATCAGCCTCCTTTGAATGGTTTGTGTGACGATCGACAGACATTGTTGAAATGTGTTTCACAGTTTCAAAACGTTCAATGATAATATTTTTTGATCAAACGAACAAATCAAACAGATGTAACGGAATCTACCATCATCGAAAATTATATGACCAAATCAACAATACTGCATGGACGATGTTGTCTCTCAGCTAACAGCTTGCATGCGAAGTGTGCTAAACTATAGAAGAATTGCATTAACTAATAATTAACTAAACCATTTTACCTCATAGAGATATTACTAAAAATAAATATTAAATGGTCGACCTCATGACGAGTATTTTGCGCATTTCTAAAGCATTCTGCACACCATGCTGAGCATGTTATTAAACGGTTTTACAAAGAAAGTAGACTATACAATTAGTTGTGATAAAGCTTAAATTTTGAAGCTTACTGTAATCTTTTCGATAATACTTAACCAGCTATTACTATCAGTTTTGTCTGTCTTTAGATATAGCTATGAATTAAAACGTAAACATGGAAGATTTGTAAAAACGAACAAGCGCTATTATACGTTCAAGAATGCTTAGCTATATAATTCTCAACCGTTAATTTTTTGCCACTAACAGCACTATCTTCTGTCGTCGTTCCGTTAGTGAAACATGCGTGATTGCGATGATTAATATGAAGTATGTTTCCTCGAATCATGTAGCTCCCTATGTTACTCTCTCCTTACCCTATTATTGTACAAATATAACATGCAGAAAAAAACAGCCTGTTTTGCTGGTATAAAAATCCAAAATCGCAAAGCACGTCGTAAGAGTAATGAAATATTATTTCTTTTTCAGCAAATTTACGATATTAAATCAACACGAAAATCAATCGCGTTTGCACTTTTAGATGAAAGATGTCTACACATAATCATCCATTATGCAACTGTCACACGCAAATCGTCGCAATATTTGGTAGTACGACTCAAAGCCAGGTGTTTTACTAAAATAGGACGATCAAAATCTACAATTTAGCTGGCAATAAATGAATACTCAACAGAACGAGAAATGAAAATGACATATATGTTTAACATAAAAAATATAGCCAGAAATAGAACATTTATTCTACATACAAAATTGGGCAAAAATTGCAATAAATGTAGACTTCACACGTACATACAGAAGTAACATATATAATATAGAAAAATTTAGATAAGGGAATGCACTGATGTAGTAGATTTGAAATCATTGTCGATGTCTACTATTTTCATAATTAATGTTCCATATTTTATGATGTTTCAATTTTGTTTCTTCTCCGCGAATGTAGCTACTTATATTACCATAGAATCTTCATGACTTGGAACAGATTGCCTTTTCCATTTTCATACACACATAACTTTTTGCAGCCATCTTTGTTGATATCTTAGATACAATCACTATTTTATGAAATTTTACATGTGGCAAAATCGTTCTCTTTTATTCTATATACAACTATTTCATAGTTGCCTACAAATCATTTTCCAAACACTAGTGAAATTTATTGCAAATATATACATTGGTATAAATAGCTATATTTGTTGGCGTATAACAAGAATCCCCCTAGCAGAGATCTGCATGGTGTCCATATAGTTTGCCTTGGCAATATAATACGTTGATAATAAACAGCCGAATTTCAAAGCTAATCATTCACGACGAATTCTATCGATTTCGAGGACATGTCAGGTGACAATTTTCTGACAGCGTCGTAACTTTCTCTTAAAACCTTTGGATGTCGTTCCCCTCATCCTAAATAAGAGAGAGGTCTGAATATTTAAGTGTCTAAAAAGTGCTAATTGATTGTTATGGAGATCTATCACAAAATGCATATAAATAAAAATTTTGATAGTGTATTCAATATCTTTCGTCAGTCATCAAGTGTATCTTCTATATTTTATAAAAACTGTGTCAAACAGTTTTCATACATGTCAAGAACATTACGATCACTACTCTTTCCGAAAGGACACATTCATGCTGCTTTTGGCATTTAAGCTGCAAGCTTGCACTAAAGACAAACGATCTTTGTATCAATGCTATTTTTAATCAGGGCTCTTCAATCACAAATTTACATTACAATTTGGCTTTGTTGAGAAATGAAATAAATCATCATAAAAAATCCTCATATTAAATCAGCAAGCCAACCCAGTCAAGTTACAAAACTATTTGCTCATTAACTTGGCTTATAAGACTTTAAGACTATACCTTGAAACATGGTGAGCACACTAATTCTATGTATTGCTTTGATGAATTTTAAGACTTGCTAAAGTGATGACTATTTACCTTTTCTTCTGTAATTTGGTTTTTTTGCACACCAAACCTTTATCGCAAGGACAACCATGATTTACAGCGTAAGCAACTCCACCTTCTAGCACTCTGCAAAATTGGTTTTCTTGTCGCATTCTCTTACACACAAACTCTCCGTGACTCTTGGCGCAGCACAGTCCCGGGTTGCAGTCCTTGTCTTTTCTACACCGAGCTAGAAAGTTTCCAGGTTTAACAGTTTTCCGACAACTTCCAAACACGCACTCAAAGCCTTTGCAGCAAACGTGATCGCGGCGACACTTCAATTTATTCTTCTTGCACTTATGACATGTACCATAATGTCGGTGGCAATAGTTCGCCTTTCCACAATCACGATCTCTTGTACACATCTAGACATAATTGTTAAAATTCTTCGGTTCATATTATAATCAATACAAATTGTAATTTTCTTAAATCCTGAATGAAATAGCTACTAACAAACAAGTTTGTTTTACTCAAAAGAGCAGTTCGTGCTTCCAGATATGCTTATCAAGAAAAGGCTTTTCAAAATTGACTACGTTAATCAGTAAGAAGATCGATGATGAAATTATGTATATAAGACGATAAGTGATCGATGTCACTGATTATGTATTCTTAAAGAAAGTAAAGCCTTTATATAGCGACATTCACAAACCGATGATTCAATCGGTTGAAAGATTAGCACCGTGTGGTTGGAGGATTGTTGTCGGTTCACGATCGACGACTCATTCTTAAAAGGCCATCGCTTTACAAAATTTTAAGACTTTTTAGGACTTTTTCTACCTTAGTTGTAGTATTTCTAAGCGTCGAGTTGTGTTTCGATAAGGAATTTTCTTCAAGAGGATTGACATGCCATAGCCAACTAAAGATAACGCAATCAACAAGACGAGGTAGGAGTAACAATAGTGCCAGCGTACACAAGCGGAGTTTCATCGTCGTTCAACACTATATTCCCGTTAGCTTATTTTGATCGATACTCTCTTGCTTGGCGACTGCTCCTTCACAATGTAATCCTTCTTTCAGTAAAACGAGCATTTAAAGTCGATCATTAAAGTAAATGAAACATTTATTACTTGGGAGAACCAATCAAATAAACCTGCTTTTATCAGTATTGACAGCTCGAACATAAGAGGCGTGGACAATTAATTTCTTAGGAGGGAAACCCGCCCACTATGTTTAGCTTTTATCACATTTGATTAATATCGATTCATGTCTACACAACGGCTGATAAACAATGAAAAAGCATAACTACATTACTTTAATGCTTTGGGTGTTAAATTTGTCAGCGTTAATTTGTTGATTAATGTTTTTTTTTATGTTGGTCCATGAAGGGCAGAAAACCCAGTCGCATTGGAAAATGATTATCATCAAAAGCGTATACACACGTAATATATATTTACACAGCAAATGTGTTAACTAGCTTCACTGGTGGTAATTCATAACAGCAACAGCAAGACCTTCTTCAACAACGCATTACCGCTGTGCTCCGCCCAACTAATAGGCGTCCATTAGCCATACTTACACGTTTTAATCCCGTTCGTGGCTAATGACATTTATATATTGATATTTAATCTATACACAATGAAGGCAGTCGTGTATTCGATAAAACTCAAAAGTTTTTGCGAAAAAAATCCCCTTGAATTGTTGAGTGCAGACATGAACTAAGTGCTGTTCAATTTGGTGGCGAATTTAAATTGTAACTATACCTTTTCTTTCGTCAAGCTGTGAAATCCATTAAGTATCAAATACTTTTAGAAAAACATTAGAACAAAACAGATGGCATTCTTAAATAAAATTTGGGTAAACGTACGTAGCTGCTTGTAGCTTAGATGGCCAAATATGAATTAATGTAACGCAAATTATCTTCGCAAGTAATGAAATTATGTAGATTATTTGATCACACACCATTATAGCGATTAAAATTAAAGAAGTTTCCCAGTCAATTAAAAATCATAAAGTTACTTACTTTATGAATGTTTCTCTTTTGTTGCAATTTTACTTTTCCAACTGTATATTATACTCTTTTTCAGCAATTTAACTTTTGTAGCAATTTAACATTTTCAACTGTATATTGCTTTGTTCAACTGTATATTATAGTCTTCTTGACTTCATGAAACTATCACGGTAAGTTTCAGATCAATCGGGTATAATTCATTAAACGCATTCATCTTGATAAGTTTGAGAATATCTCTATTGGAAACACTTCCAAAGGTTCATGGAGTTTATCGCCATAAGGCTTACAAATTACAATTAAACTTTACCTAACTGTGCTCCTGTGCTCGTATTTTCAAATTTTTCATATATTTATATGAATTGTGAAGTGTGCCGGGCATGCCGGCCGTTGTCAACATTACCCGAAGTGTGTTTTGAGTATACCCTTCGTAACGCTGCTTTGACATTTGGTCACAAGGGAAATCGTTAATTCAATTACTTCCAGTTCAATATACATAGTTGATGATCGCCGTAAGACATGAAACGAAGTGTTATTACTTTTATTTATTACTTTTATAAATTTGTATTTTGCTGTATTCAAGTAGATATTTAGCACTCTTTTATCTTGTGTTTAAATTTCTTACTGAAACATTCCATATAGTTGTGAGCAACAATAAGAGCTAAGCACGATGACCTTTTGATTTTCTATATGATTAGAAACAAGCTATTATAAATAGCTACCATAATAAAGTATGGGTGACAAGCGTATGTTGATAATATACGTCGGAAATAAATAACCCAGCAAATGTATTATCTCTTATTGATAAAAACATTTTTTACGGCAAGATAGCTAATACGCAAATTCATTCATGTAATTCTGTACATTTGATATTGTAATGTTTTTTGTAGAACATTCAACCTACTCTAAGATTTAAATTGTTGTCAAGCGCTGATGAACATTTCTTGTTATTAGATCGTTGTGATACGAAAAGAAAAGCTTATTTGAGACATCCTTTCAACATTAATTTCAACAAGCTAAGTGATTTCGTTCAGATAAATTAACGCTCTTTACTCTTTATCTCCAAGTAAATCAAATGATCGGGCGGCGAATATCACGCTGTGGATCTATTAAGCAGAGCGAAACTTGCTCATAAAGGGTTGAAAGCTTTTACAAACAGGCTATTAGCGTTGATTTTAGCGCACAAAAACCATACGCGCATTAGTTTCCACGGGAGATCATTTAGGGCACAGCTTGAACGTTGGAATGTGCACTTTAGTCCAGGCGAATATCGAAAGCAACCATGTCAGGGATCCATTTATCACACTGGCATTATCACATTCGTTCTATCATTAACATTTGTTTCATGTTGTTATGAAGAATACCATTTATTCATAACAATCACTTTCAAGTAATCATGTAAAAGGGAATGCATGTGTGTCACACTGCGGCTGTTCGTTGTACATCTGATGTCTTTCTATGAAGAAGAAGGGATCTAGATTAAGCTTTGTAAACGTTAGATGCAGATTCAGAGATCTTACACACGCATTGTGTGACTCCGGACTTCAACTAACAGGATTTCAACTAATATATCAGTTTAAAAGTTCAAATCATTTTGGCAGACAATTCAAATGAGATTTATATGGCACTATTGACAAATTGCTGATTATGCATCAGATTTATGTGATCTTAACGCAAAAGAAGTTGAAACTGCAAAAATAATTTGAAATAATGCATGCATTGCAATAAAGCCTCTACAGGCTCTTATATGTAGGATCTTATTTTGTAAAGAAAACGTGACTCCTTTCTAGTGTAAAATATACTTACATACATTATGGTCAAGTTTTATTTTAATCACCTTATGTGCCTATATACCATATGTTACAGTAGCTATTTGATTTATCTAAGATTCTGACTTCTAAGTCATTTTTATTAGCTAGCTACTTTGCAAATTGAAAGTTAATTGTTTTTTGTTATATTTTTTAGTTATACTTTTTATTTTCAATCCTAGATAGACAAAAATAAAATAAGAGCCTGTTTCTTAGCTAGGAATCTTAACTAACCAAAACTGATTCTCGTATAAAGCGATTTATAAATAAGGAATTTTAGCCTAACAAGTTCTTAAACTCCAGACTCGTAGCTAGTTATATGCAGGGTTTTAGTTACTGTAGTCATTTAGGTAGTAAACACTATATAGTGTCATTTATTTGTTTGAATTTTTTCGAATGAATAACACCTTGCTGAAGCAATGAGGTTGTCTGAATATAACATGGTAAATAATTCGCAGCTAAGAATTTTTTTACTTTTCTCAAAGCTTATCTATTCATTTATTTATTTACTTATCTTCGCCAAAAGCATACTTCAAACAAAAGGAACATAGATAACTATATTACATAGCAGGGAACATGTTACAGCCACTGATCTCGAAAGACTTATTCTTATTTCGAGTCTTATTTCTAGATCAGTGGCTACAGCCCAGAACAGCTTCACCAGTTAGCTACAACAGCCCTTTAATCACACAAACAATAAAAACAACACGATAGTTTTTTGTGGACGGTTCACAACACTTGCCACAAGACTGTCAAGACGTATATACACATAAATTTCCATGTTCTTGAATCATCAACAACTGTTTCTTATAATAATTTATAATATAGCAAGGGAATTTTCTTCAATTGACTGATATTATTGCAGTTTTAACAATGCATAATACACTTCAACATAAGTTCTTGGGAAAACACTTCATTCTGCATTTAAAATCCCTGTAAACACGAGGTTTGATTATTTTATACCGATTAAAGTTGGGATTGTTGTTTCCAACGAAAAACAATTGGTAACTATGATATTCTCGACTTACGATTGCTACAAATCATGGGAACCAAAAAATATTTTGGCGATCTTCGTATTACATAACTGTTGCTGATTTGTTCTATTACTAGCACATGTTTACTTAATGGATATTTGTGGACAAAAACATTGTTATTGTATTTTATCTAATATATGCAGGTAAAGCAATAATGTGACTGTTCATCAATATGTTCCGACGACGTTTTTGGTTTTCACAAAACCAGAAACGAGAAAGTTTACATAAAAAAAATTGACATTGCACTTGCTTGGCGATTTATCTAAAAACTTTAAAGTTTGTTCCAAAAAGTTAAACGACCCATCAAAAACTATTGGATGGTTCTCCCCTTGTTCCAGACTTAAAAGTGCAAAATGTTGTCTGATTCATTCGTTTTTTTAATGTATGTAACTAGCTGAGTGGCGGAAAAGTAACTTACTGTATTAACTTACTATATAAATACAACCTCCAATAAGAGTACACCTCTAGTAAGCGAAAACGGACAACAAAACAACCTTCCCTTGTATGCGGACAGATTTGATTTGTTTTCTGTTAAATTCAGTTGACATAATACATAATACAACATAAGTAGAAACATCCGAGTTTGAAGAAATTATTAGAAAGACCTGATGCCTTATGACAAAATTGCGTTTAGCAGGACGAAAGTTAGTGCTGATCACAATTTTTTTCAAATAATCTTAGCTGAATTATATAGACTAATGTGTACAACAACAACAAAAATATCGATTTTAAATTACATATGTTTACGTGTAATCTAGCGAGTAGAGACCCAAAGGTGAACGGTGCAGTTTTTAGTCTTAATCTTCAAAACATTAAAAGATCATGTTTCAAAATTGCGTCTCAGTTTAAAAATTGCGTCGTCAGTCAAATATTAACCAGCTTATCATCAGCAGATACCTCCCGTATGCGGACACCAAGGAGTGATCCCGAAGGTATCCGAGTACAGGAAGTTCGACTGCATTATCATTTTTACAGGCAAGGTATTGAAGGAAGCTTGGTTCTAATAATCGAAATAACAGCTTGATCAAAGGACATCAAATGCAATTTTTTGCAGGCAATTCCTCGGCATTACAATCATTTTTTGTCGTCAATACATATCGGTACGAAGCTGGTACAACCTTCTGTCAGGAATAAAACTGTTCCTTTACGACAACTACCAAAACGTGGGTGTAAAAGTGAAAATCCGATTCTATGTGATTCAGCGATTGGAAAACATCTTTTAAGTAATACTCGCTGTGCCAATACTTATTCTGATGAAAACTTCAAAATTGTTAAAAAATGTCGCTCGTTATTCCAG